CACTATCAATTCTCACATTCATCCGAAACTGCCCTCAAGTTAAAACGCCAATGTTAAAATATTTAAAAATTTAAAACATTTGATGTAAAATGTTAGGCTCCTCCTTGTTAATTCATCCCAAAGATTGGGAGATGTCAGCTTGAGGTTGTATGGCTTATGGTTAGATGTTTCCTATGTGCTGTGTGTTGTGTTGTGTGTGTTGTGTGTGGAGTACACAACACACAGCACATAGGAAACATCTAACCATAAGCCATACAACCTCAAGCTGACATCTCCCAATCTTCGGGATGAATTAACAAGGAGGAGCCTAACATTTTACATCAAATGTTTTAAATTTGTATATATTTTAACATTGGCGTTTTAACTTGAGGGCAGTTTCGGATGAATGTGAGAATTGATAGTGCATTCAACAATCCTAGCAAGTGTTGTGCTTTTACACGTCGACATATTGTAGCAGCGTTCACGCAGCAAACATAACTGTGTACATCTTAAACAATGACAGTGTTTTCATGATTGTACTATGTGCCTCTGATGATGGTTGTATTAAACCGAAATATGTAAGGCAGAAGTGATAAAGAAGTAACCTAAAAATTGTTACACTTGACGGACTTTCTATTGACTTTTAAATATTATTTTTAAGAAATATTTGCTTCAAAGAGGTAACCCTTCAAACCCTGGCATACATCTAAATAACGTTATAAATTCAATTTGTACCTCACAGATACCAAAGAGTAACTGCTGTTTATTGTGAGAACCATAGCAAACAGATATACTGTGTGGGTAAAATTCAGGGTATTTTTTGTATTAAAACAGGTGATTCACATGACTACCGCTGTGATTCATAGGGTCAAGTACCTCACAGTTACAATTCATAACCTGTATTACTATCGAGAGAAGGAAGTGCACAGTCTGTAATCAGAAAAGCAAGCACAACATCAGGATATCAGCAAACTGCTCAGTTCTGGTTCCTGCCACATGTGGGACTGCATATTACAACACGTTAAGGCTATAAGCTACAGCATCCCATCTGAAACTACCATCTCCAATTTACATTGTGTAAATGACAAAACTTTGTGAGGTAATCTGAAACACAAGAAGAAATCTGACTAATATTACAAATAATAGAATACAGATACATTCGTTTGTCATATATTTCCATGGCAAATCCAGTTCACGCGCTGAGGAGGGGCTCCTTCACAGACAACACTTGCGCACAAAATGTTGGTACAGGACAGTAGTGTCCTCCTGGATGCAAAGCTATGTAGTCTGGTACAGCTACTGACATTTCAGAGAATGTAAGGTCTCCATCTTCAGGGTGAAAATGTAAGTCAAGCAAGAGCTTGAGATAAAAGGATACTATTCTCATGCACATATGGAGTGTGACTAGACACGGATTCTGGATTGAGGACTGGATTTACTGAACTCTTACAGAATGTAACTATAAGTAAGTATTATGCTCTCACTGTACTACACACTTCATAAATCCACTACAGGACACATCAAGGCTCATATTATATGGGCATCAAACTATTCAATTGTCTCCCACTAAATTTGAAGCAATTATATAAAGATATTAAGCGGTTTAAATTAAAACTAAAAGAATTCTTGAGTTGTCACCCATTTTATACTGTGGATGAATTTTTTGTATATACTACTAGTCGGTAAGATTAATTGTATTCTGGTTCTATTCTTATGTCTTGACTTAGTTCTTTGTACTACTTATTTATCTAATGTGACTTTTCCACATCCTAAAGTATTGGATTTTATGGAAATAATAGACGAGTAATGAAAATGAAAAAAAAGCTTGTACTGACACCTGAAACCTTTGAGAGTTCTATACCGGGGGAGTTTTGTTGTATATATGGCTGATGTGTTCTTTTTTTATTTTGTTTTATATTATGAATGCCTTGACTTGTTCCTGTGGGAATGGAATGTTTGTTTTTTTTATCTGTGACTCATTTTATATCTAATGGTTGTTTCCCAGCCTGTATCTGGATCTATTTTTGAATTTGAAATAAACTGAATTGAAAGTCTTCTCAGTCTGTTATAGTCTTCACTAGACGTTCCACAGTAGCAGCTTCCAACGGCAGACGTCCCCCTCCCTCTGGGTTCCCGAACTGTCCAAAGTGTTAGCTACCAGCTCCTCACAGCAACAGCTCACAGTAACAGAGCTCCAGCGGTTATCTAATTAACTCACTGGCTAAATGACCCTGCTTTTAACATCTCAGCATGAACTGCAATTGTTGCCATGGAGACGAACATACCTGTTTGCAACAGTTGCTGTACAGTTTATTTTGTGGTTCTTACCTAGCAATGGGTCTACATGCCACAAGATGATGGAAACATGAGGCAGTAAAGGAAAGGAAAGCAAATTAAACTGTTTCCACTTGTATTCCAGTGCTCGCAATTAGTGGTTATGCTGCTGAAGCTTTTGGTCTATTATCAGAATATTCAACTTGTCTCATAAATGTACAGTATTACATTGCTTCAGGAAAAGATAAGAGAATCAGCATTATACTGCTGAATTCACTGTAATACATGAATATATACTGTTCATGTTGAGTACTGGAGAGATTGCTCCGTACACTTACCATAGCTCCCTTGTCCACAGACAAAGGTGCCCCCAGAGTTTTCCCAAAACACAGCAAAAGAAGCACGCACACACAAGACATGGCTTACTCTGAATGGCTGCTATCTATGAGCTGCACCTCCTTCTGCTCTTATCAGCACCACTGAGACACCACTGACATCAATAAAATGATAACCCAGCAACACGATACTAGTACAGGAAAAGCAAAAATGCAAATCTTATTTGCAAGATCTTCTTCTTGTGATTAAATATAAATATTTTTTACTGCAAAACACAATTAAGGTGAGCCAGCACCCAGGCAAAGACAAGAAACATAATAATTCGTTGATAAAAGGGCTTCCTGGTTCCACTGAAGCCAATTCAGCTGCTCCAGAAATTCTCAAATGGTATGGACCCCTAAGATTCATCATTCTCGTCAAAGAATCATGTTGCCATGCTGGTTCAATCCAGTTCTTGTACCCAGAACTTATTTTTAAGATGCAACCGTCCAATGTGACTACTTAAATTTTATAATTTGAATACTCATCACCCTTACATGTTTCGATCCCTACGGATCATCCTCAGAGGGCATCAATACTTTTTCGGAAACTATTATTACAGTAGATGTTAATTATATACACACATGTCTGAAATGCACAATGTACACAGTGTTCAACCTTTCACATTCACAGCAGCCTTCCTGGTGTTAAAACTTTTTAAAAATTTTTAACAACTTTCTAGTTCAAGCTTAAAATTGTAAACAACACAGCAGGCCACGAATAGACACAGAAACACTAAGAATCTGCTTTTGCAAGATAAACAGGCAGCACAGGATCAGCCACCTCCAAGAATAACAATAGGAGAATTCACACAGACCTGTATGGTTTATAAATTTTAAGCTTGAACTAGAAAGTTTTTAAAAATTTTTAAAAAGTTTTAACACCAGGAAGGCTGCTGTGAATGTGAAAGGTTGAAGACTGTGTACATTGTGCATTTCAGACATGTGTGTATATAATTAACATCTACTGTAATAATAGTTTCCGAAAAAGTATTGATGCCCTCTGAGGATGATCCGTAGGGATCGAAACATGTAAGGGTGATGAGTCTTCAAATTATAAAACTTAAATAGTCACATTGGACGATGTTGTTTCTGTCTTTGTAATTGTTAATGTGACGGACCAGAATGAAACTAATCAAATTAAAAAAAAAGTTCTTAAACGCATTCTCTTTACATTCTGGGATCTTAACTGTCCCCTTTGTTAAAGTAGTCTGTTTCAGATTTTATGAACTGAGTATTTCCCAAAGATTTCCACACAACTAGTATATTCTTAAGTTCTTAATTTAATTGCCTTGATAAAACTAGCTCAACAATAAACCATGAATGTAATCATTGTGTGTTTCCTTAACCAGCCTCCTCTCCTTATTGCAAAAAGTAAGCTTACATCATCATCATCATCAGTCTGTGAGTTTGTTTCATCTTAAAACTTTTGAATCAGTTAACAGATTTTTGCCGAGACTGGTATGACAATTATGGCACTGGGGTCCTCTCCAATATCACATATTTCAAACCACATGGCAGATGCATGATATTTTGAGGTGAAAACAAAGTAGGGATACTTTTAGGTCATGAAATGACAGTAACAGATCTTAAAAAATATGCACATTTTGATAAGGTATTTATATGTATAACATAAACTATGTCGTAAATGCAACACTTTATTGTAGTTCTTGTCCCCCATCTTTCACACTACATGTTTCGGCTGCAACCGGCCATCATCAGGTGTATTTCACTTCACGTAGCTCTCACACTGCACTCAATATTAACATTTAAATTCCAGATTTCCAATTGTTCTGCTGCTTTGCAACAGCTTGACAGACACGTTCCTGCAGCAATGAAAACATGCAACAGTAGAAAAACTGGATGCATCATTTTCTGTGAGGTCAACATCATATCAAAGGAAAACAGGCCATTAGTTCTTCCCAGAACTTCTTGTTTCAAAATAAGAAACATAGGCTAAAAAGGATGGGACTGACATTGTTATAAACATCTGATGGAAATCCTGTCTTCTGAAGGCCACATGTATTCTACAACTTTTCTTTGATCATGATGATGACATCAAAAAATTCTTTCCTCTTGGGTACCAACTTCAGTTTTGTACACTTGCATGCAATGTCGTTAAAAAGGCAAGAGGCAAAGCTATCCCTGTAACAAGCCATGGAGGCCCATAGGTTGTGAGATGTCAAGGCTCCCACATTTTCTCTAGACAATCGGCTCACAGGTGGCGGTGAGGTTCCTAGCCTCATGTGCCGGCCAGCCTTTACCCCCAGGAAGATTCCTGGTACTCATTTCTCTTTGAGGCTGCGTCAACCGCAGGGCCATAGTGAAGCTGGAAGAATTAGGTTAATTGAAAAAACTAATGACCTTGTTGAGAATTGAACCTGCGACCTTCCAGCTTGTGGCAGACTGTCTCAACCAACTATGCTATGTCTGTACAGCATTAAACATGGAAACATGCCAGTGAGGGTGCATCAATCACATCACGTTCGCACAAGCAAAGCAGAATGAGACAGTACATCGAGAAGTCTGACCTTTGGGGTTACAATGTCATGTAGTTCGGAAAGAACTCAGCATTTTGGAGGCAGATACTCTCCATGTTCATTTGTGGGGGTACTGACTCGCACTGATGGAGCTTCCATTATACCTACAATATTTTATTAATTTTGGTTTTATTCACAGATTCACCATGGTGTTACTAGTTCTTTTGAAAAAAAGATTTTAAAACTTTTAAATCTGCCTACATAATTGATGCTCTGCTGTTCATATGAGCATAATAAAAATATACTGATTTTATTTCATACACCTGAACCAATCAGTATATCAACTGAACAAAACTCTGTGACATGTGTTCTGAATGACTCATGGAACATTTATGGTTTGCATAACAACACTGTTTGCAGCTCAGCACTGAAAAGTAAGATGATCAGTGAAGATAACGTTCAGAGGATGTGGCAGGAAGCAGTTGTTGGGTGAAATAACATAATGTCCCAGCATTTGCTTGGAGGGACTTAAGGAAACCAAAAAAACATCAGCCAGAACAGCTGGTCTCTGGGACAAGATTCAAAATTATCAAGAACAGGAACATGAAACAATCTGAAGCAAATGTAGTGATGAAGATAAAGTTTCTTTACAAGTCTTAATTCCTTCACCCCCCTCCTAGAAACAATTATGTTTTACACAGGTCACTGGACAAAGCATCTCCAATCTCTTCTTTCTTCCCACAACTTTACCTCTTCAATTTATTGTCAATGTCTTCTATTACTGCACTTAACCTCCATGTTCTGGGTGATTCCATGTATCTGTTCTTTCGAGTTTAATTTCTATAGCCCTTCTCAGTATCTTCTCAAGGCCTAACTCCAGAGTCCATGTTGTGTGAAGGTTAAACCAAGCAAAGAACCACCTCTTGAGGTGATATACATATAGAACTGCCATTGAAACCAAGAACACTCAGCAAGAACTTTGAAATGATGGCTGACAGGTCTGCAATTAAATTGTGACAGCCCAGCATGCTAGCTGGGTGTGTCAATGCTGCATTCAAAACAGTCAGAAACCTTGGATGGAGGGGCTAGATGTACAAGATGACGATGTTCGTGAGTGCAACAGTTATGATTCCCCTTATCGTTCCATAACTTGTACGCTGTCAAATGATACTAACGCTCTAAACAGAGGGGCTCGACATACAAGATGACGACGTTCGTGAGTGCAACAGTTATGATTCCCCTTATCATTCCCTAACTTGTACGCTGTCAAATGATACTAACGCTCTAAACAGAGGGGCTCAACGTACAAGATGACGACGTTCGTGAGTGCAACAATGATTCCCCTTATCATTCCCTAACTTGTACGCTGTCAAATGATACTAACGCTCTAAACGGAGGGGCTCAATGTACATGACGACGACATTCGTGAGTGCAACAGTTATGATTCTCCTTATCAGTCCCTAACTTTTACGCTGTCAAATGATATTAATGCTCTAAAATATTGATTGTGTGCAGTCTCCGCTCTGCTACCACTTGTACCACTTGTACCGTCTTATGGTCTGCTACCACAGCACCGTCACTCTCTGGCACCTTTCAGCTCCGTCTACCCTTCCTCAATCGGAGGGGGAAACAGTGCTCCGTCATACGGTTCTCATTCTGTGCTCGCACGCTCCCTAAGTTAGAGTAAGGGATCCAAGCTAGCAACGAGGTAAATCTAGTTACAAATGATGGCAATCAATATAATAACAAATAACAGAATTTAATAAACACAATTAACACATAACAAAAGACAAGAATTCATCGTCATTACAGCGCACGAGCCCAAGAAATTAAACAGAACAACTCAACTAATTGCACATTTACATGCTTGCACACAGCGGCATCTAACTCGGGCAGAATGGCCCATATTTACTGGCGCAACGATTTGCCTTGGTTGCATGAAAACATAACTACTACTTTCTAGCCGGGCCACAGGCTGAGTCTAAACCAAATACACAATATAAATTATAAACACAGGTTTAACTAAACTGGTACGAGTCGCCGCCGTACTACAAACCCAACGACGGGCGACCACGGGCGATCTCGCCGGCCGCGAACCAGCCCACTACTTGCCGAAACCAATTCTGGACTCCCAGTCGAACAGGAATTTGACAATCACTCCACCTGGCTCAGCGCCGCGAGCAAGGCCCTATGGATCCATAACAAGAACTGTTCTCCGAACTCGAATTAACTTCCAAGCAAGGCTCCCAGGGGTGGAAAGGAGGGGAGAGGGCAACACCATTTGACACAGTCCCACATGGGGAGGGGGATAAGTTTAAGAACCTCGATCAAGGGGCTGGAAGCCCATGACATCATACCGGAGCCAATGCATGGCTCAATTGAGACATGAAAAAGTGGTTAGTACGAGGGGCATTCAAGTTCTAAGGTCTCCAATTTTTTTTCTCATGACTGGGAGCAGATAGACACATGCGGTTTAGTTTAAAATACGTGTGCACTCTTTGTGAATGTGTGACAGAGATGGCAGCACTGTACGGCACACAGAATTCTAGTGGTGGCGGTGAGAGAGAAGTGTTTTTGATACATAAAATGGCGACGTTTTCGTTACAAGAACAGCGAGTAATCATTCGTTTTCTCCACTTTGTGGTGCGACACCCATTGAAATTCATCGCCAGTTGAGTGAGACGTGTGGTGACGGTGTCATGAATATGAAAAATGTCCGTTCGTGGGTGCGACAGTTCAAAGAAGGCCGAACGTCATGTGACAACGAACCAAAACAATCTCGGCCTCACACCAGCCGGTCTGACAACATGGTCGAGCGACTTGAGAAAGTTGTTTTGAAGGATCGCAGATTGAGTGTGGAAAACATCGCCTCCAAAGTTAGCATTTCCGTGGGATCCGTGCACACAATCCTGCATGAAGATCTGCGAATGCAGAAAGTGCCCTCCAGGTGGGTGCCACAAATTCTGGCGGATGACCACAAGGCTGCACGCATGGCAATTTGCCAGGCAATGTTGACACATGATGAAGGCATGAATGGGACTTTTTTTTCATCAACTGTGACAATGGATGAGACATGGATGCCGATTTTCAATCCTGAAACGAAGCGCCAGTCAGCTCAGATTCACTGCCACCAAAAAATTTTGGGTAAGCACCAGTGCTAAAAAAATGACGGTGGCCATGTTTCGGAACAGCGATGGCGTAATCCTTACTCATTGCGTTCCAAAGGGCACTACGGTGACAGGGGCAGCCTACCAAGATGTTTTGAAGAACATGCTCCTTCCAGCACTGCGAGAAAAACGACCGGAAAAGGCTGCACGTGTGCTCTTTCACCAGGACAATGCACCAGCGCATTGGGTGTATGCAACGCAGCAGTTTCTTCGTGAAAACAACCTTGAAGTGGTTTCTCATGCTCCCTGACCTGGCTCCTAGCGATTTTTGGCTTTTCCCAAAGATGAAAGACACTCTCCGTGGTTGCACATTCACCAGTCATGCTGCTATTGCATCAGTGATTTTCCAGTGGTCAAAACAGACTCCTACAGAAGCGTTCGCAGCAGCCATGGAATCATGGTGTCGACATTGTGAAAAATGTGTATGGCTGCAGGGAGATTACGTTGAAAAGTGACAGAAGTTTCAAATTTTTTGTACGATTATTGTGTGAGAAAAAAATCAGAGACCTTAGCAGTTGAATGCAGAAAAAATTGACATATATACATGGTGTGTCTGCATGGCACTTACACCCCCTCAACACAGGCTATGTAATACTTCAGTATGTTCCCATGTCATATTACTTATCGGCTGTACAAATGTTTGCACTAACCTTCTAGCTGCAAAACACCAATGAACTCCACACTTCCATTTTCATGAAACTAACATCTGACCCCATTTCGTGACCATCCATCAGTTTCAGTATTTCTCTAAACATTACAACAATTCATGGCTGGACTTCCTTGGAATTGCACTGGAACCACCACGGACCAACTGCACGGGGGTAATTTGGTTGACCAGGCCCTGCTGGATCAACCTGTGCAAACGAAATTATGTATTTAATTCTTCCTAGTGTAGGTCTTTCAGCCTCCATAATGCAAGCAGTCACAATGGAATAGCAATTTAACAAGTTAGGAAATGTATTCAGATAAGACAGCTCTGCAATCACAAGAGAGAGCTGTCATTCATCTTACCAACTTTGTTTTACAGTTGTAGCGATAAGAGCTGCCCTCGGTAAAGAAGTAAATGTAGCCGCTACGTATATACATGATATCATGCAGGTCTCCAGCTATGTTGCCCCACGCTGTCATAGGCTGTGGAAAAGTTCTGCTGACACTTGGTTTCTGATGTGAATCATACACCCAGTACTGGTCTCCTGCAACCAGACAAACAGGCTCCGTACACAGACAGTTTGGCCTCCCATTCGGCCTGCACAGTTGAAGACTGAAAGGCAAAACTGATGTGTGTGGTGTGGCCGGCCAGCCAATCGTTTGGACTGTTGGCCTGTAGGAAACCCATCAGTCCGTCAGTTCTACCTGCAGGACCGTAGCACGTGACGTGTGTGACTCAGCAATATAGGCTGGAAGACCGTGACAGTGGCATGAAGCCTGCCGGTTTATCTGAGTGTGTATGGGGAAGGAACGGGAGAGGACAAACTGTGAAAGTTTTGCCTGTAAGGTCGATCGGAAGGCCCAACTGTGTGTGTATGGGGGGCCTTACTTAATGTTGAAAATAAAACACTGACAAATTCCCCATATTGTATGGCTATGAAACTCAGTTAATCAACTCTTAGGCAAAACAAGTTAGGAAATGTATGCACAACATAATAATCCTTGTGCAATTTGTCACTTCGGTATACACAAAAAACAAACAAACCAAACAAAAACAAAACAAATCAAACCAAACCACAATGAAACAAAACAAAACAAAACAAAACAAAACAGACTAAAATGAAACTAAACCAAACTTACTTACTTACTTACTTACTTACTTACTTACTTACTTACTTACTAATGGAGCTGAGCCCTTCTGGAGGAGCCGCCAATTCTGCAGCTACTCAAGAAAATTCCAGCATTTTATGGAACACGTGGGTTCATTACCGTGTTCACGAGAGCCCTCCACTGGTCCCTATCCTGAGCCAGAGCAATCCAATCCATACCATCCCATCCTATCTCTCTAAGATCCATTTTACTATTGTCCACCCACCTACGTCTTGGTCTTCCCAGTGGTCTCTTTCCTTCTGCCTTTCCCACCAATATCCTACATGCAATCCTCTTCTCCCTCATTCCTGCTACATGCCCTGCCCGCCTCATCCTCCTTGACTTGATCATTCTAATTATACTTGGAGAAGAGTACAAGTTATGAAGCTCCTCATTATGCAGTTTTCTCCAACCTCCTGTCACTTCATCCCTCTTCGGTCCAAATATTCTCCTCAGCACCCTGTTCTCAAACACCCTCAGTCTATGTTTCTCCCTTAATGTCAAGAGACCAAGTTTCACACCCATACAGAACCACAGGCAAAATTATAGTTTTGTATATTCTGATTTTTATGTTTTTAGACAGCAGATAAGAAGACAAAAGGTTCTGGACTGAATGGTAGCAAGCATTACCTGAGTTCAAAATCCTCTTAATTTCCTCCTGAATCAGATTTTGATCTGTTATTGTTGTTCCAGCCACATTTTCAAAACATATGTTTCCTATGTTTATGTTATGATCTTGACCTACATTTTGGTGATGAGACAGCAATATATACTTTTTCTCTGTGTTTACACCTCTTTACTTGCATCAGTTAAAGTTTGTGTGTTTCTCTTTATGGTATCTACATTATCACCCAGCAAATTCACATCATCGGCATAGACCAACAGCTAATGAGTCCCGTTTAGTTTCAGTCCCACTTGGTTTCCCTGGACCTTCCTAATGGCATATTCTAAAGTAAAGTTGAAAAGGAGTGGCAATAAAGCTTCTCCCTGTTTTAGACCATTCTGGATAGGAAATTTATCAGGCAAATGCTTACCTACACAGACTTTACTATACGTTTTGCCTAAACACATTTTAATCAACCTAACTAGCTGCATGGGTATCCAAAACTCTATCAGAATATTGTACAATACTTCCCTCCTAACTGAATCATAGGCTTTCTTGAAGTCTGTGAATATCTGATGTACTGTCTCATCGTACTCCCATTTTTTCTCCAATATCTGACGAATGCAAAAGATCTGATCTGTAGTTGATCTGTTACGTTGAAACCCACACTGATGATCTCCAATAATTTCATCTATATGTGGACTTAACCTTGAGAAGAATACTTGACAAAATTTTGTATGAAGTTGATAGCGGTGATATCTCCTGATAATTATTACCGTCAGTTTTATCACCCTTCTTGTGAACTGGTACAATGACAGACTCCTTCCACTGATCAGGCAATTTTTCCTTGTGCCAAATAGAAGTAATTAGATTGTGGATCTTATAACATAATATTTCGCCTCCTGCCTGAATAAGTTCTGCTGGAATTTGATCACTACCTGGCGATTTATACCGTTTCAATTTTGCAATAGCACTTTCCACCTCAAAGGGCTAGGATCAGGTATTAACGGCTCAGCTGTATCGATTTCTGTCTGCCTAACATCACTGACCTTATGTACATTCAATAACTGAGAGAAGTAGTTCCTCCACCTATTCAAAATGTTGTGGGAATCTGCAAGCAGATCACCATTCTCATCCTTCACTAAGTTACGGCTAGGCTGGTACCCCCACTTAAAGTCATTTATTCCCTTATACAGGTCTCTAATATTCTTGTTCTTACTGTTCATTGCAAGGTCATCAATTTTGTCTTTCAGATATTCCCTCTTTTTGTTCCTGAAATGCCTGCTGGTTTCACATCTTATACTTGTATTGTTTAGATTATCCCCATTTAACTCTGTTATATTTTAGCGTCCTGTTGCACTGATTTAAGTCCATGATTTATTTTATCCGTCTTCTAGTGCATACATTTATTTATCCCCTCTTTTCACTCTCACTACATGTTTCGGCACCAATGTGCCATCTTCAGGTGCTGATCCAATCCACGACAAACTAATTCATTGCATGCCTTGTCTTTACATACTAAAATAACTAAAATATATATTTATCATATATACTGACAAATGTCAAGTGTTAAAATACTAAAACTGTACAGCATATTTCTTTCCTACGTCGTGTTTCATTACGCGAGTCACGTCTATCATCCTCTGTTGGAGCACTCTTTCACTATCGTGTATTGTGCTCTGTGTTGCGTCTCGCTCCTGTGACTGCGTGTGTTATAACATATATATGTTATATATATTTTAGTTATTTTAGTATGTAAAGACAAGGCATGCAATGAACTAGTTTGTCGTGGATTGGATCAGCACCTGAAGATGGCACATTTGTGCCGAAACATGTAGTGAGAGTGAGAAGAGGGGATAGATGANTTCCAAGTTTTCCAAAGCCGCAAATCTATTTGAGATTTCAACACAATACTGCTCTTTACCCTCTACCTCATTTAATTTCTTGAGATTGAACCTCTCCATATGAACTCTGCGTGTTGTTTGTTTGCTCACTGCCAGTATTTCCCTAACCTTTGCCACCACCAGGTAGCGGTCAGTATCAGAATCTGCTGCATGAATGATCGGACATCAAGGATACTGGAGTGCCGTCTCCTATCTATCAAAATATGGTCTATTTGATTGTGTATTTTCCCATCAGGAGATGTCCAAGTAAATTTATGGACGTTATGATGTGGGAACACTGTACTTTTGACAGTAAGATTTTTTGATGTGGCAAAGTTTACTACTCTAACTCCATTATCATTACTAATTTCATGCAAACTCTCATTCCCAATTGTTGGTTTGAAAATGTCTTCCCTCCCTACTTTGGCATTGAAATCTCCTAACAAAATTTTCATAGGGTACATCAGGAATTTATCAAATACATGTTCTAGTTCTTCATAGAATCTATCCTTTATGTCATCAATTTCATCTTCTGTTGGGGGTGAACATTGATAACAATGATATCACAACAGTGACCTTTTAGTATTATATATGATATCCTATCAATAACGAACTCTACCCTCTTAACTGCTGATATGATTCTCTTATGTATGGAAAAACCTGTACCTAATTCATGATTTTCATTCCCCTTTCCACAGAAAAGTGTATAGTCTCCTGCTGGTGCGATGCCACCTCCATCCCATCTGACCTCCTGTACTCCCGCTAAATCTGAATTATATATTAAGATTTCTTCTGCCACTGCCCTGAGCGAACCTGCCCTATACAAAGTTCGAACATTCCAAGACTAAAACAAACTAAAAAACCAAAACCAAAACCAACCAACCAACTTACTTCATGGAGCTGAGCCCTTCTTGAGAAGCCGCCAGTTGCGCAGCTACTCAAGAACTTACGAGCATTTTATGGAACCCAATCACAAGGGCCCTCCACTGCTCACTATCTTGAGCCAGATTGATCTAGTCCATACCACCCCATTATATCTCTCTAAGATCCATTTTAATATTGTTAACCCCCCATGTCTTGGTGTTCCTGGTGGTGTCTTTCCTTCTGGCTTTTCCACCAGTATCCTATATGTATTCCTTTTCTCCCCATTCGTTCTACATACCCTGCCCATCTAATCCTCACTGTCCTTCTGTTTACATACATATCAAAATATCTCCAGGCTTCATGACTGTTGCAAATACCAACGCTGGTGGCTACCCAGCTGAGGCACACAGAGGAAGGTGAAGACTGAGAAATTATAGCACATATGGAAACAGCCCAACAGTTGCTGTTCATTCTTATACTATAGAACACATAAATACAGTGTGTGGTACAGTGAGCAGATCAGGTAGTACATATGTGGTTCAGAATCTATTTTCAGTTGTTTACCATCCACCATGCAAAAGTATCAAGATTTAAAATTGTCACTGCACTACATGATTCAGAATATTCGGCCATCCTCAGGTGTGTTGAAACTCAGGGTAACGGTTGTGCCTTCTGCACTGCTGCCATCGGTGTTTTCGTGTTTACAGTGTTTACAGTCAACGTAATTCCTTCTTGTATGCCGCATGTATTGGCTTTTCTTGGTATGCCTCTTGCCCTTCAAGTGTGCAATGTGGATGCTATCTGGTAATAGTGCAGTGACAAATTTTACAAGGATTCGGTTTTAAATCTTATTGTTGCACGGTGAACAGTAAACAACTAAAAATATATTCTAATACCAACTGCAACACGATGCTAAGATACACCATTATGAACTGTTGCAGTCTCATGATGGAGGACACTTTACTGTACAGAACTTTACAATTCAGTGCACCAAATAGAAACTCACCGTTGAAGAAAAGGAACACAGAATCAGTATACCACGTAGCAGCATCTACATCATCTGGAATACCAGGCCACCCTTCAGAAATGAGTTTGGGGTGTCCTGCAAGTGGATGTGTATATCTGTAGGCCCAGTATTTGCTTCCTTTGAAGAAGTAGGTCCTGCCTGAAGAAGTAGCACATGCTGCATCTACGTCACCAGGCAGTCCTTGCCAATGATGACTGGCGAGCAATGGGTAGCTGTTCACAAATCCATCTTGACTCAGTTTCCAGTAATATTGTCCTGGAACAAGAGCAAATGTGGCCATTGCTGGAAGGATTATCACCACTGACTATAAAGGGACATGAATACAATGCTGTGAAATTTATTAACATATTGTCATATATTTGGGGTTTGCGTGACTAATAATGACGGGTTCTGGATTTTATGATAGGATTTATTAGTACTTCTATTACAATTACAACCAATTATAACAGCTCACAGTCAATGGCTTCCTAAGACTCACTCAATTCCTTACTGGGCTATGAGTGTCTTCTCTTCCACTGTGATGAATGCAGAATTACTCCCAAGCTACTTCTTGGTTCTCTCTTCTATTGTGACTGTCTGCAGAACGCTCTCCTTATCATTCTCACGTGTCCTCCTTTTTATGGCTTCAGAGGAACCAAACAGGGACCACCACCTCGAACAGTTAGTTGCCATTCTGTCCACTGTCACAGAAGTGTGCTTGCTGAACCATTGCGCAGCAATAGACATCTGCTCTGGTTCCACTATACCAGCTTTCAGGCGTCATGTCACAATACTTATTTGAAGTGACACCTGCCTTAGATACTTCTGACTGCCTCATTTATGGTTAAATAAATACTTTGTCTCTGGAGCCCCCATCATGGGGGAGATTAGCTCCATCCAACAGATGCAACATGGCAAGTTCTGCTTTTATTTAATGACAAAAACAGAACCACATCTTTAGAGTTACTTATTTCAACTATATAAATATATATATCCTTACCTTTCAACACATAGATTATTCCATCTGGGTTTTCAAAGATGGCATCAAACAAAGACTCTGAACACAGATCTGGAGGGTGATGTTTCCTCTTCCCATACAACAACTAAAACAGCAATCAGCTGTTATAGCAACAGGCATTAGCAGTACAGTGCGCTCTGGTTACCTGTGCTTGTGAAGCAGGGAAAACACACAAATAATAAAGAAGGAACTTGAACAATGCAAGACCATGCTGACTGCTGAATACAGAAACTCAGAAATGTTGGCACAACATCCAATTTATTTATCACAAAGACCATAAGCCTTACTGGTTCTTAACCGAACAACAGTAGGTTATTGCCCCATTTAATATTCTTAATTTCTGTGTGATTATCACAGGCCCATCATTATACGTACCTGAAGTCCTGTAATATCATCGTTATGCAGCATGAAACCTGGTTCATATCCTCTGGTCAACACTGGCTGCATGATGGAGCCCTTCACATCAGAATGGTGTAAACCCAGAGCATGGCCCAACTCATGTACTGCCACCAGAAACAGGTTCTGGCCTGTGAACAAGTGATGTATGGTGACATGCCTGTTTAGTCTGCCTGTTCTGTGATGACGATAATGGCATTTCACTAACAACCATGGAGTAATGACCTACATAGTTTCATTGTATTCCCAAGGGCTCTGGCTCAAATCTTGGCTGGGAGAACAAATTCTATATTTCTAAATTCCTCCAGAGAAAATTGCAATAATACCCTCATTTAGCCATGGCTACATCTGCATGTCACAACTCAGCATTCTCTTATTCCACATAAAAGTATACAGTAGACATACAGTTAGTAAACAAGCCAAATAATAAGTAAAAATGTCAGTACTGAATTCAGAAGTGTTATAATTTCCGCAGCTCTTTCCTTATTCCTGGCATATTCAATGATGTCAGTAGCTAAAGTTATAGAGCATAGAACAATCGGGTAATTAATGAATAATGAATTCAAAAGGATGTGAAAGGAAGCAGTGATAGATTAATCTGATGCGTTATCCTAGAATTTGCCTAGACAGGCTGAGGGAAATCATAAAAATCCTAAGTCAGGGTAGTTTGCCTTAAAGGTGAGACTCAAACCCAGGCTCTCCCAGCCATGAACCAGGAGTACCAGCTACTTGACTGCAAAGTTCAGTACTATGCAGCTGAACCAGAGTCCTTAAATAAACCAAACAACAGGCTTATTTAAATTCTGCAGTTTGAACAGCCACACCAAACAGCAATCAGCCCTGATCTGCAGGATCTGGGGGTCTCATGCCACCGGCTATGAGGAGCGCTGTCTTCTGGGATATAATGCAGTGTAGTCCACTGAAAGCCAACCAGTGTTTCCGAGGAACATGTGCCCTCCATTTTCAGGATCAAAGATTACACCAAGCAAAAAAACCAGCATGAAGAAGGTAGCAAGCAGAAACTGCATGCTGCCTGCTGCCTGCTTCATGGTGCTCACCCATCTAATCACACCTGCAGCATCATGCCACAGACTCCATTAAACTTCTGTAAGATCTCCAAAGCAAGTTATCTCAGCAATCATCCAGATCAAAATAGAACATTACTGAACTTAAGATGATTTCTTTGATTATGAAACTGACAGATAATACAAGATGATTCTTATACAATTATAATAAGATTTTATTTAATAACATCATAAAGGAGACATTAGCTCATGTTGTGGTCTTAAACATTGTGATGAATTATGATAGTATGTAGTCTGACAGCTGGGTATCAACATTTTCAAGGAATATGCTGTCTCTAACTTCTACTCTTAAGATGGAGGCAGTACATTCTTCCAAAATGTTGTTACCCCATACCAGACTATATATAGTGCGACAAGGCAGAAAACAGCTTGAATTTCACCACTGTAAAAACCTAAAATTTCAGAGGCACTATGGTTATTTTCTTACCACTGAAACGTCTACTGGACCATGGTTCATCATCATCAAAGTGCACCATCCCCTCCATGGGTTTACTGGCATGACCCAGAATCATGCCCCTACCATCAAAAGGCTTTCCATCTCCATGCTGCCCCCTGAAGAATGAAATGTTGATATCTGCCCTCCTTGAAACTTGTCTGAACACTTGCCCACACAGCAAATGCTAGTGCTGTTTCTTCATCCACAGCTGCCTGAGACAGAACTGTGTTCTGTGGGTAGTGGTGTCCTGTCCATGGCTCACCTGTTGGAAAGAAAAGCTCAGCTTCAAAACACCAGCTGCTGTCAAACAAACACAAACAGAAAACAAAAGAGTACACAAATTACAATATAAGTAAGAAGTCAAATAGGTGTCTTCTGGCATATGCTGCAAGATGGTCTGGTAGAACAATCTGGTAAATATCCACCACAATTTATGACATTACACCACAGAGGATAGGGTGAGATGTCAATGCTCAAAGAGACAACCATGTAAAATTACAAATTTTGTTTATTGCTGTTAGAATGAATGTTACAGATGAGCAGAGAAGCAGAGTGTGCCTGATGAATACTGGCAAAAATTCCTTTTGTAGCAGGATAGCCAGTGCTAGTGCCGGCAAACTTCCTTGCAGCAGCCCGGTGACTGTGAGCCAGTGGGATGCCGGGCGAAGCTTTTGCAGTACCAGGATAGCCGGTGCTAGTGATGGTGAGGCTGGCTGGCCTAATGAGCACTGGCAATCACTCGAGGAGACAGTTGTGGTGTGGCTACTAGTAGATCAACTGTTGTGGGGTTGTTTTAATGCAAGCACAGTTGTGACTGATGCTAGCATACCAGAGGTCTGTACTTTTATACTTTTGTTGCCAGGCGGTGCGCGGACCATTGGGTGTTGGAGTTTCCATAGTGAGTGCTGACCGAATAGTGCTTGCTTCACTGTGGGAGGCTCCCACATTGGTAAACTTCATAGTCACCACAAATACTGCAGAGTTAAGCTTGCCACAAGAGTATTAGGTAAGTTCTGTATGAAATTGATATAAAAATGTGGCATTGTTGAAATATTTGGGAATGCCGCTAATAAATCAAAAGTTCACTTGTGAAAAAATGACTAGTAGGATCAGATTAAATTTGAGATGTACCTGCTATAATTAATTTCAGAATCTTTTTTCTTCCTGTTTATCTAAGAACAAGAAAATATGTTTCGTGTTCTTTATGGGTAAGAAATTTGGTCTCTTGTACTAGGGAAAGAAGAGAGGCTGCTAGGATCTTTGAGAAAAAGAGTGTTGAGAAGAATACTTGGACCTAAGGAAGAGGTAGTGACAGGAGGATGGAGAAAAGTGCATAATGAGGAGCTTGATAATTTACAGTCCTCAGCAAATATTATCAGGATAAGACAGTTTGGTCATGTAGAAAGCATGGGAGCGATAAATTCATTAAAAGTTTTGGTAGGAAAACCTAAAGGAAAGAGACCATTTGGAAGACCCATGCATAAATATGAGGCCAATATTAAAATGTATCTTAGAGAAAAAGGATGGGTGGATGTGAGCGGGATCCGAATGACTTAGGACAGGGCCCAGTGGCAGATTCCTGTGATATGGTAATGAAACTTCAGGTTACAAAACATGTTAAGTGAGTTACGACATTGATATGAGTGATATCCTTTGGTAATTACTACAGCACTACTACACTATTTCACAACAAGTGAAGCTTAGTCTCTGTAAGCAAATGAATCTTGTCTTCCTGTGAAGCACAACGACAAATGTTTTAACACCCAGTTTTACCCATCTTCCACATCCATAAAATTTACACTGAAAGTGTGCCAGTAAACTACGTGTATGATTCATCATCAGTCATTCCTAGTAACATTTTCAAGAGGTTCGCATGACACACTCACCCCAGTGCGTGTACCTCTTTCTACGACTATGCAGCTCCTTATGAGACAGTATATCCTTCTCCCCACAGCGAGGCTGTTGCAAAGCTTTGCTTGTGGCTTCATCCATCTTCCCTGTAGATTAAATTCTGAGTTTTAAATAACACCATGATGATTAAGTGACATTAAAAACATTTTTAATAAACTGTGAATTATGGATAAAACTGAATTAAGATATAACAAAGTTATCCCTGTGTCTAAGCATCATGTCATGAAGGTGTATAGGGAAAGCAGAGGTTAACTCCACATACTCTTAATCCACTGTTACCTGACACCATCTCTGAGGCATGATCAACTGTCCTGTTCAAACAGCTGCACCATAGCTCAGAGGTATTTTGAACTTCATACTTAGATTGTGCTGGTACTTTGTTTCAACAGGTGGCAGCATCATGCTCTCCTGTGGCGTTTCTTTGACCAAAGAATCTGACTGAAACAGAAGGGTCTTGCTACCATTTAAAGGCAGATGCAGAGGCATGCAAGGGGACACTTTTGGAAGGCTTCAAGAGGTTAGTTAACCTCTGCATTACATGAAGCTCAGAGGACAACCTCATGCAACATCTACAGGGAAGGAGTCCCCACCTCCCTGTCCACAGTTGGTCTGGATGTGATGGCCAAGAGGAAAACTGAACCCCCACAGAGGTTCAAGTCCTAGCATCCACATCATAATGTCTGTTACTGACTGAGCTATCCTGTTACTGTAGTAACTGCAGGGCAATGATAGTTCCACATCAGTACCCAATTGACAAAACTGGTTTATTCTCTGGGTTTAGTTCCACTTCACATCCTCACAAACCATTGCTCACAGATCCGTTTCAATATCATCATCCCATGTATGCCTAGATCTAGCAAGTGGTCCACTTCTATGTAGTTCTCAAGCTCTTTTATGCATTTCATGTTTCAGTTATGCATGCTACATGTCCTTAATTCAGTGAACGCAACAGACTGTGGATGCAGTAGGGGTCATGGAGTTCCTTGTCTTGTAGCAAGGACAGGCAACATAGGGAAATGAGAAGTTCATACAGAACTTTGGTTAGAAATATTATCTTAAAAACTTAATATCTGTCTTTCCATCAGAACAGACAAGCCTTGCACCCAGATAAAACATAATGTGACATCCAGTGTGTAAGTATACGTATTGTACTGTATTTATTACACCTTCCAGAACATCCATACAAGGCCGAAGCCATTGGATACACAACCTGTCACACCACAAGCTTGCCAAATCAGCAAGTAGTCAACAAAACATCATCATCATCATCAGTAATCTGTCAAGACGACAGGTCCACAGTCTCTTCCAAAACAGTTCCTCCATTTAATGTGATCTAGAGCTTTCTCCTTCAAATGACAGTATCCTCTTCTGTCCCCAAGGTCATCCAGCATCTTCTTACGTCTTCTTCCTCGTCTTCTTGTCACTTCTATCCGCCCATCTATCTTTCCTTCGATAGCTTCTTTTAGAAGGCAGTTTCTGCGTAAAACATGACCAATCCAATTAGCCTTCCGTTTTCTTATTTCATGTAGGATATTCCTCTGCTCACTGACTCTAATTAACACTTCTTCATTTCTCACATAATCGGTCCAACTGATCTTCTCCATTCTTCTCCAACACCACATTTCGAAACTTTCCAGATGTTTCTGATCTACTGCCCTAAGTGTCCATGTTTCAGCCCCATACAGAGCTATGCTCCAAATGTAGCATTTCACTAGTTTCTTCCTCAAATTTAAGTCCAATTTGCTGGTAAAAAGATTCTTCTTCTTGCTAAATGCAGCTTTTGCCATGGCAATCCTGGATTTAATTTCACAAGTACACCTTCCATCATCTGTTAACAAGCTACCCAAATATTTAAAACATTTCACATTCTCCACTTGTTTTTGGTCTATCTTTATTGTGACTGGGGTTGGTTGTCTCGAAATTTTCATTACTTTTGTTTTCTCCACATTCATTTCCATGCCATAGCACCTTCCAATTTCAATTAGTCTATCAATCATGCCCTGTAGCACAGTTTCTTCCTTAGCCATTAACACAAGGTCATCTGCATATTTCACAGTTTGAATAATTTGCCCTCCTACTTTGAAGTCACCGAGCCCATCCAGAGCTTCCTTGGTAAGGCATTCGCTGTACAAGTTGAACAGAATTGGTGATAAACAGCATCCTTGTCGAACTCCTCTTCCAATCTGCACACTTCCTGTCTCCCCCCTGTCCAGTCGTACTCTAACTTTCTGATCCATGTACAATTTGCTAATCAATCTTCTTTCATGCCAATCGATACCTGTTTCTTTCAGGATCTGCATTAATTTGGTCCAGTTTACCCGGTCAAATGCCTTCTGCCAGTCTATGAAGCAAACACACAGTTCTTCATCTATCTCCAAAGTTCGTTCCGCTATAATTCTCATCATCCCAATTGCATCCCTGGTTCCTTTTCCTCTTCTAAATCCAAACTGATCTTCTCCAAGTACATCCTCTATTTTCCTTTCAATTCTTCTTTTAAGTATCTTTGCTATTATCTTTGCTGTATGTGCAATAAGACTTATTGTGCGATGGTCGCTGCATTTTGTAGCTTTTGTCTTTTTCTTTAAGGCAATCATTGTAACTTCTGTAAAGTCCTTGGGCCACTCTCCACTTTCATATATGGTGTTCATTAGTTTTGTCAGTGTTTTCAAACCACCTTCTCCCAGTAACTTGAGCACATCTCCAGGTACATCATCATCTCCTGTAGCCTTTCCCTTCCTCATTTCCTTGATAGCTTTTTCCACCTCACTTTGTAAAATATATGGTCCTTTCTCGTCTGTATCTACTTCTTCTTCCGGTTCAACTTCTAAGGTTTCTGGCCGATTAGGTCGATCATATAGTTCTGAAATATAATTTTCCCAAATTTTCAGCACTTGCCTCTGATCTACTATTCTATTCCCCTGGGAGTCTTCGATGCCAACATTTTGAATCCCATGATTCTCTTTCCATCCTAGTTCTTTTGTCTTCATGTACATCAAATCATAACGGCCTGTTCTTTGAAATTCCATAATCTCATTACATATCTTCTCAAGATATTCCTTTTTGGCCCTGTCCGTGGCTCTTTTCAATTCATTCCTCAGTCTCCTGTATTTCCTCCTGCCTTCTTCATTGTTGACATTCTTCCATTTCCTTCGCTCCTCCATTTTACTCATCATCTCCTGTGTAACCCATGGTTTTCTTGCTATCTTCTCAACTTTACCTACCAAATCACTGATAGTATCTAACATGCATTCTTTTATATCGTTCCACTGCGCTTCAGCATTTCCGCTTTCACCTTCAATTGCACCGAGTTTCTCTTCTAGAGTCTCTTGCACGCTTTGTCTTTGAGCATATAACTTCTCCAAATCCCATCTGGGTCTGCGCTTTCGAAATCCTATAATTTTCTTCAACCTGGTTCGGAACTTGGCAACCAGCAAGTTGTGGTCAGAGTCAATGTCTGCCCCAGGAAGCGTCTTCACATCCTTCACACTGTTTCTGAATCGATGTTTCACAAGGATGTAGTCCAGCTGATGCCTCTTCCAATCCCCAGGTGCCTTCCATGTGTAAATTCTTCTCTTTGGCTTCTTGAACCAAGTGTTGGTAACAATCAATCCATTTCGTTCACAAAAGTCAATAAGCATTTGACCTCTGTGATTCCGTCTTCCTAGTCCATGTGATCCAACAATATTCTGATATGGTTCATCTCCAACAATGCTGTTCCAGTCTCCCAATATGATGCTGTTTGTGTCTCCTCTTCCATCTTCCTGAAGAATTTCTTCAATTGTGTCATACACTTTTTCCACTTCATCATCTTCATACTCTGATGTTGGCATGTACACTTGTATAATCAGTATATCTACCGGTTCCGCCTTTAACTTCAGAGCAATAATTCTGTCATTACAAGCAATCTTCTTAACAACACTCCTCACTACACTTTTATGCACCACTATTGCCACACCTCTTTCAGCCCGTTCACCTCCGGAATAATACACTGTATAATCACCGCTTCTTATTTCACCTTGTCCTTTCCACCGCACTTCGCTGACACCTAGCACAGACACTTCATTCTTCTGCATTTCCGTTTTCAAATTCTCCAATTTTCCTGCTTGATTCAAGGTCCTGACATTCCATGTTCCAATCTTGTATCCATGCTGTTTCTTCTGATCTTCGCACTTTTTCTTGTTGTAACGCCTGCATGACATTTCCTCTAGAAACACTCCCCCCCGGAGATCCGATTGGGGGAGTAGTTTACCTCCGGATTGTTTTGTCTCCAGAGGAAACATCTCGCATACATGGTATCTCTGTTTTTGGAAAGAGACTATCCAGGAAAAGTGATAATGTGGTAGTTTTTCCATTTGCTTTCCACATCGCAGTACAGCAGCCGTTCAAACCACTCTGGTCACGCCTGCTGCTATACGAACTTGAACCATCTCGAGCATCATTTGCTCTGTGCTTCAAGTCACTACTGATGACGCTGCTTCCGGCATCAGTTTTTGGTCTCTCTCTTCGTCTGATGCCTAACCTTTGACCTGTCCAGCAAGAGAGGCCCTGCCAGTAGCTATGCTACCGCTGGTATAGCTCTCAGGGTCCTTGGCATACTCAAACCCCTCACCACGATAAGGTGGAGACACCAATGAGAGGGTCAACAAAACAACACATATAAATCCACAACAACAAATCAAACATATGAAACCCCTGCACATCACTGCAACTACATAACTTACCTTGTGGATATAAGATATAGAAAAAAATTAGAACATATACATGATAATAGATCAAATAATGGGTCATAGCTAAATGAGAAACTATCCCAAATTAAAATATTCATCTAAAGTGTAATAGGATTTAGCATGTAAAAAAGCACTTAAAGGTGCTCTAAATTACTTAATATTATGAATTAACTCTTTTATAAAGAAGATGATTAAAAATTTTAATACCAAAATAATAAGGTCCTCTCTGGTAAGTTGTCAAATTTGTCTGAGGGCGATAAAGATCAAAATTACGCCTAGTATTAAGGCCATGAATTTGTGATGTCATGTGATATTAACCCATATTACTTGCAACAAACATCAATAAAGAAAATATATATTGGGACTGCAATGGCAAATTTCCCCAATCCCTAAACACATCTTTACGAGAATCCCTAGATCTCAACCCACTCATGGAATTCTGAAAATGTGCATACTATAAGGAGAATTGCCCCCCAAAACAATTCCATACATCAAAAGTGAATGAAATAAGAGTAATATATCATTTTTAATGTCTCTGTGGGCACAATGGGCCCATAATGTTTGGTAGTCACAGCTGATAGAGTGGTGTGCAAATACTGAAGCAGATGTTTTTGATGCAATTCAAATCCTCATTCCCAGTCCAAATACTGACAGGGAAAGCAACCATACTCCAGGCAAAGAGTGTATACTTCTTCTATGCATTTTAATAATTTTTAATGTCTGGTAAGGTGACATGTTCTAAACTAAAAGGTCAATTGCATTTCCTGACTTTATTCCGAATTAAATATATCATTATAAATATTACTTTATTTTCAATCTGAAGCAGTACATGAATTTTCTGGAGTAATTCATCTGACAGTAAAAAGGTACTTACATTGCAAAAGAAAACTGTTAGAATCATGATGGGTGTCAAATCCCGTAGTTCCTGCAGAGATCTATTTAAGAGAGTACATATCTTAACTTTTCCTTGTGAATATATATATTTATTAATAAGCTTCATTACAAATAACGAAGAACATTTTCAGACGAATGCGGATGTATACAGTGTTAACACAAGACACAATCACTGTCTTCACAGACCAATTGCTAACCTCTCATGCTTTCAGAAAAGCGCATATTATCCTGGGATCTACATTTTTAATAACCTGCCATCTGATCTCAAAGGTTTTATGAATGAAAAGGCACGATTTAAAACAGCACTGAAATGATACTTAAATACACATTCATTCTGCTCTGTTGATGAATACTTATGGTCTAGAAAATAACTTATGTATCTTTAAATAGCCCTGTGTGTAGTCACTGTGCATTCTTGGTTTCTGTTGTGTCACAACTCCATTGGGTCTCCACATATGTTTTGTATTTATATTACATATTTCACATCCTACAGTCATTTTAACTAATTTTGGATCCATGGAATGCAATGCAATGTAATGTATCACAATTTTCAGAGCTTTGTCACAATACCGGGAATGTCTCATATTTCAGTTATAACACATGTACATGAACTTAAGCTTTACCTGTGGGTGGTAAACCATAAAACTTCTGGAAGTCTGCTAAAGCAACTTTCAGCATGGCCTTCATCTTATGATATGATATCCAAGAGTTTGGGTCCACTGCTGCTGGGTGTTGTAAGTAACCAAACTTCACCAAGTATTTCTGTAAGAAAAGAAACTTACTGCTATCTTCTCCACTTGTCCAGTGACTGAGGCAAAGACACTCCAATGGTGCCCCACTGAGTAGGGACCTTTGATCCTTTACAAAAGATGACAGAAATACACTCTGTTGTTTGAGAGAACTCAAAATGATGAACCATGTCCAAAGTATCAGTCATGTTTATAGCTCATTTCTTCACTTATCATTCTGACCCATGACTGTCTCACACATTCACATTGCGAATTTTGGATTCAAGGTTATTTAACCTATACTGAAATCATAAACAAGAAGACTAACTGAATAAAGTGTAGTTTTCATGTTGAAGATAAGTAAATCTAAATAACACAGTGAAGTGAATTTTAAGTGAAGAGAATAAAGTGAAAGGTGTAGTCCTGAAGTGTTAATCTTATATTACATCTACGTGTTTGTGAGTGGCATTAAGTGAAATAGTTCTCGTGGATTAGCTTTATAGGGAATAAAACCGTAAAAAGGTAGTAAATAGTAATAGTATTAGTATATATTGTAAAGATGACCGGTAGCCTTCCGGGTAAATGTGAAGCTTGCCGTAGATGGGTAACAAAGGGCATTATTTGTATTAACTGTGGCTGCTGCTTCCACATAAACTGTGCAAGCACCAGCCCCAGTTTAGATGACAAAAGCGTGCCTTGGATCTGTATGTCATGTAAGTACCATAGGCATGCAAAGCATCAAGAGGAGAGAATCAGACGCCTCGAACATGAATTAAAGATAGCTAAAGAAGAAATTAGAAAGCTGAAAGCTGGATATGCCAACAGTAGTAATAGCAGTAATATCAAAGAGAAGACAAATTTAGAAAGCTGGAACAAACCAAAGAATTCAAAATCTAGGTATCGCAGATTCTCTGCTGATGATGCTGAAGTTAAACTGAGCAACAGATTCAGTGTGCTGGAAACAGACTCTCTGAGTGTTGGTCAGCAAAGCCAGGTTCTCTCTGAGCATGAGGGCAAGGAAGTAATGTCAGTTGCAAAGAAGGCAAGAAGCAAAAGAAAGATATTATTGTTGGGTAGCAGTCATGGTAGGGAAATTGGACCCATGCTCAAAGAGGGCCTGGGTGATAGATTTGATATTGTTAGTATCATTAAACCAAATGCTCCTCTTGCAAATGTTGTTGAGGACCTAGGGAAGCTTGGTAAAGATCTTACCAAGCAAGATCATATTATTATAGTGGGAGGGCCAGGAAACAGCCTGGATAGAAATTTTAATTACTCTATAGAAGAGGACATCAACAATATTGCAGAGAGGACAGTCAATACAAATGTGGGATTTGTCAGCCTTTTCAGGAGGCACGACAAGCCGTGGATGAATGGGGAAGTTAGGAAAATTAATCTTCGGCTTGAGCGGGCACTGATGGGATCTGGTAGAGCACACATTGGTATTATTAACTCAGATTATTTTGTGAGAGGTGACTTCACGGCGCATGGCCTCCACCTAAATTATCAAGGCAAGAGGAAGCTGACGCATTTGATTGCTGAAAGAATGGATGATGGTCATGTGTCTGAAGTAAGCAGTATTCCTGTTATAACCTGTGCTAGAGCAATGCCTTTTTTAGATTAAAATCAAAAGCACAAAGGTGCTTAACATATATAAATTGCAATTACCATGATTTTGAATTTCTAAGCAAAAATGTTAACTTAACAAACATATCATTAAATATATTTCATCAAAATATCAGGGGACTAAGAAACAAAAATGATGAATTATTACATTCATTTGAATTAAATGGCATAAACCCCCATATATTATGTTTAAGTGAACATCATATGGTGGAACAGGATTTACTACACCTCACATTAGAGGGTTATTTATTAGGTTCTAGTTTCTGCAGGCGAAACCTACAGAGAGGAGGTGTGTGTATTTTCATTAAGAAAGATAAATGCTTCAATAAAATTGATATTTCATGTCACTGTACAGAAAAAGATTTGGAAATTTGTGCTGTTCAGCTAGGAACTAAATCATCTAACTTAATTATATTAGGCCTGTATAGATCTCCGTCGGGGGATTTTAACCAGTTTCTAAAGGGATTAGATGCTGCTTTAAAGTATTTATACAATCCAAAGTCTGAATTCCTGATTTGTGGTGACATAAATATAGACTATCTCAGTGACAGCAACCGAAAGAAACAATTGAACTCATTATTAAAAACATATAATTTGGTACATACTGTAAACTTTGCAACAAGAATTCAAAAGGACTCTAGCTCAGCAATTGACAATATTTTTGTTGATATTACAAGATTTAGCTCTTCCTCCACAGTTCCCATTATAAATGGCCTATCAGATCATGATGCACAGTATCTCATGATGAACAATATTGCTCTAGCAGGCAACTCTATATATCAGAAACAGAAAATAAGAAAAATAAACAGTGAAACAATAATGCAATTTCAGCACCTTCTAAAAAGTGAAACATGGGAATGTGTTTATAAAGAAAATGACACCAATGATAAGTACAACTCTTTTCTGTCTACTTTTCTAAATATTTTTGAAGCCAGTTTCCCAATTAAATATAAAAGTGTGCGCAAACTAAAGAATGACTGGATTACACAGGGGATAAAAATATCATGTAAACATAAGAGGACTTTATATGTCAACAGTAGGAACAATAATAATCCAAATATAAGAGTATTTTATGTTAAGTATTGTAAAATTCTTAGAAATGTTATAAAAGAAGCTAAAAAGCAGCATTATAGAAGACTTATAGCTAAGTCAGATAATAAAATAAAAATGACATGGAACATAATTAAAAGGGAGACAGGAAAAATGCATTTAACTGATCAGATGCCATCTCTTCTGGCAAAATCTGAGAAAGCAAAGGATCTAGAAATAGTTGCCAACGACTTCAATAAATTTTTTCTAACAGTTGCTGAGACCTTAAATTTACATCAGATGGGAAATGAAAATGCTTTCTCATTTTTAAAAGATGCATTTCCCATAAATTTTCCTAGTATTAAAATCATTCCAACCAGTGAAGCTGAGATAAAGAATATTATACACACCATGAAAACAAAGAACTCATCAGGATTTGATGAAGTAACAAGCAAAATTCTGAAAGCTTGCTCTGATTTAATTAGTTGCCCTTTAACTCACATTTGTAATCACTCATTATACACAGGCATTTTCCCAGACCGTCTAAAAATTTCAATAGTAAAACCAGTGTTCAAAAAAGGAGATAAGTACAGTATGACGAACTATAGGCCGATTTCATTATTATCTACTTTTTCTAAGATACTTGAAAAGGTCATGTACAGCAGGATAAATCAGCATATGCATTGTAACAACATATTGGTCCCAGAACAGTATGGCTTTAGGAAGGGTGTATCCACTGAAGATGCAGCATTCAAGCTAACAGACAATGTTTTAAAATCAATTGACCAAAAAAGGCATGTAGGAGGAATTTTCTGTGATCTGGCAAAGGCTTTTGACTGTGTAAATCATGAAATTTTGTTAAGTAAGCTGCAATTTTATGGCATTCGAGGAACAGTGTTAAAATGGTTCAAATCCTATCTAACAAATAGAAAACAAAAGGTTGAGATAAAATCACCCAAATATACTCAAAATTTTTTCTCAAACTGGAGAACAGTAAAGCATGGAGTTCCCCAAGGATCTGTCCTGGGACCCTTGCTTTTCATAATATATATAAATGACCTTCCACCAACAATAAATTTTTCATCAGAACCCATAATATTTGCTGATGATACAAGTGTTATAATCTCTAGTAAAATGTTTGATGATTTCTGTGCAATATCAAACAGAGTACTCTCCCACATGAATAAATGGTTCAATGCTAACAGACTTGCCCTAAATTTAAACAAAACAAATGTAATGAAATTTACAACAAATAATGCCCCTCCCTATGTTTTAAATATTGGATATAATGGAAAATATATAGAAGAGACAGTAAATACGAAATTCCTTGGCTTGCAAATTGATAGCCACCTAAGTTGGTCGAACCATATAGATAAATTGATCCCTAAGTTAAGTGGAGCATGCTACGCAGTTAGAAGCATGTTTCATGTCAGCAATACTGAGACTCTCAAATTGATTTATTTTGCCTATTTTCATTCTGTAATGAAGTACGGAATAATTTTTTGGGGTAACTCATCTTACAGCCAGAAGATATTCATCTTACAAAAGAAAATTGTTAGAATAATGGCTGGTGTTAAACCAAGAGAATCATGTAAAAATATCTTCAAGAGGCTAGAGATCTTAACTCTCCCATGTGAATACATATTCTCCTTAATGATCTTCATTGTAAAAAACCAAGAATTTTTTCCAACCAATTCTACAATACACAATGTCAACACAAGGAATAAAAATCAGCTTCACAGACCAGTTGCCAGCCTCTCTTGTTTCCAGAAGAGTGCATATTATACTGGCATTAAAATCTTCAACAATCTACCACCAAATATCACAACTCTTATAGATAAACAGGGACAATTTAAAGTAGCACTAAAGAGATACTTAATTACACACTCCTTTTACTCTGTTGAGGAATTTATGCTTCCAAACAACATAAAGTGTATGTAATGTTTTCTCTTGTTTGGAACACAGGAAAAAAAAAATCTAGTATATGTTAATGTATGGATTTATGATGGATATTTTACTACTTTTGTGAAATCCTTACTATTTATGTGAAATTGAATTGTGCATGTATATATGTATTGTACGATTTTTGACAAATTCCACATCCGGTAGGTCATCTGACTAACTCGTGGATCTATGGAATGCTATGTATGTATGTATATATGTATGTATCAGACATTATATTTAACTGAAGATTAATTTCTTCACTTTAAACATTAGAAGTGTGCCAAACAATGCAAAGCGAGAGTAAGTACAGCATTTCATCAAACAACTAATTAAATAAATTAAAAATATCAGTTCAGGTGTCTGCCTACTACGGCCATCTTGTCAGTCACAGGTGCTCCAGTCATGACCACCAGAGAGAAGCAGCCCAACAGACCAATGAGAAGCAGCATGTTGATGCAGGAACAGCATGCTAACTTTGCTGCTTTATAAGAGAACCTACCAGCAATTTCGTGGTTACGGTAAAACCACAGCAGGAGGAAGTCAACCTGTGCGTCAACTGGGCTTTACTGTTGGAGAATCCTGCTCAGGATTTGTAATTCCAACCACAGAAGATAAAATTAAGACAGCTCAAATGTGCTCAATTTAAGTGCAAGAGGAACCTAAAAGGAACCTGTTTACATCCTGTTAAAGAAAATGGTTTGATCTACTGGTTAACACACTATACTCCTATTCAGTACATGCTCAGTTCTGATCTCGGTCAGGACAACATCTATCCTGACTTTATTTTTTTGCTTTTCCTCAGTCCCTCCATAGAAACACCACAACCAATTTCTAACAAATCTGTTTCAAGTCTTTATTTATCAATCATTCTACCATTGAACACTATACAGTGTAGCCACTAGTTAGTTAGTTAGTTATTGGAGAGGGTGGGTTTCCCCATGCACTTAGACCAGTATTGGTCCACTGTGCTTCCCTCTATGATTTCTACCAGTCTCTATATCCTACCGCTACTGGTGCTTACCATGAGTCCCGCCCAGCCAGCGAGACCGGCTCTACTAGCTGAGGTATCTATAATGCTTCCCCAATCTACCAGAGGTATTAGAGACTGCTGTTGGGCGGGAAACGTCCGTAATTTGGCTCTGTGACCTCCTTTGGAGATATCAGGTTCTTTTACGTGCCGTAAAGCTACGACATGGGACCCACGGCTTAAAGTCCCTCCCGGAGGACTTGTTCCCTGAATTTTTCTTCCCCTAAAAATTTGACGACCTCCGCAGGGGTATTTGAACCCACGTACTACAAGTCATGAGGTGGGAATGTTACCGCTAGACTATGAAGGCCGCTCAGGAGTGTAGCCACTAACAGCATCATATCTCAAGTAACCTAAACATGGACAGAAGTGACAGGCTGTGTAACTGCAAGAGATGTTTAACTGAAATATGCATGATGGTGAAATGAACTTACGAGCCATATCATGTAATGATAGATGAAAGCAGGGCAACAAACCTCATGCTCACAGCATGGGGAGGGATTCCAGTATCCATTGAATAGGAGGCTGGATGTACCCCTGAGACATTCTGGACACTGTGATGTGGAGGAAAATCTCAGAATATTTGCAAAGAATCAACCTAGAACCTTTGAGTCCATAAAAATACCAATTTGCTCCTGCCAATACTTGCAAATGGCAGTGCACAATGACAGATGCACCTACAAAATCAGTGGGTTTTTATGATATCACACAACACGTTGATTCTGTTATGTATAATAAGCAATTTAATTGAATATCAATAGATTAATCAGATGGCATAAAAGCCTTTAAATCTATATACACAAGAGGATGCACAGCATTAAAATAAACTTGATATTATCATCAATTTCTTAAGAACAGAATTAACTGAATCCAAGGAACAAAGTGCATTGTGAGAATCCAGCAGTTGCTCAGCTTGTCAAGAATTGTGTTCACAAAAGCTTGTAAAGGGATCCTGCCTCAGGCCAAACAGCTCCAGTTCACACCATCACATCATATTCCATTTTCATATTACCTAGCCATCTGCGCTCAGGTCTACCAAACTCAGACTCTGGTCTTTTGCAGCTTCATAATGTGTAGTCTCATAACAATGTTTCAGAGGAACATGCTGCCTCCATCTTCAGGGTTTAAGTGTGTAGCATGAGGAGCTGACCCTGTTACATTAAGACTGCAAGGAGGGCAGTCAGTTATTGAGACTCAAGACTGGAGAAGGAAATATAGCTCAAACTGTACAGTCAGAATGGTAGGTTGGAAAACTTCCATTTTCAGAGGCATGCTATGCTTTCTGTCACTGACTTAAACTGTGAGAAACGACAGTCTTTTCATGGCCACCATACATTTTCCACACTGGAGGGAAATTGAATACTGAGAACTGAAAAAGATGCCCCAACCCAACTCTATAACCAAGTCAGTTCCTTATGTTGTGCACATCCACTTCCCTTACGATGGATGCAGCATGGTGCCAGTCTGAAGAATCACCACTGTGAAAACCTCAAACTTGTGTATAAATATTGTTTCTGGGCAATATCTATCGCCTTGTCTTTACCTAAAAACAATATCCTGTTTATATTACAAAACACATTTCTGAGACTGGATTCTGTCTGTCTTGAGGAACAGCCTACTCAGCTAGGCCAGATTGATAGAGCTAATCCCTATCTCTGGCGACAAAAACCAGCCCTATCAATTTGGCCCAATAAATTTCAGCAATTATCCCTTGATATTCTCTCCGCCATATGGAATTTTTCTGTCATCTTCGAGATTGCAGTTTGAATTTTTTTCCTATTGTACATCCCACACCACCGCTTGGAAAGCGATTTCGGTAACGTTTCGATGTTCGTAACATAACCTCAATTTTAGAGTATTTATTCCATCCTTTCCTAATTCATTTCTCCACCATTTCTAAGTTACGTGTGCACACAGCATATAAATAAATGTCCGTAGGTCCGTAAGACGAAGAAAGAAATAACGACACTATCGGCAGAATATAAACACCGTCTATCGCGGTCTATCGGGTAACAATGGAACTATATGTAAAGCTAGATGAACTAGATGAAGCAGCTGATCGGAGGAAGCTGTGGAAGAAATGTTGCGGGTTGGAGATGATTGTAATTCCCATGCCGCGGAGGTAATTCAGGATTAGTTTAGCCTCTCAAGATGTAGTCGGAATGAGGGCAATAGCGGTGTCTGTGTGGATCTTTATTAATCTAGTGTTTTTGGGTATGTGTGGATACATATATTTGCTATGGTCACAATATTGGCAATATGTTGAGAGGCAGCAGGAGCACATGGCCGGGCTCATGAACAATGCTCGGTCCGGCGGTGGAGGCGTCAGCCAGATATTCTACTACAACCACGACACTTTCACGTCTACAACAGACCCAGATGCCATTGTCATTTCATCTGGGAACAGAAGCAATGCCTTATCCAAGCATCACAGCAATGACAAACCTGGCAACAGAACTTATGTTGGGCGTAAGTATGTAATTACAGAATCCTCCAAAAGAGCTAGAAATAAACAGAATTCCAAAAAATCGCTTCGGGCGCATGTTCTACACTGTTCATTCAAGTAATACGCAGTGTCCGGAAAATTATAGAGCCCTGTTTGAGATCCTCACAGAGAGTAGGGACATTACCACCTTCTGGAATGTAGGTAGGGACCAGTGTTTCAGAGGAATATGTGACTTTCATTTTTAGGGTAGAATAGAGGAGCAAGTTCCTCCGAAGTTCCCCTAAGAAACTACATGATTTCATATCCCAGAAGGTAGTGAGTGATCTTCATATCAAAATACATTCTTCATGCAACTGTAATCTCTGATTATATTCATTTGTAGTGCAAGAAGAGATACATGCTGCTTGTGTCAACTCACAGTGTGCACATCCAGGCTCAGGGTGTTAGCGAGATAGACCAACAGCCTATGCACAATGCAGTTTCTCAATAGTAGTGCTCCAGTAAACCTTTGAATAGCCCCTTTGAAGTGAGCTAAAGCAGTATTTGCCTATTGACTATAATCCCAAGCCTATGCTACTGTATTGAACATTCAGCATTTTTTGTGTCAAAATACATGTGGAGAGTTGCTGAAATGAGTCCATGCACAATATCCACACAAAAAGGAAAAGACCCAGTGTAAATTCCAGGATGTTATAGTTCTAAATAAGAAACTATTTATGTAGATATGAATACATCTAGACAGACAGGATCATAAGTGAAGAAAATACAACCAAACCAAGATGCCAAGAGTCCACTGTATAGACATCGCATGAAGTCAGGGCTAGGAATGACCTTGAAACTATGATTGATGCCTTGCATAAGAGACCGAAGTTTTACGTTTGTTCATTTCCAAAAAGGAATTTGAGTGTGTGAATACAAACATTTTATGGTGGTTGAGAGAATGTGGCGTATTTCCATCTGGTGTGGCCTGGTTTTGTTTGTGATGTGTTGGCTTATGGGCCCATTGATAGTGCTGCAGGTCCAAACACATGTGGAAGGAGATGACTTGATGAGATTGTTTCTCGCTCTCTCTGGACTGGCTGGAGATTTGCGGCAGGTTCTCAGGTCTGACGTTCACATTCATGTCCTGTGAACATGCCACAGGTGCAGAGTGTGTGAAACGTGTGATGCGCAGATCTGTGTGCTGCTGCTTGTTCACTAAATCATCCTCACATTTCCATCATTCAAATGCCTGGATAATACATCTACTAGGCCACAGCTCCTTCCTTCCACATCCATTCTGATTCCTTGTTCACCAATCACCATATCATTTGTTGCTGTGTACTTCGAGCTACTGATAGCATTGTTAAAAGTGAATGGCAGGTAAGTTTTGAGCCAGCCTGTACACTTCTCACTTCTCTTCAGTTTGTGAGCATAGCACTGATCACAAGTCAGCAGATTATGGCAGGAGAGCCAAATGTGGCACTTGAAAGAACTCTCACCCATTCACAAAGGGATGCAAGTTTTAATCACACTGAAGTGCTTGATAAATATATTTACATAACAAATTTGTAGAGGAAAAGAGATCACTAGGAGGACTGAGAGTAGGTTGGTGGATAGTATTAAAATGAATCTCAGATAGGGTAGGTTGGTATACACTAGATTGATCTGGCTTAGGATAGGGACCAGTTAAGGGCTCTTGTGAACATGGTAGTGAGGCTTCAGATTCCATAAAATGCTGGAGTTCTTGAGTAGTTGCATGACTGGTAGATTCTCAAGAAGGGCTCAGCTCCATGAAGTTAGTTAACAAATTAGTGCTAATAAATCGTACTGATGGTGTATCCACAATCTGTCATGTGCTGGATGTGGTCACTCAGCCAAATTGTGTCTATGTGCTGGACACTGAAACACACATGGCCACTGCAAGGGTTGCAACCAGTTGGGACCACCAACCTAATGTGAATTTGGAACTGGCATTTCCACACATGGTCCTAGTAATGTATCATACCAGTATGAGAGTCCAGACAGCTCAGTCAATAAGGGACAAAGCTGCTTGCTGAACAAACAAGGAGTTGGATTCAGTTCCAAACAGTGGCAACTGCATGACATCCAGACTGGGGCCCACCTAGCCTCCAACACAGTGGGTACCAGGGGTTTTTTCCCTGGGGGAAAAGTTGGTGGGGGGGATGAAGCTACCATTCACCTCCATCTAGTGTTGAGGTTAAGAATGGTGGATGTTATATTTCAGCATCCCGTTGTATAAGAATGAAATGTAACAACTAGCATGCAGTAAAATAACGATGTGCACAAGAGAAGCACGGGAAACAAATACAGTGCAGTGGTCTCATTTGAGGATAGAATTCACGTGATGGTGGCCCAATGAGGCCGAAACATGTTGTGAATATAAATTAAAATACATGTGAACCCAAGACAGTTTGAGGAGTGTGAACATTCACTTTTAATGTGTAAATTTGTGTACTGCATAAACGCCTACGGGAGTTTTATTTATTTGAACTATCATAGTATTAAAATGCATTTTTAGTGAACAACATATTCCTAATGTCTTTTTAAAGTTGTATTATTGACGGATATGTTAGTAAAATGGAATAAGAATGGTGGAATATTATCTCCACTCCCCCATACATCTTCATGGGACATTGCTTAATTAAGCACATGCACAACATTATGACTTGGTCTTCAGAGCCTGATTTATAGGAACTGGCTTTCACCATGTGAAGGCAAAGCTCACGTTTGAGTAAAAATTATTTCTGTTGTGTATCATACCCCACATGCAGCATTTAGAGCTCACTCCTCTGATGGAGTAACAATAGTCGCAGTCTAAAGTCTAAAGGGATTAGCAGAACGATAGAATTCTGTTGTTTTCAGGCTTTCCAGTGAATGTGGTCCTACGTCGACACAGCCAGCCGCGGTTCCCCAAGACGAGAGTCAGTGGGGATGAGATAAGGTGTGCAGACTGGAGTGCCACTGATAAGGTATCTTCGAGGGTGCTGGCCTACAAGAGCCAGCTGGTTGTTCAGCTACGGCGTGTACTGCTAGAAGAAAGCAGCGTGTTCAAGGCTCGTGGGGACAGTAATAACCCATACGACGTGAACTACGTGGGTCCCCGTGGCTCCTACATTGGAAAGAGTGTGCGTGAGCTGGTGTGTGGCCTCAAGAAGAAGGTGGGCAGTATACGCGTCATAAGTGCACTAGACAAGCCATTCATGAGCCTGGGCCTCGGGGGACTATTCCCCAGGGCACCCATATTCACTGAAAAGTACAATACCTGCGCCATTGTCACTAATGCAGGCTCACTGTTCGGCTCAGGACTTGGCACTTTCATCGGTAAGTTGGTTTGCATTCCACTCTGAAATTAATACTTTTTTCCTGTTCCCCATATTTTGAAACATAAAATTCTGGGAAGAACTAATTGCCTTCTTTCCGTTGATACAACATGTACGTCTAGTTCAGAAGTTTAAGTTTGGGGTCTCACATGCACATACACACACACACACACACACACACACACACACACATGAGAGCCCACAGAGCACAGTGATCAGAAAAGCATATTCCTTACAGAAGGAAAACTGGTTAAGAAGGATGAGTATATGGGGGTTATTCTCTGTCCAGAAGACCTCTGAGCATGTTATTGTTAAAGGAGGCAACACTATGGGCGAGAAGTCTTGTGTGTTCAACAAGATCTGCAGCATGGCAGGACTGGTTCCCATTGTATGTTGAAAGTAGAATCTGTTAACTCTCTGATGATGACATAATGAACTGAGTCAATATCTGATGACACACTTCAGAGGTGTTAAAAGCACATTGTCCAAGTGCTGAGTAATTCGGCAAGCTTTTGGTCTTTTATATACAGGATACAGTTGGAAGCTTTGCAGGGTGGAGTGTTACACAAAGATAGGGTACAATGTGGTAAGATTTACTGAAGTCATATTATGTGATATTCCAGATGTGTGCGATAGAAGATAAATAAGATGGAAAACTCTCAAAATAAGATTTGCTGCAAAATTTCTTTTCTAGCTAAGGTCAATATGTAAGTCCAGATGAAAAGACAGGAGGAGCCATTCATTACACTGTTTCTGCTGCAGATATGCATGACATGGTTCTGAGGTTTAACCATGCCCCCACAATTGGCTACGAGGCAGATGTTGGTATGAAAACTACACTGCGCATCGTCAACTCCCAAGTAGTGTCGAAACCCAGCTTCAACTTCATGACATCACCCCTCTACCAGAATGTAATTTTGCTTGCTTGGGATCCGAGCAACTACTCTTCCACGCTGGAACAGGCGAGTGTTGTGTTGGGGTGTCAGTGTTCTGTCATTGCTCCAGACCAGGCTCTGACCCATTCTTTCCTCTTGAGCATGTGAGTGACCACATTCCATGTAACCTAACCACATCACATCTTGCTCACTTCGACTGTCAAGATCGAGGCAGCATGTTTCTCAGAAATGTCAGTATCCCTCTACAAAAAAGCTTCATGGGCTCACGTCCGAGAAGAATATGCACTGCTGCTGAAACCTCAGAATATAAATAAGTAAAATTAGTGTAATGTGCATTGAGAATTTAACAGAAGTCTCACCACTTGTTATATAAGCTTTCATACTCTTCACTTCCCTGTTTCCAGCCCTGCATGTTACTGAATGATACGTCAGTCTCCCACAAACATCACACATAGTTGTATAGAATGCATCCATCACATATCCATGTGAGAGTTAGTATAAATACTCACAGAACAGATGCAGTGTGCTTGCTCATTCATGACCTGCTACATAATTTATGTTCATGCAATGTGTTAACACTCCTAGACAGTTGATAGCTAAGTTAACCTGAAATTGCATAGTGACAGTGAAAAAGCTCACACTTTTGAAATGTTTATACAGTAAACCCTTGCTAATCTGGATTAAACTCTAATCTGAATTAGTGAAGCAAAAGCCAGCCTTAGACAGAAGAACTTAGAACACAAATAAATGGAAGTACGTACTCAACTGTGAACAGCATTTTCATGTTTTGATTCAGATTATCTGACATCCGGATTAACTGTAACTGGATTAGCGAGAGTTTACCGCCTGTGTGTATAGATGGATTATTTTTTTATCTTTTTCTGGTGGCCTCCTAACAGTGGTACCAGCAGCCAGACTTTGATGTGTTCACACCATACTTCGAGCGTCGAAAACTTTACCCAGAGCAGGCCTTCTATCTGCTGGACCCGCGTTCACAATGGATGCTGTGGGACTATGTCCAGAGCCTCATTCCAGTCAGAATACGCAAGAACCCACCCTCATCAGGCTTCCTGGGTGAGCTCTGGCTGCCCCTAATGTAGTTGTGTCATGCAGGAGCGCATCTGCTACAGGGGACTATGTACTTTGGCAAGAGATCTGAACGGAAGCTTGTGCACAGGATGAAAGTTTGACACTTTCCTGTCCTCTGTGTGAAGCCTTCTGACGTCATGTTCTCCTGTCCACTTCCACTGTCCACCACCAGCTTACCAACCATAACTTATGTGCTAGGGGTTAACATGTCTCTGCACTCTTTGACGTCTCTTTTAGTCATTTGTATATAGAAACAATGGATGGCAACAGTTTGCATTTTTCCAATCAAAAATGTCTTTAATTGAAGGATGAGAAACGGTTAAGTTCTCAGAAAATTTGTGTTGGGCTTGCAGAGCGTGTGACAGAACTTAGTAAGTTGGACTGTCTCAGGGATACAGCTATTGCCTATACAGATAAATGCTGTAATTATAGCCCAAAATATTGTTCAAATTGGGGTGGTGCTGGTAGGCACCACCACCATCATGGCTGCTGCTGTTACTGCCACCAGCATTATTAATGGATTCTTTTATCTCACTTTCAAGATCTATACTGTATACCATTGAATTCTACGATGACTGATGAATAATGAATAGGAATCCTGTACTAATCCGAGGTAGTGTCCTGGCGTTGGCCTCGGATGACTGAGACAGGTCACAGAAACTTCAGTGAGGATAGCTAGTGTTCCAACCAAGATTGAATCCAAGCAGCTCCTGACTGTAAGTGCACTGTGTTGCTGCTAGACCAATAGCAAGTATAGTGGCAGGAACTCACGCTTTGTGTTTGACCCTGATGCTGGCTATTCTTACTGCAGTTTGGTGTCATTTTCTTCCATTCCTCCAGGTAAATTCTGAAATAATCCTTAGATATGACACACACACACACACTTCCCTATTCATGATTCATAACCATCCTTCCATTTGTACTTGTTTCTTCCTCTACTAAAAGAGATGTCTTTGCCTTACCAGGACTGGCCCTCATGCTTCCACACTGTTCACATGTGGACTTGCTCGAGTATGTGCCATCAGTCAGGCTGACCAAGCGCTGCCACTACTGGGACGTAGCTGAAGACTCATCCTGCACGTTTGGTGTGTGGCATCCGCTGGCTGCTGAGAAGCTCCTTGCTCTAGCACTGAATGTGGCAAGTGATCAGTCAGTGTTCTCCGATGGCTACGTTCGGGTTCCTGGCTATGACACTCTGCAGTGTTGAAGATAAATGTCTGCTCCTGTTGAAATGAGCAGACAGTCAAAGTTTTGAAAAAATTGGTAGTAGTGGTGCTTTACTAGAAGAAAATGTACATGAGGTAGACTGGTATGAACACTTCCATCCACAAAGCAAATCCTTTCTGCTAAAGCATCAACTCTGATAAAACTGGAACCCTAGTAACCACCCACATACCCTCCCCATATCACGAAGGAAACCAAAAACAGTTATCAAGCAGTCACACCACTTAAAGTGTGACACAAAAACTGAGCAACATTGGGTTGCACCTCTTTTGCTTCCTAACCATGTGGCCTTTTCACATTGATTGGCACAATGCTACAACCCCCCACCCCACCCACCCCTAGAGACATACCTCTCCTTCCCCTTACATTGATGTACACTGAAATGTTGCAACAGCTTCAGCACATCACCCAAGTAGTGAAGTGTACTCGTACAGTATCCATCAACATCCATTTTCATGGAACTGGGTGTGAAGTTGGGAATGACCTGTTGCTTAATGTGAATTAGAACAAAGCACACGCTTGCAAGCAGAGTAAGCCTATGGAAGTACGTGGCTGCATAATCTCATTTTCGCTCACCAGTGGAGTCAGAACATTCCTATACTCAGGCAAAAGACAATATAGTGTAGCTGAACTTTGAAAGCCATTTGTTGCATTTGGTTGAGGATTCCCTTCACTTTGAGTCAGTATTTTCTTTCTTCAAAACATGTGTATGCATAATGTTATCTTATACTGATCTTTCTAGTCAACGAATTGATGCCTCCATATGTTGATACAGTCCATAATTCTTAATATTTATATTGGATTTGCCCAAATCATAACCACCTATAATAATATATTTATTATTCTATTATATTTTACAAGTTTAAGTATTTATCTAATTTAATATCATTGTATATAAGAAACAAGGGCTTGTTATTTATTTATATAATTTATTAATCTAAATGTCGATTTAATATTGTAGTTATGGAGTGTAATGACTAGGCTGTGGGCTGAACAACCAAGGAATTGTGGTTCGATTCCCGTGAGGGACAAGACATTTGTTTTTTCTCTGTCGCATCAAGCCTAGCTCTGGGGTATGTGGAGCTGTTCAGTGGGTACCTGGAGGCCATTGCCCTGGGGTAAAGCGGCCGGAGCATTAAGCTGACCACTCAACTCCTGTTAGTGCTGGCATTGAGAATGCATGCAGCTGTACCTCGACTCCCCCATTTGTCTTGATTGGGGGTGTTCTTAAGTAAGCACGGGAGTAGTTATGTCATTGTACCGATTCTGCATGTTGTTAGTGAAACGTGAAATTGTTGATTCTATGCTGCCATTGACATTTATATAAACCACGTGTGTTTTTGAGCTGTAGAGTCCAAGGGCTATGAATCGCCACATATTGAAATTTTTTATTAGCCACATTATGGCAGTATTGTCACCCAGATCACAGGATCAGATTTCTTATCTTTGAGCTTCTTGCAGCAAATTTCTGTCCGAGAAGATGGCTCATTAGTAATGCAGTATTTCCTGATATCAGGTACAAATGAGACTTGCAGCAGACTGCTTCAAACTCAGATGAAAGGCGTATAAGAACACCAACACTGAAAATGCTTTGCACACCTGAATTACACTAGAGACAGTGAAACTGTTTGTATAGGAGCAATCTTTGCTTGTAATTTCATATGCAGTAAACTCCCTGCTATCCAGTTTTCCAGTGTGTATGGGGAATGGGTTCTGCTGCTTGCATGACAAGAACTCTTACAGAAACCCAATATAAAAGCAAAAGAAACATGTTCACTTTAGTTCTTGCATGGAAGTCTTAGTATGTGACTTACTAGATTTATAGGTAGAAGATTTCAGATACACAAACTGAGATGCAATTGCAGATTCAGCTGGCCCCTGTGAGGGAGGATAGTGGGTAGCACTGCTAGTGATGGCTGGGAGAATTACCATGTGTCCGTTGAACATACGAGCATTGCAAATTTGTTTTTGAAAACACTTTATAAAAATGGTAACTTTTCATGCACTGCCAGTAAATAATTCAGTACCAAACTGAAAATGTAATTCTCATTGCTTCTTACCGTACGTTTCAAAGCTTTAAATTCTTGGCAATACTGTGTGCTGATCCCCCATCAAAGCAGTGCTACCACATGTAGAAAAGAATTCACAATTTCAGAATTAGTTGTGACTCAGCACAGGCTTTAACACATTTTGAATTTCCCTCAGAAATATTTTTTTGAAAGAATCATTTTTACAAAAATGAGTTGCATTACCAAACTGATTGATTGGAGCAATAATTCTTGGATAGTGGCAAACTGTACGTACCTTGCCATGTTTTGACAGTTATTTGGCTATGTTTGTGAGTTTCTTCCCATTGTGATCAAATGGCGAGTTAAAAGTGATCAACAGTCAAACACAACTGACAGTATACTGTTGAACAGTAACCAGCGTCCAGCTGCCAGTAGTGTTATGGTGAATAGGCCATAGTGCAATTGAATCATGAAGTAAACAGTTACTATGTGTGAGGTAATCTTGTAGTGTGGTCCACAGTGAATATACTGCATTATTGCTCCTTATTTATCTTTTGACTGGTCACTCTATTTTATGTGTTTGACTTTTGACGGCATAACATATAGAATGTTGAAGGTCATGGAAAACTTTTGTTACCTCTGCTCAGTACTGTGCAGTTTCTGAGAACCCTTTCATGGTCTACTATCCTAAATGTGGAGACACAAGAACATTTTTCATCGCCTCCCTTCATGACCACCTGGTCTCAAAAAATAATAATCTTTCAGTCATCTCTTTTCTCCCCTCCGCAGGATCACCCTATTTTGAACAACAGTGATGCCGTTACTGAAATCTTGTCTGTAACTGTAAATACACCTACTGTGCTGTATCAACATAATACCAGATTCAGCTGTGGGTCCTATACAGTAGTGAGGACAGCCTGCAACTGAGACCATGGTTGCTGCAGTTTTTCTTCTGTTTGGTGCACCGGCGGTTCTCCTTCTTCATGTTCAGCTTACCGTCCAGGAAACTGTGAAGCAGCATAAATGGACATATGCACTCAATTGAGTATGAGGGGTGAGCCATAAAACTGGCCCTAGCGCTGCGACCTTCAATGGTCTATTGTGCTTTATGCAACCAATTACATGTCAGTTGTTCTGATGCAGTGGTACATTATGTTTAGGTGATGCAGTTTTATTTTCACCATGTTAGAGAGATTATTATAATGTATATATTGAATTTATTTCACTACTGCCAGATCTGAGAATTTGATACATTATTTAAGATATAATTTATATGAAATTTAAAGTAAGAGAATACTCAGTTTGATGCCCACCACTGTCAGATTTCAAACAAAGCATATTAATAGTATTACTATGTGCAGTTCAGTGTCAGATCCAGAAAACATCTTGAATGTAAGAAGATGTTTAAATTACTTTACCTGGAGTCTAGTCACATGTAAGGCTACAAGGTGAAGTCTGAATTGAGAGACAAGCTCATGCTGGCAGAAAACATGAAAACCAGAATTTATCTAGTTTACAAACTAATCACAAGACATCGCAAGGGCAAATAAAAAATTGAAGGCTGTTTATTTAATGTAACTCAGAAGTGATATTGGTAGTACTGTGCTGCGAGTAACGGGAATACTGACACAAACTTACCATGGGTGCTTCATTGATAGAACGCACAAAAGAACTGTGATTTGTGAACAGCAGCTGCGAAAGCTGCCGACTTTACAGAAAGATGTCAGTACAAGCTAGTGGCAAGTTTAAGAATTGGAAGTATCTGACTGTCGATGTGGCACATTCTGGTTGATCAGCAAATGCTATATGCATTGAGAGATAAAGGAATAGATCGATCACTGTATCTGGGATGACAGAAAAATCAGCATATGAAATGATCATCAGTAATGGAAATGCATGTTGCAAGAACAGCTTAAGAGTCCATCTTTAACGACATGTTGTTCTGATTGAGTCAGGAAACTTGTGAATCTCTGGAACAACCAATTAGGGCAAAAAGTATGATACCCCAGATCAACGGGTTATTACAGTCGCAACTTACAATAAAACAGCCTTTAATTTGCTGCTTGCCTTTATGGTCACTTTTGAAGTAACTGATGTAAGATGTCAAGATGAAGTACAATTTCTTTCCTATAATCGATTTTTTAGCTGCCTGTAAATTGATTTTCTTAAAATGTCTTCTTGTGTTACATCTATTTTTTGTTCCTGTTATAAGACATATACTTATGTTATATGTGGGGAGTTACATGAATGTTATTGACACTATTAAATCCAGCTGGAACATAATTATGGTTTCTGATGTCTCCCATCAGCATGAAGCAAGGTTTTGCATTGAATTTTGTATTGCTGTTGTGGTACTTTCTGCAGAGGGCTTAGATTTACAGTAGAAGTTATAGGATTCTGCATAGTGAAAAATCAGTGAGGTTGTAAAGGAAAAGAGGAAACCCATGTACCAGTGTGTAATGCTCTGGTATCCTGCTGGATACAGAAATTTGTTTTTACAACTTCCATTTATTTCTGAGACCAGAATGAGTGATTTCTTACAATGGAAGTGTAATTACAATAAACATGACTTTATGGGGGGGGGCTATTTTACAAAACTACCAGTAGGCAGACTGCAGGGTGTGCCAGGAGGAAAGGGCAGTATTCTGGGAGTTCATGGTGTCAGTCATTCTAAGCAAAAAATTGTATGTGTACACGTGTCCTATTCTGAACAGTTTCCGAGAGACAGCTATTTCACTGAACAGTTCAGAATTGTTGGTAAGAAAGAGTTATTACATGCTGTCTCTAATACCAATATTTATTGTTCAAGTGACAAAGTTGGTACAGTTTACCATAATACAGTTTTTAAAATTCCACTGTTGACATCAGTGCTCTTTGCAACTCATGTGAGGACATGGTGTGTAGCTCATCTGAGTGCATCTTGACGTTCCTTTACGTGGGCGATGACTTCGATAGCTCCGTCTCAGAAACCATTCAGATTGAGGTACATGTACACAGAGTTCTTTTTTGGTTAGAATGACTGATGCTGTGACCCCCCAGAATACTGACCTTTCCTCCTGGGACACTGTACAGTATTGAATGGTGAACTAAAAAAGGGAGTTAAACTATAAGAAACCATAGTCAGTATAGCTGGTGTCCTGGCTGAGATTTGAACCGAGCACCTCACAATTATGGTTCACAGCATTACTGCTTGTGTCTACTCATTGGGTGGAATATGTCTGTCGGACCAGTGAGTGATACTGAAAAAACTTCTAAGGCAGTGGACAGTGTGCAGAATATTAGTCATGTTTATTGCAGGCAGTGGACAGTGTGCAGAATATTAGTCATGTTTATTGCAAAATACCATTGTGCGGAAAAAAATACATTTGGTGTAAATGTAATTATTTGTGAAGTAGGCAATGAAGTCACCCCATTAAATTCCCTAGCAACTGTTACAAGAGCACAGTTATTGCCCATAGTAGCAGAAGATGGAGCAGCAGGTATAGTACTCGTATTGGGTGTCATCTCCACAGTGTATCCTCTTACTGCTCAAAATAAACTGAAACAATGTTAATTTGTGATCATAATTTTGTATGTTCAACAAAGACTTGAATCTGACTGCACTGATAACAAGAACATCACACAGTCTGCAGTACCCAAGCACAGGCTGCACTTCTTCCCACAAATTAAACTTAACATCTTCGGCAAGTGAATATATGAAGTGGCCCTGCAAAATAAAAATGAACTTAAATGACAAATCCACTGCACAGTCAAGTCACTTTATTGATCTATGCAATGGAATATTACTATATTTAAGAATAAAAATTTGGAGACAAAACTAAGCAAATTTAATCATGTAAGACAGCAGGAAAAATATTAAAAGAAGAAGACAAAAAATACACAGATAAGACTTCATGATACTTGCCATCCCAGCATCAGCATACAGCAGTGAAATGTGAGCAGTGACAAAGAAAGACCTATACAGAATATAAATTGCAAAGATGGAATTCTTCAGAAATATGGCTGATTGTAGGTTTAAGGACCAGTCTGGAAACAGTAGTATCATTCTATGTATGACTGTTTCTAAGCCTGTGGTTTGTGTCCATTGGTATAATTTGACAGGAGGCAGGGTGGGACTTGAGGTCTCAAAAATAATAATCTCCATGGCAGACGTTTCCTTTCTCTGTTTTGAGCATCAGTGTTCTAAGCAACTTCCAGAACAAGAATGTTCAATATGAAATTGGGTGCTCCCTGAGTAGGATCAGTGTAGGTCAGGAAACACGGTGGAGTTACTGTAGATTTGAGCTCTCATGCCAAATGGATTCATTGCTGCGTATATTGAGAATCGCTGGAAGAAAATTAAAGGCTTTGCTGGATACGCCTACCCCTTAAACTCAAGCTTTTTAATGTCCTTTTTGAAGAGATGGCTGGTGCATATGCGCAAGTGTTCTTGTGTGTGTAAGTTCGTAGGTTGTCTGTGAAAATGTAAAATCTTTTGGTATCTTAATTTTTTTTAATTCACATAGTGGGGGTGGAGTCCAGCTGGGTCCACTAGGCACGTCGGCCACGTACTTGCCTATTGTACCTGCCCCGGGTGATTATGATGGAGAATTTGGTGAAATGAAGATTGCCAGGGGAAACCTGAGTACTCTGAGAAAACTTACCCCAGCGCCACTTTGTCCACCACAAATCCCACTTCATCAGACCAGGGCTCGAACCCGGTCAGCCGCGGTGGGAAGCCAGCGACTAACCGCTCGAGCTATGGCACGGCCTTCTGGTGTCTCCGTCTCTGACAGAAATTAGTACCAGGCATCTTCCTGGGGGTAAAGGGCGCCCGGTGCTTGAAGCTGACAACCTTACCGCCATCTGTGAACTGATTGTTTAGAAAATTTGGGAGCCTCGACGTCTCACAACTAACCTGATGGAGAGCCCTCCTTGACAAGCTAATACTTGTAGTTGCTAATTTCGTAAAAAATAGCGTCACATTTTATGAAAGACACAGGTTCATCACGGTGATCACAAAAGCCCGACAATGGTTACTAGAAGCGTTTCATGAATTAACAACATCAAATCTAATTTCACTGTGCGTTTGGACTCGATGTGGTCTTCACGCGTATGACGAAGAGTACGTGACGTCCTGTGCCTTTGTTGTCCAAGTGGAAATCGGGTTTCTTGTATGCACATGCAGTATACAATTGCAACACACAGTAAACCCTCGCTAATCTGGATTAATGGGGGAAAGGTCCGGATTAACTGATAATACGGATTAATGAAGCAAATGTAGCCCTAAAAGAAGAAAACAGGAAATGCAATAATACAGATAGTGAATGAATTATGCCCAGTGACGTAACTCATATACTTTTTTTGTACACTTAGGTATCATTTTAATTCTTGTATTGGGGTTTTACTCATGTCTCTGGTAGAGTTAGGCCGGTGTATCTTATCAGTCTATGTGTAGTTTCGCTATTGTCTGGCACTCTCATTGCCAGTGCATTAGTGTGGTTTTCTAATTCTCTTAAGTATTTGGTATTCCACTATTTACTTCACAGAGCACTGTGTTCATTTGTAGATCTTCATGGATCATGTGGTTGTTTATGTACCGAGGTGCGTTCAGAATGGATCAGAGAGTCTTGGATTGACAGCGCTGGTGAATTTCGATGTTGGAACTGGAGGCTGTCCCTCATAGCTGAATTCCATAGGTCCATATGGGTTTGAGTACAGCTTCGTATATGAGTTTGCTTTCTAGTGTTTATCTTCTTCCCTGTAGCCAGTGCAGTCGTTTCACTTTTAGGTTGAGCTGTTTTCTTTCGAATTTGATGTGCTTTGCCCATGTCAGGCTTCTGTCGAGATGCATGCCCAGATATTCCACTTCAGTATTCTGGGGTAGATAAACACTGCCCATTTGCACTGTCGGACAGGTTTGGTTTGGAGGGTGAATGTAACATGCGCGGATTCTATTTTATTTGTTGATGGTGGCTTGAAGTTTCATCGAGTCTATCGCTGGATCTTCATGTGTGACTATGACTGCTGTATCATCGCCGAAGGTAGTAGTTGTTGTGTTGTCTGATGTCGGGAGGTCGCCTGTGTAGATAAGATACAAAACGAACCCTAAGACACTTCCTCGCGGTGCGCCTACTTCAGTTTTCCTTAAAGTTGTGATTTCGTCTTTGAATTCATGAAAGAGTCTATGCGTTAGATATGATTCTAATATTCAGTAATATGCATGGGGAAGGATTTTTCTGATTTTGAACAGGAGGCCTGGACGCCATGCTTTATCAAACGCTTGTGTGCTGTCTAGGAACGCCGCAGGGCAGTACTGTGTTCTTCTGAAATTCTTCTTCTTATCTCTGTAACTGGGTGTTTCTGTCGAAATCCGAACTGATGGTCCGTCAGGATTCGGTTTCCTTCTAGTATCGGGCGAAATCCCTTGAGCATATTTCTTCCTGTTGGAAGCCGAAATCCAGGGTCTCTTTTATCCAGCTCAAGCCAATCTAGGATATTTTCTTACGTGGTTTCAGTCTCTCCAGCTGCCCTCAAATTAGTCTGAAAGTCCTCTTCCTCTAATCCCTCTTGCTCGTACATCCCACTTGTCTCTTTAAAGTATTATCACGTGTTTCGTAGGTAACGCGACAATAATATTCACGCGGGTCTCGGATTTGGCTAATAAGTTGATATTAATTTTAATGTTTTTCTTCCTTAAAATTTGATTAAAAAATCGGCGGCGGGAAATTCCCGTCCCCTCCTTCCCGTCACGCGGCACCAACACCAGCAGAAATCCCCACGTTTTAACAAAAGATATAAAAATGACATTGCGCGCGCAGATGAATGGGCGGATGAGATCCAACGAGGGCACTCGGCACTTTACGATGAGAATGCTGACAATGCAGCTGCTGTGCGCCTTGCTGCTGTGTTACCAGAGCGTCGTGACGCTTACAGCCGCCACTACTGAGAACGGTGGAGATGTGGGTCACCACAATTCAACAGTGCCTAAGGTAAATTCATATAAACAAGGTTAGGACTGCAGTGACCTCTGGGGGGAACGATGTGGAAACCCTTCGAGTGCCAGCACGTTTCCAGATATGAGACCAACATTTTGATATCTTAACCCACAGGAAATAATCTGCATGTCAGTAAGCTATTTGTTTATAATTAATTTATTTAGGTTCAAACGCGCCGCTGGCTGCGTCTTGTCTTACTGAAAGCCCATATTCCTCAATAAATTTGCAACAGAATTTTATCATTAAGTTTTACAGGGCGTCAGTGTGGCTCTGAATGTTCTGAGGACCTCGTATTAATATTTCTGATAACATGCGACTCAACCTGCGAAGCATGGCGTCTCCTACATCACAGAAAAAAAAAACTGCAACTCGATGAGTACAGTTTCTGTGCTGTAATGCCTTTCAGTTCGGAAGGAGAGTGAGAATTCGGAGGAACAGATCGCCTCCATGTCCAGAATCGAAACGATAGCCAAAAGAAGCAGCAAAATATACGGAGATGTCACGCTGTTTTGTGCTCGGATTACTCTTCGATCCTGAAGAAGGAGATGACATTACTCACCGAATCCTCGGGCTGTTTCCGCAGTGAATAGCACTGAAAGCCAGAAACCCGTACTCTCAAATAGTGACTGCCACGAGAAGCCCCATACAGCATCCCCGTTACAAAGACCAACCCGTTAGCATCACACAGGGGGAAGATCGCCGTTTGTTGTGAGAATCGTACGAAACGTAAAATGCGATGTGCGTGCAAAATGCAGAGTGTCTTACAGCAGGTGGTATGTATAGTTGCCGCCATGCTTTAAGGGAATAAAACATACATGAATTCCTGTAACTGCAACATTTAATTCTACAGTACGGGATCTTATTCTCATATTCAAGTAGGAGTGCTCGGTCCAGAAGGCCCATCATATCGATCTGAACTGTCTCAATGGACTCGTGTTCTCATCCAGTGACATCAAGTTAAATCCTTCCAGGCATTTCTCGGAAAATTTCTTTTTTTCCGAATCCCTTGAAAAATCAGTCGAGAAATCGGGAAAACAGGAAGAATGAGTCAATGTCTTATGGCATATTCCGGCACGAAAGCAGAAACTAGCCACTCTCACTCACGGAGCTGAGCCCTTCTTGAGAAGCTACCAGTTGCGTAGCTACCCAAGAACTTCCCAGCATTTTATGGAATACGAAAATTCATTACCGTTCATTTAAAAGAGCTCTCCACTGGTCAATATCCTGAGCCAGAGCAATCCAATCCATACCATCCCATCTCTCTAAGATCCATTTTACTATTGTCCACCCACCTACGTCTTGGTCTTCCCAGTGGTCTCTTTCCTTCTGACTTTCCCACCAATATCCTACATGCAATCCTCTTCTCCCTCATTCCTGCTACATGCCCTGCCCGCCTCATCCTCCTTGACTTGAACATTCTAATTATACTTGGAGAAGAGTACAAGTTATGAAGCTCCTCATTATGCAGTTTTCTCCAACCTCCTGTCACTTCATCCCTCTTCGGTCCAAATATTCTCCTCAACAACCTGTTCTCAAACACCCTCAGTCTATGTTCCTCCCTTAATGTCAAGAGACCAAGTTTGATACCCATAGAGAACCACAGGCAAAATTATAGTTTTGTATATTCTGATTTTTATGTTTTTAGACAACAGACGAGAAGACAAAAGGTTCTGGACTGAATGATATGTAGCAAGCATTACCCGAGTTCAGTCTCCTCTTAATTTCCTCCTGGAACAGATTTCGATCTGTTATGTCGTTCCCAAATATCGGAACTGTGCCACATTTTCAAAACATCTGTTTCCTGTCTTTATGTCATGATCTTGCCCTGCAGTTTGGTGACGAGACAGCAACATAAACTGATCTAACATCTGAATTACCAAAAGCAATACAGATTTCAACGGCAAAACCAAAATCATGGAAAGCAGACAAAATAAACATTTGCATCGTTAAAAAGAAAAACGAGTCTGTATGAAGCGACATGTACCGTAACGCATTTGCACGCCCTCTCAACACTGAGACCAGCGCCAACGCAAAATGAAAAGAACGTTTTCTACGTCTTGAGATATTTATCACGAAACAAAGATGAAGACAGTCGGATAGGGAAATTAATGCTTTGTGTGTTTTAAAATTTAATTTTAAGAATGATAACTTTTAAATATTAAATACCTCTGGTGTTATCTTACAATTTTTAAAATGATTTTATTTGTCACTTTCTGTGTTAATGTTCCCGTCTTCTGTGCTTTCCGTTATCAGATGCCTACGTCAGGTAGCGATCATTTTTACATATTACTGAATTATATAATCTCGTCATAATATATTGGCTCATAATGATAATGATGATGATAATAATAATAATAATTCAATTCGTGTTTATTTATGTGCAAACTTAACAGCACAGTGGCCAATTACAAAGTTAGCACGAGTACATCGAAATACACAAAAATTAAAGAGCAAAATAAAAAATATGACAGTCTATACAATATCAATAAATTAGTAACAATTCCAAGAAAAGAAAAGAAAAAAAAATAATTTAGCCTTAACAGGCGAGAAAAATAAAATAAGTACATTTCGAATGGTTATTCCATTATGTGATGAGAAGGACAATACACATACATACACACATAGAAGTTAATAATAATAATAATAATAATAATAATAATAATAATAATAAAATAATAATAATAATAATAATAATAATAATAATAATAATAAGACCGTGCATATATTATATCTTTTTTGCAGAAAACCTCTGAAACTCTTAGTATAACCCCATCACAGAAAAATTATCCAGTATTTATTATTATGGTCACTCTGTTATTTAAAAACACGAATATAAAGTATTATGAAGAATACGGAATAACTTCCGACTTCTCATTCCCGAGTCCTGAAGATTAATATCTGTCAGGAACTTGGAAAACTATTCACAAGTTCTTCCTCTAAGAACTGCCTTATTACGTAAATAGCGAAAGACTCGCAACCAATTTCAGGTGACAGTTACAGCGCCTGACGACAAGCTCAGGTCTGGCTGCAGTGGTTACTGATGACTAAGAGGCCGAACGCTACTTTTCATCTGACATTTCTAACACAATACAGCGGCAACCGTATATACCGCTGCCTTTACCACTCGAAATCTCTGCATTGCGCCCACGCTGTGTACGTATTACCGGAGTCTGTTTCATATCAATTTGAGGGTGTCACGCGGGCGAGCGTGAAGAGCTGAGTCTTCTGTGTCTTCTGGGGCGTTGCTTGCCGCTCGCTTTTTTTTGCTGTTGCCTGAGTGGGTTTGCGTTTCAAACCTGAAAATGAAGGCAGAACTCTCATCGGACTACACGGAAATCTTCAGTGGTGAGTTCCCAAGAAAACCTTTGCAATGGAAATAGTGTTCTCCGTGGGGTACGTGTAGAGCTTCAGGCTTCAGAGGGTTAAAGTAACACGTGACTAGAGCCGCGCAGTAATGAGGAAGAGTCAAATGAGCGAACCATAGCTGGGGGTCATGGGTGAAACACGGGTCGCTTCAAGGGAGGCGACGACCTTCAGACTGTGTGTCAGTAACAGACCTTGTTACGAACGGTTCCTGGGGCAGCAGTTGGGGGGCTACTTTAATGTGCTGAGAACATACCCGGGATTTTCTGCCCAGTACCTCCACAGGCCCAATTCTACAAGAGGTCCTGACGGTTCTCTATCAAGTCAACGTCATACTGCGACCGACAGTCAGATGGCCAGTCTATCTTGAAATAAAGCACCCATCTGCCCCCCCCCAAAAAACCAGATTTGTATTACTGTCAGACAGTTGAGGGTTTGTTGATGTGGGACGCCCTCTCTCACGAGAGGACGGGTCTGTCGTTTTCCAATTGCTGCTGGCCTCGCCAGCGCAGTCATTCTCAGGTCCGAGTCCCGCGTAATTCATTCCCATATTTTACTGTCTCAGATTTGAGACCCCCCCATCCTGGAGGGCCAGGTCCCAGTATTTACATCCCCCAGGAACATGGTGGCCTGGTTATACCCCCAGGCACTGAGTTCCCGTTTCGTCGCCTCCTACGACTCGCAGGGATACCGGTTAATGCTGTTTATGGAGATAATCACTAATTATTGTGGGAAACATACCAAAGACATACATGCATTATGTGGGCAAATTGCAGAGCGTAATTTGTGCATACAATTAGCACTGCGTAGCTCACTCAATACAGTGACTAGGCTACAATGGAGAACTGGAACTTCCGGCAGGTGAGGAGATGGTCTCTACTCACGGCATCTAAAATGGCTCTGGACACATCCAGCACACTATCAACTTGGTACCAGTGGACAGGGAGTGAAGCTGACCACTGAAACCCACCTAGTGACCAGGTTAAGAATGGATGGGGCTATACCTCCACCCTTTCTCACGTCTTCATGACGTGTGACTAAACTGTCACTCCCATCTCACAAACTCATCATATCGCCCTCCTGTTGTACTGCTAAGAAACTTAAAAAAGTACAAATTTTGTCTCCAGTGGTGTAACATTCACCCCACAATTCGTCGATATGGGTCAGTTGTTTTAGAACTTCGAAGGGGCACACAGACAGAAAGACAATCTCATAAGCCTTCTCTTTCGCTGAGGAAGAGAGGAAGACCGTAAACAGGAGGAGATGCAGGACCACAGGCCAAGTTTCATGGTCCAATCGCTCTTATCACGTATTATCTGAAGTGACCTCACAATCAGGACAGAACTGATTCAGATGTTCCGTTACAGTAACAAGCCAGACTGACGTTATGATCGAATCACACAGACGATGTAGCTACTGTCAGCGTCTCACACCTGCTGCCTCAGCTTCATAACACACGTCGGACTACACGCTGTCGCTTGTGGCAGTGCGACTACTCGTACGGCGGGTTCCGGATTGATGACTGGACTTGTTGCACTCTTTGATACACAACGCTTGACCACGCCTTACAGGTCACTGTTATACACACACGCACACTAGTGGCCACAGTCTCGTCTCCACTGCCGTTGCTTGGTAGCGGCAACTAACGGCGGACGTCGCCTTTCCTCTGGGTTCCTGAACTATCCCGCACTCATTCACCGAGCGGCTCCTCACACCAACTTGTCGTGCTTATATCTCGGCACGGATTGCGTAGAAAACACCGCTTCCTTTATTTTTGTATCCAATTGTTTCCTTTCGAAACGTGCTTTTTTGAGGAGCCGTTATTTAATAACAGCTGTTTTATAGCTGCTACTTTCGAGATCGTTGCCTAGCAAGGAGTCTACATTCCACAATACATTTTTAGGATTATTATAACTTGTCATACAAAAGTATTAAACTCGTATTAAGCCCTTGGAGAATTTTACGCGAAATCTTTGCAGTCGAGGGCAATGTACTTACTCGGTCACTCTGTCTCACTGTGAGTTGCTCTTATACGTACATTCTAGCCTTAGTTCTCAATGAATATGTGCGCCGTGGACCTCAAGATATTCTGGGGGGGGGGGGGNGCAATACGCATTTAGCGAAGCTGCTTTCTAGAGATATGATATGAATTTCATTTTTCGGAGAAGGTGGACGTTACAAAGGCGACTCGAACACTACATAGGCGGCAGGCATACGAAAAGGAAGACGGTACATGTGGCATAGAATGAAGAACTGCATTTACTTCATTTAGAAACATTATCAATAATAACGTAGTTGGTTGAGGCACTAATGTTACTAGACGAAAAGTCGCTGGTTCGATTCCCGATGAGGTCATTGGGTTTTTCAATTTACCCAATGCTTTCGGCCACACTGTGGCCTTCAGTTTGACTCAGCCTCTAACAGAAATGAGTACCAGGAAACTTCCTGGGGGTAAAAGACGGCCGACCAGCGCGTAAGGCTGACAACTTCACTGCCATCTGTGAGCCGACTCTCTTGATAATGTGGGAACCTCGACGTCTCACAAAACCATGGGCCTCCGCGGCCTGTTACAGGGTTAGCTTGACACGGATCGCAGTAGCGCGGAAGGCACAGCTCCTGATGACGGCCGAGCAGGGGGAAACATCTAGTGCAGTGACGAATTTTAAAAGGCTTTATTTTCAGATCTTGATATTATTGCTTCCATGTTCTGCTCTTGCTCGTGACTATTTGCCTACATAACGCCAGAATTAGCAAACCCAGGTTACTGTCACAAGTTCCTCAGGCTGCGTTCTGTCTTTCAGCCAATCATCTTGCGCCTCTACATGAATACGGACATCCGATTCCGGTACGCACGGACCGCTGTCACCAGCAGGGTAAGCAACGCCGCCAACATCTCCCAGGAGGTGGCGTTCAGCGTCGTGCTCCCAGACGCTGCCTTCGTGTCCGGATTCCACATGTGAGCAGAGCGGAGATATTACGTTTTTACGGCGGTATCTTGCAGGATGTGACGCCGTGTAACCCGGTTAAAGTTCACCGACGTTTCGGAGGAACTTGCCTCTCCAGCTTTAGGGCAGAGGAACAATCCCAGCAAGCAGATTCTTGCTGTTGTTTGCTTGAGTTATTCTTAGATCCCGAAGATGGAAGCAGTAAGTTCTTCCGAAACGTTGAGATATTTCTACCAGAATACACGGCGTCACTTCCAGAAGGGAGCAGCAGGATTCATTCTTATGGTACGGTGTAGTGTGGTCAGTGGTGCCATCTCCACAGTTTTGTGCCGTGAAGATGGGGCGGTATGCTGTTACGAAACACTGCTATCCGCCTACCAGACTACACGTGTCACAATGGACTGCTTCCATGCCTGTGGTTTCGTCTTCATACAGGCCTGACGTTCTCACTGGAGTCAATTCATGAGGTCAGCTGCCTTTGCGGATGTAATACCGTGTTGTCGAGTAGCAACGTTTCGAAGGCACCTGCTGCTTCCATCCTCAGGGCATAATGATGTGCCGAGCGTGGGATCAGGACTGAGACCCTCGGTGAGCCAGTAGGAGACGAATGAGCGGAAAAGTGCAAAGATTACTAGGCCTTTACGATAATGCAGCTTACTCGTCTATCCTGAAGAAGGGGGCAGCAGGTTCCTATCCACGTCAGAAGTCAGCGCAATCGGTACGGCGCCTGGCTACGGGCTGGACGGCTGAGAGGTCGGAGTACGAGGCCCGGTAGGGTCAAGAATTTTCTCATCTTCGCGTCGTTTTGACCGGTTCTGGGGTCCACACAGCCTCCTATGTAATGGGTGTCGTGGGTAAAGAGGCCGGGGCGTGAAGGTGACCATTGACCTCCAACAAGTGCCGAAGTGGATCTATACATCTAGTCCCCCATACGCCTTCTTGGCGTAGGGCTTAATTAGTTAAGCACAGGGACAAGTTTACCTTTCACAATTTTCTTCTGAAATTTACTGGAGACTAGAAACAGGGTCAGTTAGAGCCTTGAAACCTAAGCTCGTCTCAATTATACTTCAGAAAATTCAACTGCTACGTCACAGAAAACCCACTGTGTTTCCATTACAACTACCAGTCGCTTGATGTTGCCACCGCCGGTTGTTCTGAGAGACCGGTACACGTGCTTGCCACTGCTACATAGAGCTTGAGCCGAGCAGAAGGTGACACTGAAGGGGATGTTCTCCATTCAGGGTGGCAGACGGCGTGCAGTATGACGCCTACGTGAGAGAGAGGGAGGCCGCAAGACAGGAATACACGCAGGCGCTGAGGCGGGGCAGGACTGCGGGTCACGTGGCTCTCAGGTAAGTGCATAGCTTCATTGTGTCATCTTACGAGGGTCTTCAGGATAGAGACCAGTTGCTGAGTCTTCTGTAAAAGGCAGGGAACTTGCTGACCAGTTGAGAGACCATCAGATTCTAAAACATAATTAATCGCTTCTCTTCCAGCACCCGAGATTCGCAGCGATTTGCGGTCTCCGTGAATGTGGAGCCGCACAAAAAGATTGACTTCAGACTGACGTACGAGGAGCTACTGGGCAGGCGCCTGGGGACGTACAGACACGTCCTCAACCTGGACCCAGGGCAGATCGTTCAGGACCTCAGAGTAACAACGCGCATCAGCGAGTCCAGCAACATCACGAGCCTTAGAGTTCCTGCTCTCAGAACAAGCAACGAGATATTAGATGACCCGTCGGGTGAGCTTGCACAAAATTGAAACTGAGGCTTTTCTGGGAAACGAATATAGACGCTCCGCATGCGGACATTTGTGAGTCACTGATTTTTTTGTTTAACTGAGGCTCGTTTTATTGATCACGCTAATTCTGTCTTGCATCACGTTTGTGTGGGTAAAGCTGCTGATGTTTCGGGGGTGTATCTTGCTCCCATCTTCAGATTAGGGTCTAACAGACTCATGGGAGAATGTGAGAGGAATGCTGCCCAGTCCGGATGGGCGGTGAATGAACCAAAATGCTATTGGTTAGTGGCGTTGTCAGGGGTCACACATCCAAGTGCTAGACGAGCAAGTTTCTGCCCAACTTCCTCTGCTGCGTGAATCTTTGTGCATTATATACATACACATTTTCAGATGGAACCCAGGCCCAGTCCTGCAAGTAGAACTGCCCACATAATCAGCCCAACAACAAGCGCTCGCAGCAGTGACGCCGTGCAGTTCGGAGGAACCTATCCATTCTACCTTCAGGGTCGAGGAGTAAGCAAAGCAAGACAGGAGAAAAAGAGAAGCAGGAGATAAGTTGAGCGCACTGTGCGAGGAAAGTCTGGCCCTGAAGATTGAGAAATGTGTTTCCTCCGAAACGTCGGGATTTCTCCCAACTACACTGAGTTATGACCAGAAGACCTATTCTGACGTGGAGGCAGTTGCAACCTGACAAATATGACACGTGATGCCCCTTTGCTTGCAACCTCACCCTACCAATGTAACAGAAGCGACTTTTGGCATGGGAAGATAATTCCACTGCTATCTGTTCGGCCTGCACGCCCACTTTCTTATGTAATGCACAGCAAATTTGTGGTGACGGCGATCTGCAGGTAACGTAACCTGTCCACAGCCTGAACCGAACGTTCTGCTCCACAGAGGCGAGCAACCCGCTTGTCATCATCGAGCGGCCTTCCCCCGAGTCTGCCGTGGTGAAGTTCTGGCCAACGGAGCAGCAGCAGCGAGATCTTGCGGCCGAGGGCTTACAAGGTCAGCTCGTAGTGGAGTACGAAGTAGACAGGACATCGAGACCTGGCGAAGTTCTTGTACGTAAATCCACAGACGAGACACTATTCTCGATGTCATAAAATTATTTAACCATTTAAATGGCACTTGTAACTATATGTACCACCTGCTGTAACATTAAAAAATCTGCATGAACCAGTTGGTATCTGTGATGCACACGGAGCACAAACTGAATTTGTAAATATTTTTAGATGAACTTCGGGACTGAAAAAGCTTATTAACTCTTTGCTATGAGTAACCCAGTAACTAATTTCTCGATAATATGCCGATCCCAGAGGCTGCGCCTAGAAATGGGTCACGGTTTCGAATCCCGATTCGATGATAAACCTGTACCTGCTTTTCTGTTCATTTTGTTGCCCTTTGAGAGCGGAAGTCTTGTGATGAACTTATCCAGTGTCTAAGGAGGTACACCTCCTCTGATAATAATCCTTATTAAACTGTTGCCAAAAAGTGTTCTCTGTGTCCGCTATGTCCGTGTGCCCACAGGTAAGCGACGGCTACTTTGTCCACTTCTTCGCTCCTGAACACCTGCCGCCTTTACGGAAACACGTCATATTTGTGCTGGATGTCAGTGGGTCCATGAGCGGTCGCAAAATCACACAACTCAAGGAGGCCATGAGCACTATCCTGAGCGACTTGAATCAGGGTGACCTGTTCAGCATAGTGCCCTTCTCTTCCACCGTTCAGGTATCGTAGTTCAGTGTCTTTGTCTGGCACGTCACCGCTGTCGTCACCCAGCTGCTGGGTTGATGTGACCTCAACCGCTCCATGGAGGGGACGGCCATAAGAACCTCGGTCACGACAGCCAAGCGTGCTTCCCAGAACTTCTTGTTTGGTGATGAAGTCACGTTTGAAGTCAGTTTCATGTGGGGTAGTGAGCAGGCGTGGAATGGCATGGAATTAGACATACATATTCTTAGCATGGGGTCATCCGCACCAAATTTAATCAAAATATACTGCCTGTCCCGGGCATTGCGAAGGCTTGAGAATAATGTTTTTGTCTTCAGGTGTGGGACTACAATGCAACGGAGTCAGAGCTGAGGAATGGAAGGCGGAGGCTGGGACAAATCCGCTGGGGCGACTATGGCGAAGAAGAAGAAGAACAAGCAGAGACGCTGGTCCCTACTGTCATAGCGACCGCCACCTCTGACAACATAGAGAAGGCCAAGGAATTCGTCAACGATCTCTCAGCCATCGGCGGTAAGACGGCTTCGTGTTAGCCACGTCTGAATTCTGGGCAGTTACATGATCTTATCGATTTAGAGCCTGTTTCAGTTTCCTTCTTCAGATTAAAGATACAGCAAAGAATCTTATTCAGATGGACTGCTTGGTAGAGCTAGTCTCGGACCCTGAACAGCTGCAATCATTATGAGGTAATGTCTTAATAAATCAGTCCTTGACGATGGATACAGTGACTGTTTCCGAAACGATTGAAATACATTTATATTTCGACTGCTGGAGCGAAATTCATTGCACTTACTTGCCTTGAAAATCTTAGACATAAAAAAATATGTTTTTAGAGTATAAAAGAATTGTTAGACAAAGTACAAAATCTGTCATACGCAGAGGACGTACGTCGGTTGTGGGCACACTATATTGTCCCGTGCATCATCGCTTCTTCCCCGAGGTTCGAAAGGTCTGTAAGCGCGGTCAAAAATCGAACATTAAATAACTTGTATGTTTGTACGTATGTATGTACGACGATAATAACAACAATGACAACAGTGTATTATACTATTAAACATATTTTTCCAGCAACCAACATCAACGCAGCTCTACAGAAAGCTCTGCAGATCTCTCGGCTCAGCACTGAAGAAAACAGTGTGCAGAAACCGGAACCAATCGTCATTTTCTTGACGGACGGACAGGCCAACATTCATCCCAGCGACCCGGTCAGCATAATGTCCAATGTACGGCAGGCAAACACAGGCAACTCGTCCATCTTCAGCCTGGCGCTCGGACGGCACGCGGACTTCACCTTCCTGCAGAAGTTGTCCTTACGCAACACCGGCTTCGCGCGGAAGATCTACGAGGCTTCAGACACGGCTCTGCAGCTGCGGGATTTCTACCGCCAGGTGGCATCTCCGCTGCTTGCTAATGTCACCTTCACATATCAGCCCGATCAGGTTATGTCCGCAACGTTGGTGGTTTATTTTTTAATACATCTCTGACGGCACGGCATGGCACGTCACGCCTCGAGTAGGCAACCTTACGGAAGAGAAGTCCCGTCTGGGATGGCGAAGGTCTGTTTGAAATAGTCATCCAATTCCACACGCCAAATTATGATTGTTCACCAAATTAATAGTTTCCAGATGGCTGCCCTATTATTTTACTCTTTTGGGTCTGTTAAAGGAAGAAAGGGATTCGATGAGATTCATTGGACCCAAGATCTGGACCAAAGAGACATGAAATGAATCATCGGGTTCCGTAGAAGACGGGAATATCTCGAGTAGCTGAGCCACTATCGGCTTCACAAAATATAAAGTCTGGGGATTATGTATTTCAAAGAGTGTCAGCAAAACATAACTTCAGAATAAATGCCTATCATTTCCTTAAACAATATTAACTTGTTGGTCTTCGCAATGTGGAAGCAGTTACGTTCTGTGTGAGGTGGGAATCGAATCCCTAAAAGTTATTTACATTAGTCTGTTATTGTTTCGTCAAAGTTGCTACTGATGTTACTAATGCATCGCTCCAATTTCAAATTAATCAAATCCCTTGTTATGAAGGCCACAATATTACTGTATTAAAATTAGGAAAACCTCAACTGACCAGAAAATCTAAATTCTGGGGCCATAGGTTACTGCGATTCGCAAAATTACTGTTATATATCAACCAACAAAACCGTTCAGGAACTGTGAACAGTAAGCGTTGCCCAGGCCTTGGACAATATCCATGGACAAAACTGACGTACCAGGCCATCAGCTGGGCACTTCTCTCTTCTGTCGCCAACGTGCTAATTGGTGAGCAAGGTACGGAGTCTCCTGCTTATTCGTCGAGTGCTGATGCTAATGTGACAAAAATTCTTTCTCTCAAACAGGTGGCGAGAAGCACCCTGACCAGAACCAAGTTTCGACGAATATTCTCTGGCTCAGAAGTTGTCGTCGCCGGGAGACAGAGCTCAGAGGACTTCACGAGCGAAGTGAAGGGACAGTCACTGTCTGGGAACTCACAGTATTCCTTCACCCCGACAGCACTGCCTCCTGCAGACACCAATGCGAATGCGAGCTCCATGGAGCGACTTTGGGCCTACCTAACCATCCAGCAGCTGCTGGAAAAACAAGACGCGGGCACCGACGACGTCAATGATTACTACTGCTGTGATGAGGCCGACGACGATGGTGATAGAAATAACACCGACGCCCTGACACTTGCGCTAAGGGTGAGTGCTCGCCTTTCGCATATCGGCAGTGTCACAAGCGATGCGTTTGTGACGAAATGCGCATTATTTTCTATGCCCCAAGTAGATGAAAAAACCTTCCGACAAAAATTATCAACGTACAAGTGCTTCTTGAAGGCTTATAGGGGATTGAAGGTATAGATAAATGCATTCTTAAGCTCAAGACTAGCTGGAGGTGAGCGGTGATGTTGCGCCCACTTTACTTCCTGGAACAGGGCCCCCGGCGCTTTTTGGATAGGAGGCTTGATAGGTCCACAACTGGTTTGGACGCTGTGCAGAAGAGATTCAGCTCTTAACAGTGCCAGAAATCGAACCCCAATTCCTTAGACATCCGGGCCGAGCCTGTAGTCCGTTGCTATACCGACTGAGCATGACACCAACTTGAATACCGTATTATTATCGGCACGAAATGTGTCCTCAGTTGCACGTGACATGGTTTTCGTGCTTCTGTTCACAGTATTCGTTCGTTACGCGGTTGACGTCACTTGTCGTTGTGAAGCCAAATGAAAATGCGTCCTCCGTGAACACCGAGGACGCGAGTGAAGCGACTGCACCAACTGCTCATGCACTTCCTGGCAAGTATCTGTAACTACTTCATTCCATGGAGCTCGTTTCTCCTTGGGAGGCATCGCTCAGCTACTCAAGAAATTCTCAGACTTTTCTGTAAACCGGTGGTTAATTGTCGTCCGCCACTGGTACCTATCCTAAGCCAGATGAATTCAGTCCACTTCCTCCCATATTATTTAATATTATCCTCCTATCGACGCCTATATATCTGTACTGGTCTCTTTCCTTCAAGTTTTCCTACCTGAATTTTGAATGAACATCTGTTCTCTCTCATGCATGCTACGTGCCCTCCCATCTCAATGGCTGTTAAGTATTTATACCACGTTTAACATTAACTTACTTTCGGAGTTATTTTAGTGGACTTCATACGAATGACAGAATGACGTGTCTTGGGAAAGTATGCATACATTTTAAAACAGTCTCGTCCTCTCTTCCCCTATATCCGTACCATTCTGACATCATTGGCTTGTTTGTTTACCCTGAAGACAGCAGCTGTAGGCTTCTACGAAACATCTGTAACAGCCTATCAACCCAGCCGTGTGAAGCTCATGTGGTAAGAGAAGTGGGGTTCACAGTAGTACAGATAATGTCACATGTGTGAATTTGACTAAAGACGGGGTTTGGATTGGTAATTGGATTTACTGAACACTTACAGATCGTAACTACAAATAACTCTAGCACTGTCGCTAGTTCACACTCCACAATTCACTACAGCACGCAGTAAGATTTCTTAGTCTGCTGTATTTTCACCGGTTATCGCCTGGTAACGGCTTCGAATGCCGTAGCTTCCTCAGTTTCCATGTTCACATTCTTGCTGACCAGCAACTGTCCCACAATTAACTCCTTGCTCTTACTGTCGACTCTCAGTGAGCTAACTCTCGGGCTGGCTGCTGTCTCACACTAAGCTCCTGCTCTTCCCACTGCCGCCTCAAGACTCTCTTCTAAGTCAAAGTCAAAGTCAAAGTTACTTTACGAATGGCGGTTTGTCGCCATTCAGTTCATCTCGGCGTCAAGACCCTTGAAACCCACGATCAGAGGTCTTTTTTCTACCGACCTCTAGCGGCAACAGCCCTTGTGCAAAATCCTCTCTGACGGGAAAATGGGTTTGTCTCCTATGAATATGCTTGGCCTTCCGTCAAGTGTAAATTACGCACATACAGCGTGTTACTGGAAATTCTTCTTTGTGCACTACACACAAGTCTTCTGTCAGTCCAACTTTCACAGAGCAGATCATACTTATCTTATGTATCTTATGCTACAACGGCAGCTTAGTCACTTGAACGGTCGTAAGCTTGACCGCCGCCAACTTTAAGCCTCATATTTTCTACGTGTATGTCTGGCTTCACCTTGTCCTACGTGAAAATCGCAGACCAGTGTGTACCTTGGAAAATTTACAATAGTGCAGAAAATCTTGTTTTGCATAAGCTGCAACTTTGAGAGGCCGGTGTCTGCCGCTAATTCAGAGGCGGGACAAGCATAAGTCATTACAGATCTGATTAGTGCCTTATGGAGGGTTAGTTTAATGTTGACGCTTAAACGCTCACTTTTGAATGGGGAGCAGATTCTAATCAATATTCGGAAGGCCTTGGCTTCAGTCATTTCTATGAGCAGGCTCCATGATAGATGAATGATGAATTGGAGGTTGTGGTAGGAGTAGCACCCGTTGAATTTATTTATACTCGAATGTGGTTTATTTCGTTATTATGGATTTCTCGCATGTGTGTATGTAGATACTCGTATTTGTTGGTTCATTTAGACCTACTACGTATTTATCTGCTTATACATGATTTATTTCACTTCCACCGAACATGGCGGCTGGGTGTGCAGCACGTGTATTTCCTGTTTCGGAGGTGCCGCTTTGAAATCTCGGCCCGCAGATCCGTTATTCTGCCTGAGGCCTTTCGTGCCAGGATTAGTGTCTTAAACTAGGTAACGACGACCACTTTCTTCCACATTCTTTCAGATACATTATTCACAAATCATCCTACTATCAAACGCCGCTGTATAGTCTGAATTATTGATAGCGTTGTTACATCATCATCATCATCAGTAATCTGTCAAGACGACAGGTCCACAGTCTCTTTCAAAACAATTCCTCCACTTAATGCGATCTAGAGCTTTCTCCTTCAAATGACAGTATCCTCTTCTGTCCCCAAGGTCATCCAGCATCTTCTTACGTCTTCTTCCTCGTCTTCTTGTCACTTCTATCCGCCCATCTATCTTTCCTTCGATAGCTTCTTTTAGAAGGCAGTTTCTGCGTAAAACATGACCAATCCAATTAGCCTTCCGTTTTCTTATTTCATGTAGGATATTCCTCTGCTCACTGACTCTAATTAACACTTCTTCATTTCTCACATAATCGGTCCAACTGATCTTCTCCATTCTTCTCCAACACCACATTTCGAAACTTTCCAGATGTTTCTGATCTACTGCCCTAAGTGTCCATGTTTCAGCCCCATACAGAGCTATGCTCCAAATGTAGCATTTCACTAGTTTCTTCCTCAAATTTAAGTCCAATTTGCTGGTAAAAAGATTCTTCTTCTTGCTAAATGCAGCTTTTGCCATGGCAATCCTGGATTTAATTTCACAAGTACACCTTCCATCATCTGTTAACAAGCTACCCAAATATTTAAAACATTTCACATTCTCCACTTGTTTTTGGTCTATCTTTATTGTGACTGGGGTTGGTTGTCTCGAAATTTTCATTACTTTTGTTTTCTCCACATTCATTTCCATGCCATAGCACCTTCCAATTTCAATTAGTCTATCAATCATGCCCTGTAGCACAGTTTCTTCCTTAGCCATTAACACAAGGTCATCTGCATATTTCACAGTTTGAATAATTTGCCCTCCTACTTTGAAGTCACCGAGCCCATCCAGAGCTTCCTTGGTAAGGCATTCGCTGTACAAGTTGAACAGAATTGGTGATAAACAGCATCCTTGTCGAACTCCTCTTCCAATCTGCACACTTCCTGTCTCCCCCCTGTCCAGTCGTACTCTAACTTTCTGATCCATGTACAATTTGCTAATCAATCTTCTTTCATGCCAATCGATACCTGTTTCTTTCAGGATCTGCATTAATTTGGTCCAGTTTACCCGGTCAAATGCCTTCTGCCAGTCTATGAAGCAAACACACAGTTCTTCATCTATCTCCAAAGTTCGTTCCGCTATAATTCTCATCATCCCAATTGCATCCCTGGTTCCTTTTCCTCTTCTAAATCCAAACTGATCTTCTCCAAGTACATCCTCTATTTTCCTTTCAATTCTTCTTTTAAGTATCTTTGCTATTATCTTTGCTGTATGTGCAATAAGACTTATTGTGCGATGGTCGCTGCATTTTGTAGCTTTTGTCTTTTTCTTTAAGGCAATCATTGTAACTTCTGTAAAGTCCTTGGGCCACTCTCCACTTTCATATATGGTGTTCATTAGTTTTGTCAGTGTTTTCAAACCACCTTCTCCCAGTAACTTGAGCACATCTCCAGGTACATCATCATCTCCTGTAGCCTTTCCCTTCCTCATTTCCTTGATAGCTTTTTCCACCTCACTTTGTAAAATATATGGTCCTTTCTCGTCTGTATCTACTTCTTCTTCCGGTTCAACTTCTAAGGTTTCTGGCCGATTAGGCCGATCATATAGTTCTGAAATATAATTTTCCCAAATTTTCAGCACTTTCCTCTGATCTACTATTCTATTCCCCTGGGAGTCTTCGATGCCAACATTTTGAATCCCATGATTCTCTTTCCATCCCAATTATTTTGTCTTCATGTACATCAAATCATAACGGCCTGTTCTTTGAAATTCCATGATCTCATTACATATCTTCTCAAGATATTCCTTTTTGGCTCTGTCCGTGGCTCTTTTCAATTCATTCCTCAGTCTCCTGTATTTCCTCCTGCCTTCTTCATTGTTGACATTCTTCCATTTTCTTCGCTCCTCCATTTTACTCATCATCTCCAAATAACCTGTTCCCCTGTTAGCCGAACTCTGCAGAAGAACATCGATTCATGTTGCTAGTCTCACTCCTGTTGTGTTGCAGATGGCATCAGAAGGCAGACGCCATACAGCGCAAGCGCACTGCAGCCAAGGTACTCGTTTGTGCCTCCTCCAGGTACGGTACTTTTTTATTATTATTTCTTGCAATTTACAATCTACTCTACAAGGGAGCAATAAGTAAATATGTTGTAAGAAATCACTTGTGCGGAGTGAGCATCCAGTGATGATTCTCCTATGTAGTATACTATGCATTATGTTGTTGAGTACGGCTACCCATCTTCAACGCTGTGTTCTTTTAAGTCTGAGGGCCATTGTCGTTTTAGTCTTCGTCTGATGTTTAATGGGTTGCTTAGTTCAGTTACGCAACTGTTTTCGTGTCCTATTAGTCGGTTGTGGTATATGATATAATATCTTTTGATTTCTTCTGTGACGAATGGGATTTGAAGATCTTTGTGTAATGTGAAGTTCGAGACATACCACGGGGCGTTGGTTATGGAGCGCAGTACATTTGGAGTTTTTTAATTATTTTGGTGTTCGAAAGCTTAGCACACCCCCACAGTTGAACTCCGTACGTCCAAATTGGTTTCAATATGCATTTGTAAATTAAAGTCTTGTTTTCTAGGCTGAGTTTGGATTTTCGTCCTAAGAGCCATGACATTTGTCGTACTTTTAGGTTTAGATGTTGGCGTTTTGTCTTGATGTGCTTCTGCCAAGTTAGCTTCTGGTCTAGGTATAGGCCGAGGTACATTTTACTTTGTCTGTATTAGGATTTGTAAATTATTGATTGTAACTGGTGGACAGTGTGTGCGTTTTGTTGTGAATGTTATCTGCGAAGATTTTGTTTGGTTTATCCTGATTTCAATTTCTTGAACAATTCTTGTAGCAGGTCCAGATGGTGTTGAAGAAATTGCGATGCCAGTGCCGGGCCACGGTCTGTTGCTAGGAGAGCAGTACCGTCTGCAAAGGTTGCTATTGCGGTGTTGTTGGTTGTTGGCAAATCTGCAGTGTATATTAGATATAACAAAGGCCCAAGCACACTCCCTTGTGGTACTCCGGATTTTGCTAGTTTATAGCTAGAATAGGCATTGTTGTATTTTACTTGGAAATACCTTTCTGAGATGTATGATGTACGGTACATGTGCTTTCAAAATATCCCGTGCGTGCTACATGATCCCCTCAAACTTATTCTCCTTGACTTAACCGCCCTTATGGTGCACATTAATGTATTAGAAGCTGATATTCTCGTGTTGGTCGAACTCTGCAGAACAACATCGGTTCATGTTACTAGTCTCACTCATGTTGTGTTGCAGGAGGCAGCGGGAGGCAGACGCATTATAGACCAGATCCAATGCTGATAAATCATTCGCATGTGATTTCTCCAGGTACGGTACATGTGCTTCCAAAATATCCCGTGCCTGCTACATGATCACTTCAATTTAATCGCCCTTAGATACATTAATATGTAATATACGTGTTATTGCCTGATCTCCAGGGCTTAGCACAGCGAATACATTGGCCACTCTGAGTGACATAACCTGGCTCTCGCCTAACGACACTGTCGTCTCGCTGCCAACCGGTGTAAACAGAACAGTTGAAGTGCTGCTCTTGGCCACAGCTAACGAGGTAATACAAACATTCATCTGTAAGGGGCATTATTAGACCTAGGTGTGGAACATTACGATATGGACTGGATTCATCTGGCATTGCATGTGTTGTACTTGTGAACACGGCAACGAAGCTTCCAGTTCCATAAAATTATAGGATACCTTTTTGGCCAGCTGAGCGACTGATAACATCTCAAGGACTCTGCTCCATAGAATTATCGGCCGACATCCGATCCAATAAAAGGCTGGTTTCCTCGCTTTAAACAACTTCAGAACATGCTGGTACTTTGGACCTCAGCAGAAAGTATTGTATTTGCAGGCACGCTCCTACTTCGTGGTTCAAGGCCTGCATTTCTACGATGTGCAGAAGCTTCACTGCTCAATGCCATATCACATCTACGAGAAACGGCTTCTCCCATTATCTGTACAACCGCCATGATTTTATTGCAGGGATGGCTGACGTAAAAACATTCAATTGTTGCAGATAAATGTGGCTTACGCGGCATGCACGACGCCTGGCGGCGAGTCCGGACACTGCAGACATCTGAAGTACTGCGTTCTGCATTTATTCACTAATAGTCGAGAACAGTTCCTCGAGTATTTCTGTCGTATCGATAGGTCAGTCCTTCACAAAGTCGATAGCCTTATTCGTTATAATAACTAACACTATACAGTAAACCCTCGCTAATCCGGGGTAATGGGAGGTCATCCGGATTAAGCGATAAACCGGATTAGTGAAGCAAACTGTAGCCCTAAAAGACGAAAAAACTTAGAACAAATACATGGAAAATTTAATGATATAAATAGTGCTGATGAAAATAAAAAAAGGTCACTGTAGAGCCCTCATTAGAAACTATACAAAGACAATACATGTATCCACCGACAGAAGACTCAGAAGCTGTACTTGTTTCTGAACATAATGATGCAGGTCTGAAGAGACTGTCAGGTTGTGTCTGAACAGACAAGTGGCTCATTGCCTGCCTAAATTTAATTCATCTTTTTAAAGTATGTACTGAACTGTGAACAGCATTTCTATCCGGATTAGCGAGAGCTTACTGTAAGTTATGTTTACTGTAAGTTATGACTATTGTCCTACTAATTAGAATATCTGGAGGAAGTGACCCGAAGCTGGGGAACACTGTACTCGTACACTGAGGAGCTTCACAATTCGTAGTCCTTGCCAAATATTTCAGTTGGGGTTCTCACAACGGTGGCTATGAAGAGTACTGTTCCATAGAAAGCGACTCCGTGCATTCCGGCAGAAATTCACCGACGTTTCGGAGAATCGCAACATATCTATCCACAAGATCGAACAGAGAGCCAAGCACAGCCATGCTTGCTTGGCAACTTTTCGACCCTGAAGCTGGAGGCAGCATGTTGCTCCGACGCGTCGGTGAACTACCAGACTACACTGCAGCACATCCAAGAAGACAGTACGCTTCGCTGTTAGGACGAACAATTCACTAAGGGTGAGATAGGTGGGGGCATGTCGGCCTAGTGCGCATGGGAGAAATCAGAAACGTAGAAAGAATTTTTGCAAGGAAACCTTTTTTTTATTGTGGAAGAAAATTATTGTAAATACAAAAAAAAACGCCTGAAGGGAAGAAACTACTTGTCACATCTAAATGTATATGAGAAGATAATATTAAAATATATCTTAAAGAAATGGGGCGGAAAAGTTTTGACCGAATTCAACTGGCTCACGATAGTGTACAGCGATTGGCTTTTACGAACACGGCAGTGAACGGGCGTGTTTGCAGACCTGGTCCCCCGCAACGGCTCTCTTCTGGCTCGACTAAATGTGCCACAATACTTGTTTGTTTGTTTATTTAATAGGAGCGGGCCGCGCCATAGTTCAGGCGGTTAGCCGCTGGCCTCCCACCACGGCGACCCGGGTTCGGGCCCGGGTATGATCATGTGGGATTTTTGGTTGAAAAAATGGCGCTGGGGCAGGTTTTCTCCGAGTACTTCGGTTTCCACTGTCAATCCTCATTTTACTAATTGCTCCAACAATCACCATCATCTATCAGCTGGGGCTGGTACCGTAGACCAGTAGTGGCCGCAGGACAAGAAACTCAGTCTCACCCCACTAGCAGCCGCTCTGCTTCGCACACTTGCAATCCAATTATAGCAACTAATACTGAAAAACAGCTCTTATAATTTAGCATTCTTCCAGAAAATTACGACAGCTAACGACAGAGAGACTACCATTAGCAGATCCACATACCGAAAGTGCGCGTTGCGCACTGCTGGCCCACGATAATCTGCATAGGTACACGTACGTTGTGTCCTTGCGGCTGCAAGTGCGAGTATCACCGCATTTTCATAAGATTCACAAAAGTTGTTTGCAGTTAAATTTGGAGCTGCCCTGGGTAGGGGACTTGGACATGGACACAAACTTGCCCCCTCCACTAACATTCCTAGCTGAACAACAGAAGCCCCCTTGCTCCAATGCACTCCGCACACTACGCCGGGCAACGGCGCTGCTCCCTAAAGGCAGTTCGTCGCAGGGAAAAACAGACAGGCGTGTTTGAAATTACAGTCTGCTTCAGTAAACATATCATAAAACGTAAGTGTCCTATAGATTTCATTTCGATGACGTAATTAACGTTTACAAGTATACGAAGTCTGTAGTACTGTGTTCTCAAACCGGGAGTTTGAATCGCATGGGAGAAGCATGGCAAGAAAGGGCGGGGCAGTGGTTGCCACCGCATTGTGGCTAAGAGAAGGAGTGACGCACCATAAATAAGGCCCTATTTATCTCAGTCAGTGAACACGGCCAGGTATAAACATGTAGGCAACATGTAAAAATAAAGGTAAAGTTGTCCCTATGCTTAACTAATTAAGCACTATGTCGTTAAGACGTATGGGGGGAGTGATGTGTATATTCATATACGAATATTCTTGACCTCGTCTCTCGTTGGAGGTTAGTAGTCAGCTTCACGCTCCGGCCATTTTACCCCGAATCCCATTGCATAGGAGGCTGAGTGGGCCACAGTACCGGGCTGGAGGAAGTGGAAAAAAGAAAAAAACCTTTCCCTCCACCGTGGGTCGAACTCCGACCCCTCAGCCGTCCAGGACGTAGCCATCGCGGCTCCCCATGTAAGTGGTATGTTCCTCTGAAACTCTCATGCCAATTTACCAGACAACACGGTGTCATAACGCATATTTATTGCGGTGTAAACGTCGCATCTTATAGTGGACACGAGTATTGTCTTGAACATATCCAGAAGCTTCGGTTTCTTGAAACTGAACGTTTCGGGTATTGTGTCTGTTTCCTTCGTCAGGTACAAGGGAAACGGGCTCGAATTATTTCTAAAACTACCTTCCGCTACACCTGATGATGGAAACACCCAGTTTCCGAAACGATAAAAGACGCGCAAACAAAAAGTCAGTGTAACGTGAATGTGAGAGCTCTCGAACCGGATTTCACTCAAATAACGTGCTAGTTATTTTGTTATGAGATTACAATTGCAGTAAACCTTTCATAATCCGGATCGAAATTTGAAAATGGAAAAATACTATTTACAGTTGAGTACATACTTTAAAAGCCACTTGGCATTTAGGCAGGCAGATGAGCCACTTGTTTGTTCAGACAGAACTTGACAGTCTCTTCAGACCTGCATCATTACGTTCAGAAACAAGCACAGCTTCTGAGTCTTCTATCGGTGGATACATGTATTGTCTTTGTGTAGTTTCTAAATAAAGGCTCTACAGTTACATATTTTTATTTATTTCCATCAGCATATCATTAAATTTTTCCATTTGTCTGTTTTCTAAGTCTTTCGTCTTTTAGGGCTACTTTTGCTTCACTAATCCGGATGACATCCCCCCAATTAACTCCGAGTTATCGAGGGTTCACTCTATTACGTTGCACTCTACAAAGTTCAAGCTTATACGTTATAAGCAAAGATATAGCACTCATAAGCAAATGAGGGCAATCCGTGCCCCACTACACACTTCAAATTTATGCGGTCTAATCAGTCCCGGTAAGGGAGCCGGGGAAGTGCAGTAGGTACTCGTACACTGACTAGCCTAGGGGTCTTAGTTCGAGTTCCGGTAGGTTTTCTCTTCTCCACCTTGTCTAGGGCTGTACTGGGGTGGCTCTTTCCCAGGGAGTAGAGCGGCCGGGCCTTGAAACTGACCACTAATCAACTAATGCCGAGGTCAAGAATACGTGAACCTACATATTCACTCCCTCATACCTCTTCATGGCGTAGTGCTGAATTAGTTAAGCACAGGGGCAGCTTTACATTTTTCATCTAATCAATCAGTGTTTTTCCTTCAAAATGTGATACACAGCCCTATTTAACTGATAACAAATAATATTACAACAATATTACAACAATGTATAAAAAATACTTACATATATCACGGACACTTTCAAGTTTCATTTAGAGTTTAGAAACTAAAAACGAAAGTTTTAAAGCAATGTCCGGTATGGAACCTGCACCGCTCACTACCCAACTGGCAGCGGTCTTCTGCAGCGAGCAAACAGAACTCAGGTTAGACCGGTTACACAGAGGGCGTGTTCATAGCAAAGGAATTAGCCACCTAATTACGTGTAGCGTACCACTGTGGCCAGAGCGGTTCATCTTACTTCAAATAAAATTAAAATAAATAAAAAATACTTTTTTATCGTGAATGATTATTGTGTATTTATTTATGATGAGCTGATGGCATAAGATTTAATGACCTAACATTAATTCTTCTGGTAAGTTATATCACAATGTATTTCATTTGATACTGCATAGCATACCGATGTATGCTTTCCCTGATTCCTATAAATTCACGAAAGGGTATCTTGTGGTTGCTACAATCCGTTTACCATCGCACCAAATACTGACGTTAAGGACCATTGATTTCAGTAACTCTCTGCTTCTGAAAGACGCTGATTAAGTATAAAAATGCCCCTGTATTATCAGAGGCAAGAATAATTTAATATGGGGCATTATTAACAACAAATTGCTCCCACGATAAAATGTGATCTCGGTAATCAAGACAAATGCCATTAAACCCTAAAACTGTTTATGTACGAGATATACTTAACGTCGCTCTCAGTCGATCACGTTGTATAGCGTCGAATGGTAGCATCATTAGTGAATCGCGAATTGCTACAAATGTGGAAGGAAGAGGTAATCGCCAAATTTGAGGTATAATCCCCGCATTTGCCTCGAGGGACGGAGGAAAACTGCGGGAGAACTTCAGTTAGAAGAGCTAATCTAGGGGTTTAGACTCCAACCTTCAAGTACAATAAATGTATTCTGTGGTAAAGTTACCAGTGTTTAAGGCAACGTCATAAACATGTATTGGGACTTGGAGGTAAGGTGCCATGCATTCTCGATCTTGGAATTAGACGCCAACTTCATGCCCTAGTTCCACTAATACGAGTCGCGCCTTCACAGAACTTAGGTTTCTCGGTGCCGGCAGTTGGGTATCCGCCCCTGGATTTTGAAAACAAGTGGAAATTTAAAAATAAGTATACATGTGTATATCAAAACAAATTAAGAGTATTGTGGCATGTAGACCTGTTGCTAGGAGGCGACCACGAGATAGGCGACTGTAAAATGAACGTTGCTAGGCAGCGGCACATAAACAACAGAGGAATGTTGTTTTCTGTGCGATCGGCTAAGCAACAATTCAACAGCAATAGAGGAACGATGTTTTCTGTAAGGTCCGTGCCGAGTTGTTATAAGCAGGAGAATTAATTAGTGAGGAGTCAGTTAGTGGAATTAGTGAGTGAGTGAGTGAGTTAGTCAGAAAACTGTTACGGTTCAGTCCTTGTGAGCTGTTGCTGTCAGAAGCCGGCAGCTGACGCTGAACACTCTCGTGCAACCCGTAAAAATGCACTTTAACGGCTTAAATTTATGTGTGAATAAAAATGTGGAGTCCCCGCCCACAGAAATGGGTGCCAAACCTGCATGCAATATTACAGACGATATTCAGACCCGACGTCACAAATTATAAACAGCCTCTTTACATATGAACACCATTATGTTTCAGTTTCCTTGGAGTGTGCTGTCCAGACTCCGTCCGGGCGCCTGAGAACGGGCGTTAGCTTCGGGAAGCACACAGCACAGCGGTATTCATGTTTCTGACTGCTAATAAACATGTTTTGCCGGTATCCTGCTTTGTTTACAGCGGCATATAAGTAATGTAGATAAGTGTTAAGAGCTGCGGTTCTGTCTGACTCAACATTTTATATTGCAACTTTACTAATGGAAAGTACATTTGTGGATAATTAAACAGTACAAGATGCATCTGCCCCGAGTAATCACGTATTATTCCTTAAATGAATCCAGGCTAAAAGTTCACTTCATATTTCCACTTCAATATTATCCTTCGATCTTCGTTTAGGTCTTTCAAGTGTTCTCTTCCCTTCGCATCTTCCGACCAAAACTCTGTTTTCCTCAGCTTCCTCGTGTTCTACATGGCGGCCCCTCGCTTCCTGGTGAAGGAGTGATACGGCGAGAAAACCGCTATAGGCCTAACAGTATCTGAGGCTTTCGCTGCGGTCAAGATTCGAATTGTAGTTGTGTAGTCTGATAAGTTGGAGCGACATACTGCCCCATATTCACGGTACAAATGAATATGGAAGCGGGGCCCGTGGCAGGGCAGTGGTTGCGGCACTATGCTACAAGTCCGAAGATCACCGGTTCGATTCCCTCTTAAGTCACTGGATCTTTTCAATCGACGTAATCCTTCCAGCCACACTATGGCCCTGGGGTCAACTCAGCCTCTAAGAAAAATGAGTACCAGGAATCTTCCTTGTCAGCTAGCGCGTAAGGCTGACAACCTCACCGCCATCTCCGAGAAGACTGTCTAGAAAATGTGGGGGCCTCGACGTCTCACAAACCTATGGGCCTCCACGGCCTGTTACAGGGGTATAGCTTTACGTTTTCTTTTATAGAAGCATTATGTTTCTTCGAAGCATTGAATGGTATCCACTTACCAAACTACACGGTGTAAATAATAAATGATACAAACTCCGTCCATATATTTATATGTCTTTGATCTTGTTCTTTCTACACTACATGTTTCGGCCTCTATCGGCCATCATCAGGTGTATACTCTTAACGTTGCTGCCACACTGAACCCAGTCTAAAACTTAACATTTAAAAACACAATGTCACATTCATCGTATTATCAACATCGTGTGAGCACACGTAGTACAGACAAGCAGCGGCACTCACACAAGAAGATTACATTAAATAACACCTGTACAGTGTGAAAACAAGAACTAGCCGCTCCAACACTTAGACATAGGGCGAGTAACCCTAAGAATTTTAAATTTTAAATTTTAAATTTAGAGAAAATTTTAGAAGGTTTTAAAAACATCATAACTAAAGATTTTTAGAGTGCTACTACAAGAATATCGGGTTTGACGTGTGCAACATAATTTACATACCAGACACATATCAACGATGTAGATGTTGATAATACGAAGAATGTGACATTGTGTTTTTAAATGTTAAGTTTTAGACTGGGTTCAGTGTGGCAGCAACGTTAAGAGTATACACCTGATGATGGCCGATAGAGGCCGAAACATGTAGTGTAGAAAGAACAAGATCAAAGACATATAAATATATATTGTTTGCACTTAGGACGGAGTTTGTATTATTTATCGTGTAGAGTGCAACAGGATGCATAAATATAATATTGTAAACAGCTACACGGTTTCATAATTCAGAGGACGACAACGTGAGTCTCTGCCTCACTGAGAAACTCAGGTCTCACAATGACACTGCATTTTCCACACAAACTTAGCCACGAACTGTTTACTGAAATTTGGCGCTCACGGGTGAAGTTAGAGGTTGCTAACCTACGTTTTGGTGATGAGATTGTTAATAGGGGGGATTCGAGATTCGAGATTATTCTCGTGGGGCTAACTATGAAGCCAACAGAAAACGTCTGCTGCCAATCAGCGTGACCCCTGAAGAGCCCCTGGGTATTGGGCAGAGATTCAGTTCATCGAACGGAAATCACCAAGTGCTCTGCGATCATCAGCGAATAAAGATAAAAAAAAAGCTAAGAAAGGTAAAGCTATCCCTGTAACTGGTCGTGGAGGCCCATAAGGTTGTGAGACGCCGAGGCTCCCACATTCTGTAGACAATCGGCTCACAGATGGCTGTGGGGTTCTCAGCCTTACACGCCTGTCGCCCTTTACCCCCCCACCCCCGGAATATTCCTGGTACTCATTTCTGTTAGAGGCTGAGTCGACCCCAGGGCCATAGTGCGGCTGGAAGGGTTAGGAAGAGGTAAGGTAAAGTTGTCCCTGTGCTTAACTAATTAAAGACTACGCCATGAAGGCGTATGGGGGAGTGGCCGTATCAATTAAATCTATATGGTACGCACCATGTTGTGTATAGTTCACTAAAAGATACGATTTGAGGCAGTCTACACAACAATAAATTCAGAAATTGGAAAATCCAGTGACATCATGGTGAATCGAACCCGTCACCTTCCGGCTTGCAGCATAGTGCCTCAAAAGAAATGGTTATGAATGTTTTCAGCTCCTCGCGGACATCCAGAAACCCTTCTTACGGCAATAGGCTGCCCGCGACCAGCCGGTTTACGAGCGGCGGACACTATGCCCACACTGACTTGGTAAATCATGTGATTTCATATTAAGTAAGTGTATGAAGCCTGGCCGCGCCATAGCTCAAGCGGTTAGTCGCTGGTTTCCCACCGCGGTGGCCCGGGTTCGGTAAAGTGCGATTTGTGGTGGACATAGTGGCGTTGGGGCGGGATTTCTCCCAGTACTTCGGTTTCCCCTGCCAATCTTCATTCCACCGAATTCTCCATCAACATAATCACCCGGGACAGGTACAATAGGCCAATCAGTGGCCGCCGTGCCGAGTGGACCCAGTTGGACTCAAGCAATGAAAATGATAGCTATGTTAGAGACTTCATCAGAGACATTCTGTGACACGCTTTCTTTATTGCAGAGCAAGAAGCTCAGAACCTTTCGTCTTCTCGTCTGCTGTCTAAAAATTTAAAAAGTAGAACATACGAAACTATAATTTTGCCTGTGGTTCTCTATGGATGTGAAACTTGGTCTCTGACATTAAGGGATGAACAAAGACTGAGGGTGTTTGAGAACAGGGTGTTGAGGAGAATATTTGGACCGAAGAGGGATGAAGTGACAGGAGGTTGGAGAAAACTGCATAATGAGGAGCTTCATAACTTGTATTCTTCTCCAGCTATAATTAGAACTATAATTAGGAGGATGAGATGGGCATGACATGTAGCACGAATGAGGCGAATATGAATACATATAGGATATTGGTGGGAAAAATCCCACTAGGAAGACCAAGACGTAGGTCGGTGGGTAACATTAAAATGGATCTTAGAGAGATAGGACGGGGTGGTATGGACTGGATTGATCTGGCTCACGATAGGGACCAATGGAGGACTCTTATGAACATGGTGATGAACGTTCGGGTTCCATAAAATATTGGGAAGCTCTTGAGTAGCTGCACAACAGCCTGATACTGTAAGTGAGGGCTGGATAGTAACACTGCATCAATCACTCTGCACCTGATAGGTACATATTGCCTCGGGATACTTTCGTTTCGGCAAAATATTCCCAAAATATATATTGCTGAATGGGCCCACGATGCTATTCCTATCTAACCCAAGCGCCCCAAAAAGAATTTTCGACAGAAAAGAAAGCGACGTTGCCACGATCTTATCCCCAATAACACGCTTTCTTTATTGCATGTAAATTTTGAAAAACTGAAAAACAAGATGCCATCTTGAAGCGTAATTTGAATTACAATTCATAGTTCGTGATGTTGTTGGTAGATGTCGTCAGAGCGCATTCAGTCTTTGTAACAGACGTTTGAAGAAAAAAGATTCCTGCAAGGCGTCTGTTACTTTACTTCATAAACAACATTCCTACGTCGCAGTGGGTATAGCGATTAGCTACTGACTGGACGGAGTTCGAGTCCCGGTGGGATCAAGAATTTTCGCTTCTTCGTGTCGTCCAGACCGGCTCTGGGGTTCACCCAACCTCCTACCCAATGGGTATTGGGGGAACTTTCCCCGGAGTAAAGCAGCCGGGGCGTGAAGATGACCACTCATCTCCAACTAGTGCTGAGGTCAACAAAACGTGGGTCTATACATCCACTCCCCTATACGCCTTCAAGTCGTAGTGCTTACTTAGTTAAGTACAGTGACAACTTTAAATTTTCTTTTAATTCGCTTAGTGGGGGCTGGAGTCCATCGGTCCATTCGGCACGGCGGCCACTGATTGGCCTACTGTAGCCTGCCCAGGTGATTATGATGATGGAGAATTTGGTGGAATTAAGATTGGCAAGGGAAACCGAAGTATGTGGAGAAAACCCGCTCCAGCGCCACTTTGTTCTCCACAAATCCCACTTGACCGAACCCGGGCCGCCGCGGTGAGAAGCCAGCGACTAACCGCTTGAGCTATGGCACGGCCTATTTGTGGTCCATAATCAGTGCATTATTATGACGTAATCATTAGACAAATAACAATTATTTTTGATACAGCCAATTGTATTGAATTCGAGGTTAATTTTGGCTGTTATCTGCCAATGCGGGTAAAGAAATTATAATGAAAATTTCTACGAACATTCGGAAGAATTGAATAAGAGGAACCTTTATCGCCATTAATATAAAGAGTGGTCAGAATTTAACGAACATTCATGCATGGACCTACCTTGAAAACGGCCAGCACCGTTTCATTTGTCATAGAAATTACAGGCCTACCTGAAAAGAATAAATGGTAAAATGTAATCTTTTAACTTCCAAGAGCATCAGAAATCCAACGTATTGAATATACGAGTATACATAACCAAACACGGAGAACAAAAGAGAACTCGGCCGCATAAGCTACAAGAAACCAATAGCTGATCTTGACAATTAAATAAACAACGATTAGCAATACTATAAATATAACACATGATCCCATAAGCAGTGTTAGGAATCATAAAATGCAGAGTGCAGTAAATGTTCATTGGATTTATTATTTGTTCATATTTAAAGGAGGCGAACAATTACGTACCACATCATCTTGTTAAGTTACCAATCAACTGCCGTCTCCCCGCAGCTCAAAAATTTTCCACTTCAAAGAAAAACCGCCGTAATTTTATCTTTTACTGCTCTTTAGCTGATTACACATCCGGAACTACAACTATTCGGCATAGCATACTGTTCCAATCTTCCACCATGGAGCCAACAAAAACAGTCGATCACAGATGAACATGTATCGATTAAGATTTCATTTTAGATAATCTGTAATCTCTCCACGAAGTGAGTATATTGCTGTCCGATTCTTACATGACATCCGAAAACATTAACAGATATTACAATAGCAAAATGGCTACTGATAATTAAAAATTATATGTAAACGAAGAATTTGCTCCTTTATTTCTTCTCCCAGTATGGGCGCCATGACGATATTCTTCCATGTTCAAAGAGCGGGGAGCCAGAAATTTACTTAAAGAGCTGTTTAAAGCTCTTTTTACCAATCACCATCAAACAGGGTACCCTAAGCTTTTGGACTATTGATAAGTTCCTGCATGGATTTTCTTTGACAGACAACATAAATACAAATTTATATATATTAAGAATGTTTGCAATGACAGTGAAATTTAGTCCACAGTTTAAACCACCATTATCTAAAATTGATAATATATCAGAGTCTGTACTGCGAATTACCGGTTATTTCGGCATAAGCTAATGAAATTTCACCACATGAATTTTTATTTGCTTCAAGTACTCAGCTAGGAAGATTTGAGGTTCTCACAATGATGGTTATGAATAGTTGTATCTTACTGTATATAATGCCATGTAGTTCTTTGAACATTTCACCTCCATCTTCAGGGTTGAAGAGTAGGTCAAACAACAAACCAGCATGAACCTCTGGCTTTTTTTGGGGGGCTTACTATTTGGCCCTGAAGATGGAGGCCACACTCCACTGAAATGGTCAATTTTCACTGAACTACACAGGGTTAGCCACCTCATTAGGACTCAAACCTGCGACCTTCCAGCTTGTAGCATAGTGCCTCAATCAACTAAGCTACCGCGCGAGGTGGATTTCTTCAATTGACCTAATCCTTCTGGCTGCACTATGTCCATGGGGTCGACTCAGCCTCTCACAGAAATGAGTACCAGGAATCTTCTTGGTGGGTAAAGGGCGGCTGGATGACAACCTTACTGCCATCTCACAACTCTGTGGGCTTCCATGGCCTGCTACAGGAATAGCTTTACCTTTTACACAGGATTATACCCCAGAAGATAGAACTCATTAGGATGTTTGGTACATTCCCTTCCTGCTTCAAAGCTCCAGTACCCATAATCTACTGTGTCATCCATGCAACAAAACAGGTTTGAACAATTGATGGATAGTGATAATAAATTATCTTGTTCATTCCGTTTGTGGTTTATTTAAAGATGCTTATAGTACCTTAGAACATATAGCATCAAATGGCTGCAAAATTAATGATTTGGAGTTGCAAAGAATGTGGAAGTGGTCACAGCACATTTCAAAGTACTATCCTGGCATTCACATGGAAGAACTAGAAAAAAACAAGAAAAACTTCAATTAAGACAGTTGGTGTCCCAGTTCAAGTGTGAACCAGGTGCTTCCTGCACACAAGTCAGGAACCAACGTGTTCAGTAGCGAATGGTCCATGCCTGGAACTTGTCTTATTCAATCACAATTTTTCTTGCATATTTTCCTGTTATCTGCCTTTGGCATAGCCTGGTCTCAGGTGTTTATGTAGCTGTAGTTATTCTGACATGGGTCATCCAGTGACTGTTAGCTCTTCTTTATAAGGGACCCAACACAGTAGGTGTCCCCTCACCTGAGAATGGAAATGGATACATTTTCTGAAACGTTTTTTTCTAGTTTTTAGAACGGTGGACAATGGATAGACTCCAAAAATCCAGTAATTCTGAGTGTTATACACTGTCGTCACTACCATTTAGACTCTACATACACAAGATGCTTAAAACCGTTAAGCATGGCTGTCTCTCAAACTGTAGCACAACTGAACAGTAAATGGACTGCATGGCTGCGCCACAGCTCAAGCGGTTAGTCGTTGGCTTCCCACTGTGGCAGCCCGGGTTCAATCCCGGGTCTGGTCAAGTGGGATTTGTGGTGGACAAAGTGGTGCTGGGGCAGGTTTTCTCAGAGTACTTCAGTGTCCCCTGCCCAACTTCATTCCACCAATTGCTCCACAATAACCCTCACCCATCATCTGGGGCTGGTACTATAGGCCAGAAGTGGCCGCAGTACAAGGGACTTAGTCCCACCCCACTAGCAATAAAAAAAAAGTGGACTGCATGTATACATATACTGCCATTTTTGTTAACCTTCTGACATCATGTGCACATAGTGCACTACACAAAACTGTCTATGAATCATCATCATCAGATAGTGACATAGATCATTACATCATCACCACAAAATTACTAGATTCTGTTTTCAGCATTTGCTAGAAACCAAACTCACCAGACCAGAGGTCTCACTGAACACACACAGAACTTTTCTTCCATAAGGTTCCCTACTCCAAGTACAATGTACCCCCAGAGACATTTCACACACTTCGCAACAATTCATCTCAAAATAATTTAGTTCTTTATGTCTGAAAAATCAAATTGCAGATATGTGGCATTTCAACGCTCTACATCTGAAAGGAACGAGACAGTCTGAAACACAGAGAATTACACCAAAGTGGAGGAAACTCAATAAAAACACTGCCAAAATTTTGCTTTTTATTGCATATAGTTAAAAAATTTGATATGATTCTCCATTAATGGAACTGGGGGACATCCTGTAAACAGTTTAATTTAGTTACATTTATATAATTCTTTTTGCATGGTTACTTCACAACACTTTCAGCAGCTCCTCTACAATGAATGAAATAGGAGGATGAATTTGAAGGAACTTGCAAAGAAGAGATCATGGTTCTATGCAAGTACTATCCTAGCATGTATAAAGGGACTGAGCAAAAACCATGAAAGCCAAAGTCAGGATGGTTGCTGTCCTGCCCAAGATTCAAACTGAGCACCTCCTCAACACAAGTCTAGAGTGATACCAGGCTTTCAAAGTACTTGTCAGTAATGAAGAACGTCACTACAAACATTGTGGTGAGCAGAACAGCTGTATGACTGGAATGGGAAGCATAACAGATAAATGGAGCACCTTTCTATGGCCACAGGATCACCAGGTAACAGAATATCTACCTACACTTTTATTTCCACGAGTTACAATTATCCTCTCCAGCTGCCATCTCTCACCATTCCTCGTGTCAAGAAGTCAGATTTACAATAATTTTGCCAAACATCATAATGTACATAGCGTCAATGACCACACAACACAAGTGGTTTAATCAAAATTACATCACACTGCTCCAAATTATTGTACAAGAAACTCAAAACAACATCAAAAAAGATTACCACAAACTACGAATAGTTTCTCTTCAAACATTTTTCTGTACAACCTGATACTGAAATAAATATTTTAGAGCAGTGATGGTTCTTACATATGATCAGACATTTAACACTCATTTCTTGTCAGCATTACTTTCTTGGGTAAGAGCTATATACAAACATTTTAAAAATGAATTGCATCAGGGCACAAATGAGAATCCAGATCTTTGAGCAAGCCTGCAGCTTGACGATGTGAGTGCACACTGGAATTTCATTCATATGTGGACGAACTCTTAGACAGACGGGACCACTGAGCCTATGTTGGACTGAGGTTCTCTCAGCAGTGACTATGAAGAGCACTGTCTTCTGGAATGTGACACCATATAGTCTGGTAAAAGTCAACTGATATTTCAGAGGAACATACTGCCTACAGCTTCAAGGTCAGCAAGTACACCAAGCAAGCACAGTGAATCATGTGCAGAAAAGCACCCGGAGAGAACAGTGGCTAGTACTGACCCACATCTGCAGAAGTAGAGAGAGCGGGAGAGCAACAGGAGATGAAGGGAGGGATAAGTACAGAAATGGCTGCAGAGAAGACCTAAATGTGGAGTCAGTGTATTCTTCTGAAATGTCAGTTAACTTCTGCCAACTACGTGGCATCACACTCCAGCAGCAGTACTCTTAAGTTTGCTATTCAGTACGACAGCCTTGTATATTGCTGCTCAATTGTGATATAGCACATGTTCAGTCTCCTTCATGATGCAGAAAATGTCATGCTTCTTGCTCCATCTAATGGACTGTATGTCACATGGAGTCATGACTGCTTCCTTCCATGTCCTATCCAATTCATTATCCACTAATCATCCTCTTATCTGAAAATACATAATCTGGTAAACTGAGAGTTATGTTGAATAAACCATAAATGCATCAACAAAACATGTCTTGCAAGTTGTGGCTGATTACCTGTTTCATTCCTATGTCCGTTTGCATCTGCTGAGTCCTAGGAAGTTGTGGTTCCTTATATTTTTTAAAGTGTTAATAAACATGGATAAAATTGGTTCACAACACAAATCAGAAAACATTATTGGTAGCATTTCATTCATGTGGCCATGGTTACACCAAGTACTGATGACCAACTGTTCAATTTATTTTGTAATTGTAAGATCCATGGAGTGTACAAGCTGAAATTAATTTTACTAAATGCACGTTTCATAGATGTTACAAAATCACCAAAATGTAAGTGCAAGTGGATACCTTATTCAGCCCACTTTCATTTACATGGAAAACTTGTTCACACGAAAAGGATACAGAACCAAAAGGTTCTATCAAACAGTAACAGACAACAGAATGTATTGAGAGAGTTAAGGTTCTTGCCATAGCAAAGCTCACTGTCTTCTGGAATGTTGATGATCTGTAGTTTGGTCTTCACAGAGGGCAAGTAGCCCATTAGTACACACATACCACACTACACGACATCACATTCCAGAACATTCACTGATGTGACAAAAACCTCATATCTCCTGCTGATACAGGTACAATTATTTCCTCCCTCCCTCAAGGAAGTTCTGTTGGTCTGTCTGTCACTCCACAACATCGGAACCCATCCAAAAGCACTCACAGCCTAAAATAAATCCCCGACACACACAGATGGCAATGGTTATCAAAGGAGCAGAGTTCATAGAAAGGGGAGAATTGTCCTCACAGATCCTACTCCCTGCTATCCTGCTGCTCTTCCTCCTGTCTGTACCTACCTTTCTACAGGATGCAAAGTTACAGAGAACAAATATCTGCAACTGCAAAAGACACAGATTCATTCTTGACATCTCCCAGGACTTCAGGCAGCTGCAGAGGAAATGTGTAAACTGGGGGGTGTCCTTGAATTCACAAGAGACAGACAGACAGCACTCTTGTTGCCAATACAAACATGCCATTTATAAAATGTAATATTTCTGTGTTCTGAGTGAGTTATAGAGTTCCACCTGTGTGTAAGCACCAAGTAAACACACCGAAATAAAAGAGATTTTGTTGAAACTGATGTCACACCTAGAGTTTACTGAATTTAAACAGCAATGAAGCAGAACATAAATGATTATTGTGTTTATAAAAAAGACAACATTCCATAGAGAGATGGTATGTAACAGTAACAATTATTTTATTTAAATGGTACAAATGTCCCCCATTTAAATTTGTATTCAAGAAGCTTGTGAAAGTGTACATAAAGGAATATTTCTCCTAATTCAGAGTTTCCATACCATAAACTCAGGAAGATGAGCAATGCACTATCTTCCTGAACATGGAATTCAAGTGGGATCCAAGGTTCACATGGAGGAAATTACATTGAGAGTCGACTGACATTTCAGAATAACACGTCGCCTCCATCGTTAGGGTTGAAGTGTAAAGCAAGCAAGAAAGCAGCATGATGAAAGCAGCATTATTACTGGATTCTTGCTTGCCTGGAGATGACAGGTTACTCTGAAATGTCAGTCGCCTTTCAGTGGACCATACAGCAATATGCCCCAGTAAACAGGACTCTTAGGAGATTTAAATTCTCAGCTAGCACAGGAGCTGGTGACTGAATGTATTTAAACTCACAAAATTGTATTTGTACTGATAAAAGTCACAGCTGGCCTGCCAAACAACATGTGTGTGTTGTCACAACAGCGTGATGCGCAGCTGGTAAAAGCCAAGTAAATATTATCTGATTTACGAACAGAACACAGTGTCCTGAAGCAAACACCAGGTGCCTATTGCTTGGGCTGGGGATCCCCTCCACATCTGTGATTTTCTCATATCATCACTGCACCTTCCGGCATGTGACAAGTACTGAGGAGCAGCTGACCAACATTCTCACTTGAACAATTTCAGTATTATATGGTTCTGTTTTGAAGGATGAAGTAAGACTTGCATTGGCCACCTAACATATCCAAGTACCCGAAGCATTCAAACAACGTACACTCTGTGTACCACTAGAAACAGTGTCACACACAGGTGGTATTCATTCTGTACAGCATAATATTATGTTACAAAATGGATGCTTTCAAATATAGGCATGTAAAACTTCTGGAAAGAAAGAAACGAACTCAAAGCCCCATTCTTGTCACCAGGCAGTGCTCTGTTCTCCGCTTCACACAGTACATCCCACATAAAAAATTGTGCTACCAAATTATTGCCATCGAATGCACAGTCCTCATATCACCGAAACTGAGACACATAATGAGCATCAGCCTGCCTTCACATACTCGTCCCTCAGTTTTGACAAGAGTGCATCACATGTCTTCTTTGCATCTCCAAGCAGCATGGCAGTATTAGGGTTGTAGAAGATGGGGTTGTCTACAGCTGCATAACCAACCCCCAGCGACCGCTTCATCACTATTACCTGCATCAGAATCACATTTCATGCCTTGAAACACACTGACACATACAACTTACTGACGAGAAATTCATCAGGAAGCGTTTAAACACTCTTATTTATACTATTTTTCAGCATGTTAACCCCATCCATGGTCCCTTGGTGTGTTATGTTAGAACACCTTAGATTAGGTGTGACTATGTTGGAGACACAGATCAGTGAACTCATCGTGATTTAAGGTTCACCTGGGGGACAAGCTTTCTCTTTGTACCGTAATTGGGGGTCTTGGAAAATATAACCTAAAATGACTCTTAAACTTAGTGAAATAAATAATATGGCACTGATCCATGTGCTCTCAATGACAGATTAATTGTGGGAGGGATTTTCTGTGATCTAGCAAAAGCTTTCGATTGTGTTAATCATGATATCTTACTATCGAAATTAAATTTCTATGGAATAACTGGCAAAGCTAATGAATGGATCAAATCATACCTCAAAAATAGGTATCAAAGAGTTGAAATAAATAATAAAAACTCCAGTCATAATGCATTTTCAAACTGGGGAATTATAAAGCACGGTGTTCCACAAGGATCAATTTTAGGTCCCTTACTTTTTCTTCTCTACATAAATGATCTATCTAAAACCATCAACAATAAATCTAAACCAATTCTATATGCAGATGACACTAGTATAATATTTAAGAACTCTAAATTTGACAACTTTAAAAATGACATAAATATTGTATTTGAAGCCTTAAACAGATGGTTCAAAGCCAATTTACTCTCATTAAATTTTGATAAAACCCATTACATATCATTCACAACTAAAAACAACCACCAAATTGATCTGGACATCAGTTATGCCAACAAATTAATCTGTAAAGTACTTGATACAAAATTCCTTGGAATACATGTAGACAGTACACTGTCTTGGAAAATACATATTGAACAAATTATACCTAAATTAAATGCAGCTTGCTATGCGATGAGATCAATTAAGCCTTTTATGTCACAGGAAACATTGAAGATGGTTTACCATGCCTACTTTCATTCTATTATGAACTATGGATTAATATTTTGGGGGAACTCTTCACATAGTGTAATAATTTTTAAAATACAAAAGAATATAATTAGAATCATTACAGGATGTAGAAGTAGAGATTCATGTAGAGAATTATTTAAGAAATTAAAAATTCTACCTCTTCAATCGCAATACATATTATCGCTTCTCTTATTTGTTGTTTACAACAAAGATAAATTCAAATTAAATTCTGATGTCTATAACATGAATACTAGACAAAAATACAACTTCCACCTACCCTCATCAACTTTATCAGTATATCAAAAAGGAGTCTACTTTACTGGCATAAAAGTGTTCAACAATCTGCCACAAAGTATTAAAAACTTGGGCAATGATACTAAAAAGTTTAAATCAGAGTTAAAGAATTATCTACATGCTCATTCCTTCTACTCTTTAGATGAATACTTCAATGTAAATAGAGAATGATGTAAAATTAAGTTATATTAATTTTTAAGCTAAAATTGCCTGTACTTATGTATGTAACATTTTGACTTGTTCTGTATCCAAAGGTACTAACCTGCTTAGGATTTATAGAATGTAAATAAATTCAATTCAATTCAATTCATTTGAGAAAACAATTTTTTTCTCTCCTTCTCAGAATGAGCTCCATGCCATCTATCCTATTCGAGAATCAAGCATTTCCGTTGAATTACATTACTTAATGACATTGGAGGCAGCCCAGCACACTACAAAATACGGTTGGATTCTTTTCAAACTCCTGAATAATTTTCACTTTCTCACTTATTGTTTACTTCCTTTTTTTCAGTGCCATGGCCATTCATTGCCCCAAAATCACTTCCAAAAAAAAAAAAAGGATGATGACACTTGAATGCAACACAAAAAGAACAAACAGTAACCATTTCCAAATCACACAGAGGACAAAGAAAGAATGGACATAGACAGTTACATGGAACTGCATTGCTGTGCAAATGGTGACCTTGAAAGGCAAAGGTATCAGTTCGAAGAATAAAAATTCCTTTCTAAATACTAAAATGAGACCCAGAACATGTATAGGAAAAGGTCAAACCTTAAAAGGAGAAACATTATATATCAGGCATATGAAGATTTGGCTGGAACCTCAACAACTGTACTTAAATTGGGGTCTCACTGTACGTTCTTCAGTGCTTGTTTATCCTAAATTACCAGAGATAAAGCTTGGCATGGAGAGGATTAAATACAGTAGAATTTAACTTTATGATTTACAATGTTAGCACCAGTGAAACATTAAGAAAATGTCTTAATAGTGTAATTTAATTCGAGTACTTTGGAGGACTGAATGATTTTTGGATGCTCATTCAACAGTCTTAAGGTCTGATCCAGTCATATCCACTAGTTCACATTCCTACGCTCAGGTCACGCCAGTGTACTAAGCTGGGTAAATTCAATTCATGCTGTGACATGTAGAATCATTGCCAAGTAACAGCTGTGTAAACAGGTGACTGTACAACAGGCATTGCTTGGAAACAGCTCTGTGGACATGTTTCCCAGGAACAGAACACGCAATAATGGGAGACACACTTTCTGTGTGGTCCATGCTAGGACTATATAACAAGGACTAGTAGTTCAGTTATTAGCTGAGTCAGTGGAGAGTTGCAGTTGTGAGAAGTGAAAAGCTGTCACTTAAGGCTGGGGACATTTCGGGAACCCAGAGGAAGGGGAACATCCACTACTGAAAGCCACTACCAATTAACAGCTAGTGAAGACTGTCATAGTTATTTGTATTTATGTTCTTAAGTGTCCAGCAAAACCAATTACCAATCCAAAATTCACCTCCTGTCACACATACCATGTGACAGTGCCTCAACATTCAGTTTATCATTTGGCCTGGCCAATAGCCTTACTACACGCTCCTACCAATCCTACAGCGCAAATAGAACCTTATTACGAAGTGGACGAGCATCCAGTGCACAGACTTGCAGACTATTTACATGAAATACTTATACTTTCTGAAAGCGGCCTCCGTAATCTAGAGGTAACGTTCCCACCTCATGACTCGTAGTACGCGGGTTCAAATACCCAGCGGAAGTCGTCGAATTTTTAAGGGCGGAAAAATGAGGGAACAAGTCCTCCGGGAGGGACTTTAAGCCATGGGTCCCGTGTCGTAGCTTTACGGTACGTAAAAGAACCTCGTGTCTCCAAAGGAGGCCACTGAGCAAAATTACGGACGTTTCCCACCCAACAGTATTCTCTAATACCTCTGGTAGATGGGGGAAGCATTATAGATGCCTCTCAGCTAGTAGAGACCGATCTCGCTGGCTGGGTGGGACTGATGGTAAGCACCAGTACCAGTCTCTAATTCCTACCGGTACTGATGCTAAGCACCAGTACCGGTAGGATATAGAGACTGGTAGAATATCATAGAGGGAAGCACAATGGACCAAGACAGGTCTAAGTGCATGGGGAAACCCACCCTCTCTACTAACTAACTATACTTTCTGAAGCTATCATATCTATGCCACATCTCATTTTCCTATGTGCCTAAGCTGTAACACATGTACCTGGTTCGACTTCCACACTCTGAGAACAGGCATTCCTGCGATGATGGAGTTTGGGTCATCTTCAGCAGCGCTGTTGACAGTGTCATTGGCCCCAATCACTAGCACCAAGTCTGTCTCAGGAAAGTCGTCATTGATCTCGTCCATTTCAAGCACGTCATCATATGGTACGCCTGCTTCAGCCAGAAGCACATTGAGCTGCCCAGGCATCCGCCCTATACAACAGAAAGGTACAGGTGGCTGGGGCACATGCACAGGAAAGAGAGGGAAGACCAACTAACTGACTGATTAAACCCAAGAAGCAGTCCTTGAGAAACTAACAATATCTCAGCTAGTCAAGAGATGCTCAACCTACATGTAATAAAGAATGAGGTATGTTATGTGACGACTTACCAGCAACAGGGTGAATACCAAACCTCACTTTCTTGCCCTTCTTCTTGAGCATCTCCACCATCTCAGCAATAGGATACTGGGCCTTTGCCACACACAGACCGTACCCTATAAACAGAGGAGAGCTGTAATACAGACAGCTGCCAGACCAAAGCAGACTGGCGTACTGGTGCTTAATTTGCATCTCAGCCAAGCCACCAGCTACCCTGACTTAGGTTTACTGTCATTCTCCTCAGCCTCTCCAAACAAATGATGGAAAAGCACCTCAATTTTGGCCATGGCCACTTCCTTCCAAATACCTTATAATTTATCACCCATTCTACAGTATAAGACACTGATCATATGATGAAATAACCTCCCAAAATGAAACCGTCAGTAGCTCAGACGACGTAGCATTAAACTGTAGGCTCATTAGTGAATGAACTGCAAAGGATGTGGAAGGGAGAAGCTGTGATCCAGTTTAAGATGCACTCACAGAATCTGCCTGGAGAGACTGAGGCGACTATGATAAAGATCAGTCATGATAGCCAGTCTCTGGGCCAGCCAGACTTGTAGAGTGCAAGTCAGGGATCCTAACCACTCGACTGAGCCATTCAGTTCCGTACTGTGAGCAGATCCCCTCACATTGAATCTACCTCCATATTTGGAACAGCAAATAATAAATTTGTTACTGATAAAGATACCGAACTTATTACTAAGTAAATCAAATCCCTGTAACCAAACAATTACTTTGAACAATACAGATGATACTTTCAGAATAGGGTGGTTAAACAAAGGGGACTGCAGGGGACGGAAGAGGAATTTAGAAACACGAAGCACATACACAATTTGTACAGAGAAATCTCTTTTGCAGTCATGCAATACTTGTATTGCAACATGCCAATTATATGTACCTGGGGTTATGATTATGCTTTTCGCGTTCATAATGTGTTCCACAGCGCCATCCACGTTCACTTCTGTGTGGGTACCAGTAATCTCTTTAGGCTTTCCCGCACCGGTCGATGATGTTCCAAAACCGCCCATGATCACATTTATCAGTGACCGGTTCATAGCCTGCAAAACAAGCAAAATTCGTGAACACTCAGAAAAACTGTAAATAAAATGCAGAAACACAGTTATTGTGTTTCTGGACATTATCCAGCATCTTGCTTTTATTTATAGCACGTTTTTGAGATGGGATTCTGTCTCCATCTTCAGGTGGAACCTACTTAGTTGGGCTCAATTGATAGAGCGAGTCCCTACCTCTGAAACGTTGTGTTTGAAATAAAGACAGGATGATGAATAATGTCCAGAATCACAGTAACTGTATTAATATGCCTTCATTACAAACTTTTAAAATGCAGAAAACACACACAGAGATATGATACAGCAAGAAAACAAAAATTTAAAACACAAATCAGGTACAACAGAACCCCTACTTAATGTTTACGGTTCTCCCCCATAGACAAATCAGTTTCAGTAATCTTGGTGTAAACTTTCCTCAATTCATGGTGCACCTCAGTCAAGTGTTCACAGCTTTGATTTTAATATCTATCTTAAGTATATAGTGACATACATTGTCCAAAAACATCATTTTAAACTCCCAGGAGGTAGAAGTGGACACAAATTTCACAACATTTACATTTTTAAAGCTTGATCTTAAAAGGTCTGTGGGTTTCACAGTTCTCATGTTTAGAACAAGCAGGGGAGATGAAAAGTACATACAAAATTTTAGTTGGGAGGCCTACAGAGAAGAGACCAGTTGGATGACCCAGGTGTAGAGATGTGAGGACACTATTAACATGAAAACAGGGTGTGATAGTATGGAGTGGATTTATCTTGCTTGAGATGGGAACCAGTTGTGGGCGCTTATGAACACAGCAACAAATCTTCAGGTTCCACAAAAGGTGGTGAATTTCTCGACCATGTGAGCAACTGTCAGAAGAATGAACGGAGTCACACCTTGCACATGATGTAGGACAAGATGGCTCCAGAAGAACCGATGAGGGCACCAACTACCGTCATCAGATTATTGTTGAGCATAAAGCCTTCAGCACAAAGGGCCCAGCCTGAGTAGCTGTTGAGCACCGTGATGACCACTGGCATGTCAGCTCCTGTCGACAGAGTGCGGCTAAACTGCAGTCAGTCTGCTTACACATGACAACTTACTGAAGTCTCCATGCTCTGAAACTTCAGGCACTTGAACTGCAGCCTTCCAGAATATGACGCCACACAGTCTGCCAGACAGAGATCAATGCTTGAAGGGACATACTGCAAGCAACTTTCAGGTTACAAGAGTGAGGCAGCAGAGGTGTGTGTGGTGTCACATCCCAGAAGACAGCAGACTCACTTCTTTCTTTCTTCATCTTCTCAACAGAAAATGAAAGTATACATAAAGTTACTATGGGTGCACATTAACATACGGAGCACGGACAGGGACAAGCGCCAAGCCTGAGATAAGATTTTTAAGAAGTGTGAAAAGGAAAACCAGGAGAAAAAGTAAAAGAAATGTCCAATGATAAATCAGTAAATAACAGAATGAGATGGTATGGGCCCATGTGAAGAATGCATGAGAGAATTCCAAAGAAGATTCAAAAGTGAAACTAAATGGAAGACGCCAAAGTCGGAACCCAGTATGAAGGTGGGAAAACATGTTGGGAAATAAGTCGAGGAGAGGAAGGAGATTCAAAAAGACAGAGGTGAATTGAGAGGCTCACAACAAAAGACAGAGAGGGAAACGAAAAGGAAGCTGTGTCATCTGTTTCATCTCCAAACTATTCAACAATTACTAATGTTATATTTTAGCGTCCTGTTGCACTGATTTAAGTCCATGATTTATTTAATCCGTCTTGCAGTGCATACACTCATTCATCTCCTTCTCTCCATCGCACTACATGTTTCGGCATAATAATGCCATCTTCAGGTGCTTACTTATCCACGTCAAACCAGTTCATTGCATGCCATGAAGATGGCATTATTATGCCGAAACATGTAGTGCGAGGGAGAGAAGGAGATGAATGAGTGTATGCACTGCAAGACGGATTAAATAAATCATGGACTATTCAACAAGCTTTAATGAAACACTGTACTGAGGACTAATGTTGTGCACGATGGATGCAACTACCATCCGTTCCAGGCAGTTTCTGTCTGCAACACATGCCACAGGACACACACTATGTGCCCTCTAGCACCAAAGTTATGAATACACTAAACTTTAGCTCCCACACGCCACTGTGGCAGGGCGCCAACCCAACTTCATTTTGAACCCACTGAATAAACATTACATGACTGGAGTTGAAACAGCAACTCAGGCTGTTAGAAGGATTCAGTAAATACTGAGCTGAACAGAATGAAGGAAGTGGTCTTGGCCTACTTTAAGGTACTATTCTGGAACAGCCTGGAGGGACACGATTTGAGCCAGGATGCTCTGAACACGAAGCAGAGTGCTGTCAACCTGATGTTCAGTAGAACAGCATCATCAAATGACCTGTAAACATATAGCAAAACAGGAAGAACAGTACGCAGCACACCTTATGTTACGGGTATACCTCACGGTGCACGTGCTCACAGCGTACCTCCAATCGCCGCTGTCAAAGTGACGCCCATGACTGTAGAAAGAGCAGTGGTGGCACCAAGCATGGACAGTCCAACAGACATGGAGGGGTCCATGAAGTACACAGCCAATGCCCCAATATTAGCTGCACCAAGTCCGAGATTAATGGCATGTCGACCAGGGAGTAACAGTGGGGCTGAGTTGAGGAGGCCCTGCAGTTTGCCATACGCAACCAGTGAACCACTACAAACAATGACAACACCAACGGTAAGTAACTCCATGGATTCTTAAGGAGTATAGAATGGAAACCCAAATGAGAAAGAATATGAAATGAAAATATTAGAGAGTTTAAAGAAAAATCAGCACACAGCAGATGGCAAGAACCCGTGTTAAGAATGAATGAAGAGAGAATCCCTTAGAAGATTCAAATATGGAACTAAAAGGAAAATACCTCAGAGAAAAACCAATATAAAGACGAGAAGAGCCACATAGGAAAGACATCACACAGAAAGAAGAAGGAACATAGGAGGGAACTGAAGAGAAGGAAAGAGAGATGGAAATGCTTGATTGCTAGAGGCCCACATAAACTCTAAAATGTTGAAAATCTGAAATTATATTTACCCTACACCAAATTTCAATGAAACATGACCTCCTCCACTAGATGCACTTACTTCACACACTTTATGCAACAAACAAGACAGAGAGAGCGAGATGTTTACCTGAGAGTCACGCCTCCAATGTATGTGCCCAGGAATGTTGCTGTCTTAACCACATTTGCTGAAGGATCGGTTGCGAATGTCGGGAATTCGTGGATATAAGTGGCAACACACGTGAGAACAGCTGCCAGTCCAACCAGGCTGAAAGCAGAGAACAGAAGAAGCTATCCTTGTGCCTGTCATGGTGTATCAGGGGCACCACTGTCCAGCAGCGCCCAGAGCTGATGCTCTGCTGTTGTATCCCCCTCCAGCCTGCGTCAACTGGTTCAAATCATCAGTCATTTGCAAAGGTCTTCACATGGCTACCGGGGGGGATGGGGCTATTCTTGGCAGGGTGCAGTCCTCCTCCAGAACCCAACACTGCAAAAACCCCATACAGAGTTTCTTTGGGTTTCAGAGGATTTGAACATTAAATTGAGGAGAATTTAACACAAATTTACTGACTGGGGACTATGAAAATTGGATGTTAACTAAGGGAAGGCCTTAAATGAAGGCACATTTAAGTGGGGGCTCCACTGCAGCTGCTCATGAGTTATCATTACCATGTTCACAAACACCTGCCATTGGACTGTATCAAATTTACTTTGGAAGACATGTTCAGGCCAACCCCTGTATATTTTCATCTTTAATGAGCTGCACTTGCTCAATTTGCTCAGAGGGTTTTACAGTATGTCATTAGTAATGCGGTAACAGCTGTTACCTGTGGAATCCAGCCACCAGCTGGGGAAGGTCAGTGATCTCAATCTTCCTAGCGATTGTTGTGCCTATAACACCTCCCGTTGCCATACAAGCTGCCATCTGAGTCACCACGTCGACACTGGGGGCCATGTGGCCTAGTGTGGCCGCAATACCTCCACTCACACCAATCTAGAAACAGTGTTCTGTGCTCTAAGAACTCTCACTTACAAAGAGATTCTTTGGTGTCTGATATTTCCAAGTTCCAAGACCAAGTGTGTTTAGAAGCACATAAACATCAATGGCCATGTGCCTTGGTAACAATCAGGACGGATCACCCTGTATAAAGAGTGCTGTCTTCTGGGATGTGGCACCATGTATATCTTGTGTGAATCGACGTTTCAGAGGAATATATAGCCTCCATCTTCAGGGTAGGAATATCTGTGAGCAAGGAACCAGCATGAGTCTGCAGCCACCTGCTCACATTGGTTCCTTGCTCAAGGATTTTCCTACCCTGAAGATGAAGTCGATACGTTCCTCCAAAAGTCAGTTCACATAAGATCTACATGGCACCACATCCCAGAAGAAGTCACCACTGTGAAAACCTCAAATCTTACACCCTGTATAAAATCCAGTAGAAAAGCACCTAAAACAGATATGTGTCGGAATGTAAAGCGACCTCACACTTACTAAGAACAACAGAGATAGCAATAAATATTCTAACAAAACACCCTGTATATAGGCCTCTTAGAGAGAGCAAACGGTTCATAGCGATTGGTCTTCATAACAGGTAAGGTTAAGGATGACGAACTGGATACAGGGGCCACATTATCCTGCTGGCATCAGCCGTCAGGGAGACAACATGCAAGTGTGCATGAAACAGGAAAATATAAAGGCAAAGTTATCCCTATGCTTAAATTAATAGACAGCTCTGAAGATGTATGGAGGCATGAAGGCACAGCTCTACCATTCTTAGTCTTGGTTGCTGATGGAGATGAGTGGTCCCCTTCTTATCCGTGCCACTTTACACTTGAGGAAATAGCCCCTGATAACCAACATATAGGAAGCTGCTATGGAGAAAACAGAGATCTGATTTCTGTGCTGGGACTCAAAGCCAGATTCCTTGGTTGTAAAGATGGTGACCTAGTTGCTATACTGACTGAGCTAGTCAGGCTTAGCCAGGAAAGCAAAATCAGTAGGAATATTTGGAATGAATCTTCATATGCCCTCTCTGTAAATCTTTGAAAATAAAACAGTTTAAAATAACTTCTGGCAACATCTGATGTTCTTACAGGGGTGAAAATTTATATTACAGTAAACCCTCGCTAATCTAGACTAATTGGGGGGAGAGAGGTCATCCGGATTAAGTGATAATCTGGGTTAGTGAAGCAAAAGGCATTTAAAAAAAAACTTAGGACACAAATAAATGGAGAATTTAATAATATAATCAGTGCTGATGAATATAAATAATCGAAAATATCACTGTACAGCCTTTTCAAAAACTATAAAAAGGCAATACATTTATTCATTGATAGAAGACTCAGAAGTTGCATTTGCTTTTGCACATAATGATGCAGGTCTGAAGAGACTGTCAAGTTCTGTCTGAACAGACAAGTGGCTCATCTGTCTTCCTAAATGCCATGTGCCTTTTAGAGTATGTATTCACCTGCGAAGGGCATTTTTCATATTTCTTTCCAAATTATCTGACACCCGGATTGGTAAAGGTTTGCTGTATGGTCTTCTGTGTGTAGACACTGTGCAGCCAGGCAGGTGCTTAGCAAGATTCTCGAGCAACATACTGTCACTATCTCCAGGACAAATGTAAGGAAAACTTGGTGAGCACAGACCAGAGTACACAGTGTCGTAAACCAGATGACCTCATTTATGATTTCATGGCAACAGTTCTTTGAAAACTACAAGACTTGTGCTAGGGCCATATTCTTGCAGAATGGAAAACAACAAAATGGCAGCAAGTAAATCAATATGGAGACAGAATATGCACATACACATAACATTTATGAGAAAAACACTTCTTATATGCCAAGCGCTGCAAATGTGGGATGCTGCTAACGTGTGAGGTCGTAGCTGACAGAGTGCACTGGACTTTAATTGAAGAAATTTCTTGCAGAAATGGATCCATGGAGCACAGCCCTTCTCAAGAAGCTAACAGCTGCTCAGCTACTCAAGAAACTTGTCTTTTATGGAACAGAAAGTTCATTACCACGTTGAAAAAAGCCTCTCACTCGCCTACATTCTGAATTTGGTACCAAATCCTAGCTCCCCCTCCATCTGTGGGTTATTTCAGGAAGCTGTCAGTAGCTAGACTATATTGTACTGTATTTCAGCATCCTGTTGCATTGATGTATGTGTCACTTTACACACTCACTTCCATCCGTAATGCCAAAATCCATAGGGCTAAACAAAACAACACAAAAAAACATGGACACCACAAGAAGAAAATAGCAGAATAAAAGATGAAGAGTTATATTCTAAAGCAAATGTATTTTAATGTGAATGACAAAAATGCAGTAACATCTTAATATTTCAACTTAAGAACAAATGCAGTGTAGTGGTTTCAACAAGTGAACAGTTGCCTGAGGATGGCCAAGTAAGGGTGAAACATGTAACAGTTCAATTGTAATTTTAATATTATTTTAGATTAAGGAGAAACTGTAAACAAAGTTGCATTAAAGATGGAAATGAGTGCGTAAAGTGGACTATGTAGTGTCACACGAAATGAAACAGCTTCAGAAGGAAGTGGTCGTGGCATAATTGAGGTACTATCCCAGTATTCCCCTGGAGGAACTGAGGGGAGGGGAACCTCTATAAGAACAGCCTGAATCTCAGCCATGATTCACATCAAGTGCATCCTAAATGAATCAAAAAGGATTACCTCTACATCAACCTATTTGGTTCTTACATATTATGACATGTGACCCCTACCTCCCCAGTGGCAACGTAGCGCTCGCATAATAGGCGAGTCATCACCCCGCATTCTCCCCACGGTGACGTCACGAGCGGAGCTGAAGTGAGCCGAGCGGAGCCGACGTTAGCCGAGTCCCCGCAACCTTGAAGCTATGCAACGCGAGTCAACAGCGGTGACGTCACCAAGGGATAACAGTGTTGCTAGGCTATACACCACGTCACAACTAGCAACAGCGAACGGAATAAAAGCCGGCTGAGCAGCAAGCGAGAGTCAGTGTGTTATCAACAGTTCTCAAGGTAGCAGCCTGCGAGTGTGCGATAACTAAGAAGTCAGCGAGCGGAAGACTTATTGTGTGCTTTCGAGACTTAGTGAGTGCTGTAGTACAGTTATATTTGAAAGTGTGTAATTCAGGGAGACTTGTATAGCTCCCGCGTTATTAGTACGTGAAGACTTTGGTTGTAGGGTTTGTAAAGTGTGGAAACCCGCAACTGTGTTATAATTCATTGTAGCCGTTTCTTGTAGATTGTTGAATAAACCAATTAACGATCTCTACGGCGTATTCTGTAATGAAACACGTTACAATATGTTTTTAAATTTCACTTTAATATTATCCTCACACATGCACCTGGGTCTATCAAGAGTCCCTTCTCTTCAGGTTCTCTGATGGACCACTAAGTGTACGGACCGAAGCAAGAGCCACTTCTCACCATGCCAAGGCTGTTTCCCAGCCTGGATGTCGTCTGGGTGCTGAGGCCAGCCAGAGCTCCTATACAGCACAGTGATGATGCCAAGTAAGCCATCTGGTGAATTTCATCATAACCATTTGCCGCACCCCATCCATAGAGCCCCAGAAAAGCTGCTCCAGGGATTGCGTACAAGATGTTGTACTCAGGCGGGTCTGTGGGCCTGAAATACAGCCGCAGGAACAGTGTGATATGAGGCACGGTGGAATTACAAACCAGAAATACAGGTAAGTTTGGTTAGAACATGTAGCCCTTTAAATTAAAAATGTCAGAATGATAGTTACGTACATTTAAAGAGGGTGAGATAAACAAATTCAACTGCAATTACAAAAAAAAAAAAAAAAATCATAACAACTACACACGACACAATAAGAGGGACTACCCATGACCATAGGACACATGGGTGCATACACTAGGAAATATCCCAAAAATTGAACTTATGGATAAAAGCACAGCATTTTCACCAGCAATTTTTGAGACACCTGAAAATGACCAATGTTGTTCAAAACAAATAGCCAAAGTAAGTAAAGCTATCGCTGTAATAGGCCGTGGGGTTGTAAAACGTCAAAAGGCTACCAATTTTCTAGACAATTGGCTTACAAATATGGAGTGGTCAGATTGTCAGCCTTATGTGCTGGCTGCCTTTTACCCTCAGGAAGATATATTTTATTATAGGAAAGAAAGGAAGAAAAGAAAATGCTGCAGAACATATCTCCTGCTGTTTAGTATTGCTCCATTTCACATCAGTCTTCATGCCATGTCTGCAGCACAGGTATTTCCAACAGACAGGTTTCGCTGTGGCCTGGCAACAGCATACAACAGGTCATGGCAGTATGCAGCGCCCAGTGATGTATCTGCCACACGCAGCAAGAGCTCATTAGGTTGCATGCACCCTCACCTTCTGAACATGTCCAGCATGCGTTGTGTTACCACGAAACCTCCGAACACGTTGATGAACGAAACAAAAGCTGCCGTTGCCCCCAGCATCTGCAAACGAGATGCACCTGAGGTACACCATGGTTTCAAATTACAAACACAAATTCCATATATGTAACAGAATCAAGGATTATTAAGAATGTGGTCTTCTGAGGTACAATGCTGTGTAGTCTGTTAGGTAGGTACCAATATTTCGATGGAACTTCCTGCCTCCATCTTCAAGGTAGAATGCTAAGATGAGCAAGAGAAAAATGGTACATATATAGGGAGAGGGGAACTGAGATAGAGGCGTTGAGCAAGCCAACAGGAGTTAAGAGTGAGTTTAGAAACAGGGAGCACCATCCCTCATGCTGTTCCCCTTACTCCCATGCCAGCCCGTCCTGCCCTCCCACTCCTTGCTGATGATACAGGGAGCACCACACCACAAGAAACTATTCCCCCAGTTGCCACCCTCAGAACCGGCCCCCGCACTGCGGCCTTCAATGATCTATTGTGCTTAAATAAATGGTTACTTTTATGCTGTTTGTTGCTTGGCAACTGTATAATGTTCAAAACAATAACCATTGCAACACAACAGCACTAACAGAATGCCGCTGAATGGGAACATTATACTCATAAGGTTATCACAATACATGGGCAGCTTCACCACATCCGCACAGCTTATTCCAAGAACAATGCAGGCAAAGGAAGCACACTTTTGCTAGTTACATATGTAGATGAAGCTTCTGTCCCTCAGCTGTCTCAATTTCTACAGGTAACTCTACTTGCAGGCTCATGTGACAAAGCTTACCTGTGGTGTTGTCTCAGGCAACGCAGTACCCCCCATGAGCAACATCCCTCCGACAGCTGTGATGCCAGAAATAGCGTTCGTGACAGACATAAGTGGTGAGTGAAGGGCGGGGGTCACTCCCCACACAGTGTGATAGCCGACGATGCCAGCCAGTCCAAATGTCGTCATCATCGTTGTGAAGGCAGGGTTTGGCGACACCATTCCCAGGCTCAGCAACCCCCCCAACCCTGCAACACACACACACACAAATCATAGCTCTTTGCTCTTTCATGTTGGACACAACCGCGCTTCCCACTGGTCACAAAATGATCTATCAACTGCGGAGGTTATTTAGAATCTAATGAAATAAAAGGCTAATGCATATATTGAACAAAAAATAATTTGGAAGGAAAGGTCATTTCTGCTTCAAGACAAATGGACAGGGCAGAATATGGCAGTTAAAAGCCTCAGCCTATTTCAGGGAAATATTCTGGTGTTTGGCAGGATGACTAAGGAAAACCATATTTAAGTTACTTAGGCTGACCTTCTCAATGTGATATGACAGCAGTAGTTGAGAGAGTTCTTCGTTACTAATAGAAATATCAGTCTCCGCTTTATATTCTCAGATGAACAGGCTGTTAGGGGTCAATGAATTTATTCTCTACAAACCTACAATGAGGCCACAGAGGGAAATCCCATGAATCAATGACGTCCACACCTCCTTTGTGGGGTTATGCGTACTCTCTGATGTACCTCCCTACATCCCCCTCCAGGCCACCAACTCTGTTTATATAAGTGTTGGTAGTGACAATGTGACAAGTGCTTTAGGCTGTCTGACATCAGCGAGAGGGGGGCTGGAGGGGGAGGGGAGCTTTCATTAGATTGTAGTCTTCTGGGTTACGACGCCACATAGTATGGTAAATAATAATCAACACCTCAAAAAAAAAACATACCGCATCCATCTTCAGGTAGAAGTGAACAGTACCCTGAGGACGAATACAATACATCCCCCCAGAATGCTGGTGCCTATGTATGACACTACATGGCGTATAATGTTGAAGAGCATACTCCCAAAGAAGATGCTTAGATGCACACTGTCTCACAAAGGGGAACCTGGAGAGGTCTGGCTTCTTTTGGGTGTGGATGATGCTCTGACTGACGTCCTTACAGCCTGGAACTTCAAGCCTCATTATAGAGCGAGCAGAACTTCTGCCACTTAGAATAATGGATATGGCAGTCACGGAGACTTCTTTCTTAAATATCTGACAATGGGACTCTTCTTCCTACTTTTCATTGACACATCTTTGGAGAAACTACCTAGTGAGGCACTGGCCTTGGGTAGGAAAAAGTGCAGACTCTAAGAGAACTGCTGAGAGGGAACCTACACACTATGGGCTTGCTGCGGAGTACCACATGCAGGAGAAGGAATCCTCATGTCATACATGTTTCCAGTGCCATACAGTTAGAGCTAACAAGCATCAGGAGGGCCTCAGTCAGGATCGTTCTGACTCGATCAATGTGGTTACAGCTCTTTGCAGGACCCTAATGAAACTGGTAGCACAGAATGGACCCAACAGTGGTCTGAGTGCTGGGGGCCATTGAGACAGCTGTATCCCAGTCTCAGAAAGGGACTCACAAATGCAAGTAGTTACCAAACTTATACATATGGCAAAGATGAAGAGCCATGTGGCATGTTACCTCCAGTATACATTGCAGCATCTTTGAGTGTGTTGGCAAAGTAGTTGGGCTCAAGTGGAACTGGCTTCTCTGCAGTTGGTTTAGGGGCTGGAGCTGGGGCAGCACCAGGAGCAGGTGTTGGTGGGGGAGGAGGGGGCCACAGGAGCTGCCCATTTTGCACTATGATGCTACCGCGCACGACCTCGTCTTCAAGGGAGATTTGAAAGTGGTCCTTTGTACCTGCAACATGTCCAACAATGCTTTACACTTGCTGCTCCTGCATCTTGGCTCATTCTAAACTTCTTCCACAAATCTTTTTATCCACAGTAAACCCTCACTAATCCAGAATAACTGGCGGAGACGTCATACGGATTAAGCAAAAATCCAGATTAATGAAGCAAAAGATAGCCCTAATAGGAAAAAAAATTAGAAAACAAATAAATGGAAATTTTAATAATACAGATAGCGCTGCTGGAAATAAATAAAAAAATATCACTGCAGCAATTTCCTCCTCTGCCAGAAGCTGAAATCCAGGGTTTCCTTCATCCAGCTCAAGCCAATCCTGGATATTTCCTTGCGTGGTTTCAGTCTCTCCAGCTGCCTTCAACGCAGTCTGAAAGTCCTCTTGCTCCTAATTCCCATGTGTCTTTTAAAGTATGTACTCAACTGTGTTCAGAATTTTCCATTTTTCTCATTTCTATCAGGATTATCCAGACATCTGGACTAACTGTAACTGGATTAGCAAGGGTTTACTGTATTTATTTAATGACACTGCCAGGAGTTCAGGTTATATGGCATCAAATGATAGGGTGCACAGTGAATGTATGAATTGGAAAGAACACGGATGGAAGCAGTCACAGCGTACTCTGGGGAACCGTCCTGGCATTTATTGGAACTGAGGGGGGAGTCCTGGTAACAGAATCTCAGCTAAGAAAGGACCTCCCAAAACAAAAGCACTAACCACTCAGTAAACTTGTTTGCTGAAACACCATTACTTTCAGATTATGCTAGAAGTCACTGCATGAGAGCAGGCGCAGGTGTGCACAAGTAAAGCTGCACACTCACCGATGCTGAGCAGAAACTTTGATATGTTGTTGGCATAAAGGGTGGAGCTCTGTGTTGGCAAGCGACTTGACAGATCCGTCAGCCCAATGTGGATGACATCTTTGTGCACGTACACCTCTCCAGCTCTTGTTGTCTCCACGTTCCCACCGGTCTCTGCTGCCAGGTCCACGATTACACTCCCTGGTCGCATGGCCTCTACGTGTTCCTACCAACAAAATCAAATTTCAGCTGACCATAGCTTCACGGCTCAATACTAAAATAAGGACGAGAAAAAGTTAAAGTCATGGGTTGCAAAAGCATACAGGAGAGGAAAGTCAGGACAGCAGTACCAACAGGAACTGAAACAACTATCAAAGCAGTTGCTATTAGAAAAGAAAAACAAAGGAGAAATTTTTAAGGTCTATACTAAAAAATGAAGGTAAGCGCTGGACTGAGTTCTACAAGAATGTAAAAGACACAAAGGCAATATGGAAAATATTCCTGCAATCAAAGATTATAATGGACAGCTCATTACTGATTCAACAGAAAAGGCTAACTCCTTTAATTTCTATTATTCTTCAGTATTCAGCTGTGAGAGCGGCCTCCATAGTCTAGAGGTAACGTTCCCACCTCATGACTCGTTGTACGCGGGTTCAAACCTGGTGGAGGTCATGGAATTTTTAAGGGTGGAAAAATTCAGGGAACAAGTCCTCCGGGAGGGACTTTAAGCCATGGGTCCCATGTCGTAGCTTTACGGCACGTAAAAGAACCTCATGTCTCAAGGAGGCCTCTGAGCTAAATTATCGGACATTTACTGCCCAACAAGAGTCTCTAACACCTCTGGTAGATGGGGGAAGCATCAGGTACCGCTGAGCCAGTAGAGGCCAAACTCGCTGGCTGAGTCGGGGCTGATGGCATGCACCAGTACCGGTAGGGTATAGAGACTGGTAGAACATCAAAGGGGGACATACAATAGACTACTAGTCGCGGTGCATGGGGAAACCCACTCCCTCCAATAATAATAATAATAATAATAATAATAATAATAATTCA